TTTTCCATTTCTGGCCCCTGGCGTTTACCAGCTGAAAAGCGGAATTTGTCCTGGGCATACTTCAAGCAGATGTCCCTCCAGGATCTATCTGGCTTTCCTATCTTAGTCATCTGCAAACATTAAATATCAAACAGTTTAATGTCGAGCTTGGCCATACGTGTATAGACAGACGGAGGGGAGGAAATTCTACATGTTTTGCAGGCTTTATTTATATAATTTCTCAAACAAGGAAACGTAGCAAGTTACACGGCTTTGGAGGGTCATGGTTTGCCCTCTGTACAAAGACAAAGCAATCACAGCCCTTGTGGTAAAATAATAATAACCAATGTCGCTACACGTGAATAAATGATCACATGAATTAGCCATGTGAGCATTGTGTCGCGTAGCGGTGTGAATAGACCTTATAATAGCTATGTGCGCATTCTGTAGATATGCTATGTTGACCTTATGTAACCTCATTACTCCACAGCCCACTACTTGGGGTCGTCTCGCGCCCCATGTAAATTCGTACATCTGTATTGAAGGACTTGCGAGAAACAATGAAACTTGGGACGATTATTTCACGTCTTTTCCCGCGATATCACGGAGTTTTACGGAAAAATAAACCAATAAATAATACTTGGGCTACTGATTCTGTCAGTTAGCAAATAGTTTATTATGAGTACTAACAAATTTCCAAACTTTCCCTTTCCCCGAACTTTTGAAAAACGTGTAAAATGACCGCTACTGTAAACTTCCTGTACCACGACAATCCCCGCCCCCTTGCCTACGTGACTGACGTGACGTAGAGTTTAGGACCTGTAGAGAGGAAAGAGGGGGGGAAGGGAGAGTAAAAGAAGTATCCTTCAAACTTATCCATAGGTTCTACCCAACTAAAACTTATATCAAAAATAGATTTAAGAAAAATATTGATTCTGAATGTAGCCTTTGTAGAGAATGTCCTGAAACTATTGTGCATCTGTTCTGGAATTGTCAACTGTATAATTTTTTGCAGAAATTGTGTGACTATATTCACAATTACATTGATAAACACTTTATTTTGCATTGGAAGAATGTTTGTTTGGCTTTTTGATTCTCAATTACAAAAAATTCAATCTACCTAATTAATCTATTATTATTAATGTCAAAGTATCATATCCACTTGTGTAAATTTTCTGGTAAGAGGCCAACCTTTGTTGCTTTCTACAATAGTTTCAAACAATACATTCTTTCAATTCAATTTTCTAAGAAACAGAAGGCACTCGAGACTGTAGAAATCTGTACAGCTCTGAATGTTTTCACTTCAACTCTGACCCCAGTGGGGAAAGTATAGCATTTCCCCCTTTCCTGTCCTCTTTTATTTCCCCCTCCTTTCTTTTTTATTACTTAACTTTTTATTTATTTTATTTGTACATGTTGTACGATAAAATGTTTGAATAGTAATCACAGTTCTTTATACACTGCTGGATGTATACACTTTTTCTTTAAATTTATAAAAAAAAAAAAAAAAAGGGGGGAGGAGAAAAAGAAAAGGAGAGAAGAGGAGGGAAATGTCCATTATATTATTGTTTCTTCTCTAATTATCTTTCAGCTTGTTACACTCACTTCAGCACTTATTGCAAGGTGTATCATTGCTTTAATTTCGTGTGTTTGTGAGATTCGAACAGGCAGCTTCCCAAAGTAACACAGCGCTTCTGACATTCCTAAGGCTATTTAGGTGCTTAGTAAAACCAAACTAATTTAACAGTGTATGTAGATAACTCTGTCATCATATGTCCCCTCACTTTTAAATAAACTCAATTATTTGAGAGAGTAGCTCAGTGCAGCAACAAGTGAATAAAACCAATTCTAAACTGAGCAAAGAGTGATGGGTTTTGTGAATAAATGTAAGTAAAATAGTAGTAAAATGATCCTGCAAGTAATTCTGGCTTCAAGTTATTCAGTGTATGACACTCACTGTCCTGTTTTTAAACAGGAAATTAAATAAAAACGTGAAAGCTGTTCTTGACTCCAATAAAATGATCAAAACTTTAATGTAACATTGTACCACACAGTAAGAAAGCAAAGAAAAATGACAAACCACGTATGAACAGACAGGACGAGAAGAACGAGGGAGAGAGGAGAGAGAAGAGACAGAGAGATATCTATGATTAAGAGCTGTAAAACAAATCCTTTAAACAAAATTAAATAAATGATTAAATAACAATAATAAAAGAATAACCATGTAATATAACAATAAAGAATAATATAATAACAATATAATGTAACAATATCACAATATATAACAATAATATTACAACAACAATAATAATCATCATCATCATCATCAAGATGAAGCTGAAACAATAAAACTACTGTAAACTAGGGATGTAACAATTCAGTGTAGACTACATAAAGAAATAACAGTTGTTTTAAGACTTAGTTCTTTGGATTAAATCTTGTCAAGGCATTTTAAAGAGGAAAAGTAGCAACAGTAACAGTTTTAGCTGTTTAACCTCCACAAAATATCACAATAAATATCCTACCGTGAGATGTATATAGTGAAAACATCGCACCAAGAGATTTGGATATTGTTACGTTCCTAATCGTGAGCTTTCCCATGATATCGCAATAAATAAGGTACCGTGAGGTTCATACCGTGACGATATCGTATCGTGAGGCTTTGATATCACCCCTACTGTAAACTGTTCCTCCAGTCTTCCAGGGACAGTCCTGAGGCTGGACAGTACCACCGCCCCTTCACCTGGGTGTGTCCAGTTCTTTTGCTTTTGTCCTGGCCACACTGCATGCAGGTGTAGTGGTACTGCTCTTTTGATAGCCTCTTCTTTGGCGGTTCCCCCTTGACACTAGCTCCTCATCCTCCTGGGCAGCTTTGGGAAAGGTAAATGAAATAACACATACCACGAAGAGACCGTGGTGTTTTTCAGGGGCACCAGAAACAGGTTTGTCTGCTCCAAGACAACCCTACTGTCCTCCAGCAGCTATCTGAGGTTGGGGCGAGGTTTTCCCCTTTGTGTCCTTTGGCCCGTTGCGTGCTTGCTCAAACTCTTTGGCAAGCCTGAGGCAAACACACTCACTGACCCTGTTGACTTCAGGGTCCTGGGCTGCTTGGCCATGAGTCATGTATAGTCTGTGGGAAAGAAAGAGCATATGATCTGGACTGTGAACAAGGATGTAAATCCGTGATGAACCACGTGACGATGTCAACAGGGATTGCAATAAAATAATATGAACTGTATTGAACCATGATAGCAGATTGTGGTCAAGCACCTTTCTGCCGCCTGCTGTCCAGGAGCAGAGCCACTCTGCTTCCTGGGTGCTCTCTACGGTCCTGCTGACACATGTGACTTTTTCCTAGAATTCTGGGTGTATCTAAACGGTGAAAAGAGACATCCATATGCTTCATTAGTTCCATGGAACGTATGTGTAATTATGGTGTACAAAACAATTACTAATTTGTACCTTGAAGGTGCCTTGATCATGGCATGGAGAGCTGCATACAGGCGCACTATGTCAGCCTCCTCTTTGGCTGACAAGGCAGTGATGGTCTGCCTCCCATCTCACAACCCCTCTCATGTCACTTGGGCTGGTCTGGAAAGTGATGAGTGAGAAAAAGAAAAACCAAGCAAATTAATGGTCACGCTTGTTCCTAATTATGTGAGCAATGCTGATTTTACATTCATTCATCTTATTCATTTAACCACATTTATTTCAGGTAAGTATTGTGTTTTTGAGTAGGCTAAGGTGTTACAGAAAATGTTACCTACCTCTGTGACGACGACTTCGGGATCAGTGTCACCCTCCACAGACTGGTCATAAGGACCAGTAGCCCCCTCCTCAGACATGTCTACAGTGACATCTGCATCATCTGCGTCCCACTCCTCCTCAAGCACCTGTGATGGGATTTCAGGGACATGCCAAGGCGCAAGCAGGTCCCCTCTGTTGGTCTGGCCCAATAAATATTCCACCGCTATGCGCTCATCTGTAACCAGTATAAACACAAGATGAGAGAAGGACATACATACACACATCCATCTCCATAGCACAGTCTTTGCACCCAAGAAATCCAAAGTCTTACCAGTAGGTTTCCCAGGTGGGGGAATTCTGCCACTAGATTACAACCACGGACACGCTGGCTTAAGCTGTTGAGGTGGGACATCGGGCGGACATCGAAGCTTCTAAGGGTCGAGGCCCCCTCCACAGCTACTGCCTCCTTGGCCCCGCCCATGTTCCACCTTGATAGCCCCTCCAGCATGTACATTTGCATATGTGTAGCATTGCACCGCCAGCCTAAAGAAACAAAACACTTTCAGTCAACACCATTATTGTAAAGTGAATCCATATGAATACATAAGAGTATTAAGTAATTGTGTTATTTTGAATAATTACAGTACATTCTCTGTCATAAGAGAAAAGAACATTCAAATAATATATATATATATATATATATATATAATGTGTGTTTCTCACCTTCCACGGTGGTAGGTCTCTCTCACCCTCATTGAGCTCGGGTCCTCTACCAGAGGCCTGGGAGCTTGAGAGTTCTGCGCAGTATCTTTGCTGTTCCCAGTACTGCAACTTTTCTGGACTGAGATGTCCGTTGTTTTTTTCCGGTATCTGTTGTAGCCACTCTTCCCAGTTTTGGGGGTTACAGCCCCGAGTGCTCCGATCACCACAGGCACCACTGATGCCTTTACTTTCCAGGCTCTCTCCAGCTCTTCCTTGAGCCCCTGGTATTTCTCTAGCTTCTCGTGTTCCTTTTTCCTGATATTACCATCGCTTGGTATTGCGATGTCCACCACCACGGCTCTGCTCTGTTTCTTATCCACCACCACTATGTCTGGTTGGTTCGCCATCACCATTCTGTCAGTCTGTATCTGGAAGTCCCACAACTCCCCAACCAGAGATTGGGTACGAAACCCAATAAGTATATATATATATATATATATATATATATACAGTATGTCTTGAGGCAAATGTACTTGCAAAGAAAGCGCACTGGTGCCAGTGAAAACTCTCCAGGGAGGAGGACCCCCTACCACACTTAAGGATGTCTAGCTCTTTCCCGCCCTTTTGGAATGTCCCCACCTTTTTATACAGTGCAACACATGGGGGGTCTTGGAAGCACTCCAGTTGTTTCTGCTGCATCTCCCAGATGTGGCGCATGCTGTCATGGCTCACCAAACACAGCCCTGTGGTGTCTGTGAGGTCCCACACTGATTCCAGCAGCCTTGAAATCATACGGCGCATCTCCTCCACTCCACGGGTCCTCCTCCTGCAGTGTTTCTTTAGTTCTCCTGGGTTGACGGTGGCCATAAGCTGTTCCTCAGTGGGAACATGTCCACTGTGGCTGCACTTCCACTCCTCTCTCTTGGCCTCCTTCAGGCGTTGCACATCCTCCTGATCCCATTCAAAAACGCAGGATGACAGCTTGGTACAAAAGGTGCCATATAGAGGGTGGTGTTCTGTAGTGAGGCCACAGTTGAAGCGCCTCACAAAATGAAAACTGTCTGAGCGCACTGCAGACTTCCATGGGTGGAAGAGCTTGGTCACTGAAGACACACCTGTGAAAAACAACCATTGTTAATTACGTAAAAAAACCCACATTGAATACAAATTGTTCTAACAATGTGTCTGTCTGTGCGTGTGTCTGTGTCTGTGTGTGCATGTGTGTTTCTGTGTTTGCGTTGTGTCTGTGTGTGCGAGAGTGTGCTGGTGTGTGCGACAGTGTGTTGGTGTGTGCGTGTGTGTGTTTCTGTGTGTGTGTGTTTCTGTCTGTGCGTGTCTGTCTGTGCGTGTGTGTTTCTGTGTTTGCATGTGCGCGCATGTGTCGGTGTGCGCGTGTGTGTTTCTGTGTGTGTGTGCCTGTGTCTGTTGTTGCATGTGTGTTTCTGTGTGTGCGTGTGTGTCTGTGTGCACGTGTGTGTTTCTGTGTGTGTGTGCGTGTGTCTGTGTGCACGTGTGTGTTTCTGTGTGTGTCTGTCTGTGCGTGTGTCTGTGTGTGCATGTGTGTTTCTGTGTTTGCGTGTCTGTGTGTGCGAGAGTGTGTTGGTGTGTGCGTGTGTGTGTTTCTGTGTGTGTGTGTGTGTGCGTGCGTGTGTCTGTGTCTTTCTTTTTCTGTGTGTGTGTGCGTCAATCTTTCTGGGTGTCTTTCTGTGCGTGCATGTCTGTGTGTGCGCGTGTGTTACTGTGTGTGTGTGTGCGTCTGTGTCTGTCTGTGCGAGTTTCTGTGTGTCTGTGCGTGTCTCTGTGTGTGCGTGTGTGTTTATGTGTGTGTGTGTTTTCTGTCTGTGCGTGTCTGTGTCTGTCTGTGCATGTTTCTGTGTGTGCTTGTGTGTTTCTGTGTTTGTGTGTGTCTGTAAGCGTGTGTCTGTGTCTGTCTGTGCGTGTGTGTTTCTGTGTCTGTGTGTCTCTTTGTGTGTGTCGGTGTCTGTCTGTCTGTGTATGTGTGTGTCTGTCTGTCTGTGCGTGTTTCTGGGTGCGCTTGTGTGTTTCTGTGTGTGTTTGTGTCTGTACGCATGTGTCTGTGTCTGTTTGTGCGTGTGTGTTTATATGTTTGTGTCTGTTTCTGTGTGTGCATGTGTCTGTGTCTCTCTGTGTGTGTCTGTGTGTGCATGTGTCTTTCTGTGCGTGCGTGTGTTTATGCGTGTGCGTGTGTCTGTCTGTTTCTGTGCGTTTGTTTTTCTGTGTGTGTGTGCATCTGTGTCTGTCTGTTTGTGTGTGTGTGTGTCTGTTTGTGTGTGTGTGTCTGTCTGTTTGTGTGTGTCTGTGTCTTTCTGTGCGTTTGTTTTTCTGTGTGTGTGTGTGTGTGTGTGCGCGCGCATGTTTCTGTGTGTGCGTCTGTGTCTGTCTCTCTGTGTGTCTCTGTGTGTGCGTGTTTCTGTGTATGCTTGTGTGTTTCTGTGTGTGTGTGTGTGTCTGTTTGTGCGTGTGTGTTTATGTGTGTGTGTGGGCGTGTGTCTATTTCTGTGTGTGTTTCTGTGTTTGCATGTGTGTGTCTGTGTGTGCGAGTGTGTGTCGGTGTGTGTGTGTGTCTGTGTCTGTCTGTGCATGTGTTTCTGTGTGTGCGTATGTCTGTCTGTGCGTGTTTCTGTGTTTGCGTGTTTCTGTGTTTGCGTGCGTGTGTCTGTTGTGTGTAAGTGTGAGAGAGAGACCCACCTGTCTGGGTGCAGAAGTCCCAATCGACAGATGACCGCAGGTTCAGTTTGGCCCGCATTTTTATAAAGGGTGACGACGCCTTGGCACAACCCTTCCAACCCTGCACCTTCACCCGTCGTCAGAACAGAGTTCAGAACCTGGTCAAACTCGTTGCGGATGTTGGTCATCCACGCAGCACTGCCCCCTATTCCACCAGCCAGCTTCTTGGTGATCTGTAAACCAAATACAAGCACAAGAAGCAAACCAATTTCCTTTTGTTTTTTTTGTAATTATACATGTTGTATTTTATACATTTTTTGAGTGAGCATAGATTGCGTTAGGTTTGGTGGCAGTACTGTTACCTTTTGTGGTCATGGCATAATGAATGCTGACTAGTGGAAGCGCACCCTTTCACTGACGCGCTTACCTCTGTGTCTCTTCTCCCTGCCTCCGTGCTGACTCGAACTCCCCCTGCCTCCCTGCCTCCATGTCTCCTCTCCCTGCCTCTGTGTCGACTTGGACTCGCCCTGCTTCCGTCTCAACTCCTCCTGCCTCACTGGACCCAGCATCTGATGCCAGATCTGCTGGCTGGGGGGAGTACAAAAAGAGGGAAATAAAGCTTTCTTTAATTGTCTCTTTTTGTACTTTACTAATCAATTAGTAAATCATTTCACCTACCTTGTGGAACCCACAGGTACACTGAAGGCTTCTCCCAAATAGATCCTTAGCATGGCTCTGCAGGGGCAAGCATCAATCCTCTCTAAGGCCTTTTTCCATTTCTTGGCCCCTGGCCGTTTGCCAGCTGAAAAGTGGAATTTGTCCTGGGCATACTTCAAGCAGATGTCCCTCCAGGAACTATCTGGCTTTCCTGTCTTAGTCATCTGCAAACATTAAATATCAAACAATTTAATGTCGAGCTTGGCCATACGTGTATAGACAGACGGAGGGGAGGAAATTCTACATGTTTTGCAGGCTTTATTTATATCATTTCTCATACAAAGAAAACGTAGCAAAGTTACAGTGCTTTGGAGGGTCATGGTTTGCCCTCTGTACAAAGACAAAGCAATCACAGCCCTTGTGGTAAATAATAATAACCAATGTCGCTACACGTGAATAAATGATCACATGAATTAGCCATGTGTGCATTGTGTAGCGTAGCGGTGTGAATAGACCATATAAAGCAGCTATGTGCGCATTCTGTAGATTATGCTATGTTGACCTTATGTAACCTCATTAAACTCCACAGCCCCTTACCTTGGGTCGTCCTCGCGCCCCCTATGTAAATTCGTACATCTGTATTGAAGGACTTGCGAGAAAACAATGAAACTTGGGACGATTATTTCACGTCTTTTCCGTCGAAATCAACGGAGTTTATACGGCAAATAAACCAATAAATAATACTTGGGCTACTGATTCTGTCAGTTAGCAATAATATAGTTTATTATGAGTACTAAGCAAATTTCCAAACTTACCCTTTCCCCGAACTTTTGAAAAACGTGTAAAATGACCGCTACTGTAAACTTCCTGTACCACGACATCCCCGCCCCCTTGCCTACGTGACTGACGTGACGTAGAGTTAGGACCTGTAGGGAGGAAAGAGGGGGGAAGGGAGGAAAAGAAAAGGAGAGAAGAGGAGGGAAATGTCCATTATATTATTGTTTTCTTATCTATTATCTTTTCAGCATTGTTTACACTCACTTCAGCACTTATTGCAAGGTGTATCATCGCTTTAATTTTCGTGTGTTTTGTGAGATTCGAACAGGCAGCTTCCCAAAGTAACACAGCGCTTCTGACATTCCTAAGGCCTACTAGGTGCTAGTAAAACCAAACAAATTTAACAGTGTATGTAGATAACTCTGCCATCATATGTCCCCTCACTTTTTAATAAACTCAATTATTTGAGAGAGTAGCACAGTGCAGCAACAAGTGAATAAAACAAATTCTAAACTGAGCAAAGAGTGATGGGTTTTGTGAATAAATGTAAGTAAAATAGTAGTAAAATGATCCTGCAAGTAATTCTGGCTTCAAGTTATTCAGTGTATGACACTCACTGTCCTGTTTTTAAACAGGAAATTAAATAAAAACGTGAAAGCTGTTCTTGACTCCAATAAAATGATCAAAACTTTAATGTAACATTGTACCACACAGTAAGAAAGCAAAGAAAAATGACAAACCACGTATGAACAGACAGGACGAGAAGAACGAGGGAGAGAGAAGAGACAGAGAGATATCTATGATTAAGAGCTGTAAAACAAATCCTTTAAACAAAATTAAATAAATGATTAAATAACAATGATAAAAGTAGAACCATGTAATATAACAATATAGAATAATATAATAACAATATAATGTAACAATATCACAACATATAACAATAATATTATAACAACAATACTAACAATAATCATCATCATCAAGATGAAGCTGAAACAAGAAAACTACTGTAAACTAGGGATGTAACAATTCAGTGTAGACTACATAAAGAAATAACAGTTGTGTTTCTTTAGTTCTCCTGGGTTGACGGTAGCCATAAGCTGTTCCTCAGTGGGAACATGTCCACTGTGGCTGCACTTCCACTCCTCTCTCTTGGCCTCCTTCAGGCGTTGCACATCCTCCTGATCCCATTCAAAAACGCAGGATGACAGCTTGGTACAAAAGGTGCCATATAGAGGGTGGTGTTCTGTAGTGAGGCCACAGTTGAAGCGCCTCACAAAATGAAAACTGTCTGAGCGCACTGCAGACTTCCATGGGTGGAAGAGCTTGGTCACTGAAGACACACCTGTGAAAAACAACCATTGTTAATTACGTAAAAAAAAACACATTGAATACAAATTGTTCTAACAGTGTGTCTGTGTGTGTGTGTGTGTGTGTGTGTGCGCGTGCGTTTCTGGGTGTGTGTGTGTGTGTGTGTGTGCATGTCTGTGTCTATCTATGCGTGTTCTGTGTGTGCGTGTGTGTTTCTGTGTGTGTATTTCTGTCTGTGTGTGTGTCTGTCTGTGCGTGTTTCTGTGTGTGTGCATGTGTGTTTCTGTATGTGTACGTGTGTGTTTCTGTGTGTCTGTGCGTGTGTGTGTGTTTGCGTGTGCGAGTGTGCGTCAGTGTGCGCGTGTGTGTTTCTGTGTGTCTGTGCGTGTGTCTGTGTGTATTTTTGTGTGTGTGTGCGTGTATCTGTCTGTGCGTGTGTGTTTCTGTGTGCGTATCTGTCTGTGTGTGTGTTTGCGTGTGCGTGTGTGTCCCTCTGGTGGTCAAAGCTGATGGTATGTGTGTGTGGTTCTGTTTGTGTGTGTGTGTGCTTCTGTGTGCGTGTTTCTGTGTGTGTGTCTGTGTGTGTATGTCTGTGTGTGCGTACGTGTTTCTGTGTTTGCGTGTGTGTGTCTGTATGCGTGTGTGTTTCTGTGTGTACATGTGCGTTTCTGTGTATGTGTGCGTGTTGTTGTGTGCGTGTGTTTCTGTGTGTGCGTGTGTGTGTCTGTGCATGTATTTCTGTGTGTGCATGTCTGTGTGTGTGTCTGTATGTGCATGTGTGTTTCTGTGTGTGTGTGCATGTTTGTGTCTATCTGTACATGTTCTGTGTGCGTGTGTGTTTCTGTGTTTGCGTGTGTGTGTCTGTGTGTGCGAGTGTGTGTTTCTGTGTGTGCGTGTGTGTCTGTGTGTTTCTATGTGTGCGCGCGCGTGTGTTTCTGTCTGTGTGTGCATGTCTGTGTCTATCTGTGCGTGTTTCTGTGTGTGTTTCTATGCGTGCGCGCATGTGTTTCTGTGTGTGTGTGTGTCTGTCTGTGCATGTGTGTTTCTGTGTGTGTGTTTCTGTGTGTGTGTGGCTGTGTGTGTGCCTGTGTGTGTGTCTGTGTCTTTCTGTGCGTTTGTTTTTCTGTGTGTGTGTGCATGTGTCTGTTTGTGTGTGTGCGTGTGTTTCTGTGTCTGTGTACGTGTGTGTGTCTGTTTGTGTTTCTGTGTGTGTGTGTGTGTCTGTTTGTGCGTTTGTGTTTCTGTGTGTGCGTGTCTGTCTGTTCATGTGTGCTTCTGTGTGTGCGTGTCTGTGTGTGCACGTGTGTGTGCGTGTGTTTGTGTCTGTTCATGTGTGTGTGTTTCTATGTGTGTGTTTGTGTGTGCGTATGTTTTTGTGTGTGCCCGTGTGTGTATCCGTCTGTGTGTGTGCATGTGTGTGTTTCTATGTGTGTGTGCGTGCACGTGTCTCTGTGTCTGTCTGTGCGTGCTTCTATGTGTGCTTGTGTCTGTGTCTGTTTCTGTGTGTACGTGTGTGTTTCTGTGTATGTGTATGCGTGTGTGTTTCTGTGTGTGTGTCTGTGCGTGTGTTTGTGTGTCCCTCTGGTGGTCAAAACTGATGGTATGTGTGTGTGTTTCTGTCTGTGCGTGTGTCTGTGTCTGTCTGTGCATGTGTGTTTCTGTATGTGTGGAGCTGTGTGTGCGTGCGTGTGTCTGTGTTTATATGTGCGTGTGTTTCTGTCTGTGCGTGTGTGTGTCTGTGTGCATGTGTGTGTGTGTTTCTGTGTGTATGTGTGCGTTTCTGTATATGCGTGCGTGTTTTTGTGTGCGTGTGTTTCTGTGTGTGCGTGTGTCTTTGCGTGTATTTCTGTGTGTGTGTTTGTCTGTATGTGCATGTGTGTTTCTGTGTGTGTGTGCATGTCTGTGTCTATCTGTGCGTGTTCTGTGTGTGCGTGTGTATTTCTGTGTGTGCGTGTTTCTGAGTGTGTGTGTGTGTGTGTGTGTGTCTGTGCGTGTTTCTGTGTTTGCATGTGTGTGTCTGTGTGTGCGAGTGTGTGTCGGTGTGTGCGTGTGTTTCTGTGTGTGTGTACGTGTCTCTGTGTCTGTCTGTGCGTGTGTGTTTCTGTGTGTGCGTGTGTTTTTGTGTGTGCGGCTGTCTGTGCGTGTGTGTTTGTGTGTGTGTGTGGCTGTGTCTGGGTGTGTGTTTCTGTGTGTGTGTGCGCATGTGTCTGTTGTTGCATGTGTGTTTCTGCGTGTGCGTGTGTGTCTGTGTGCATGTGTGTGTTTCTGTGTGTGCGTGTCTGTGTGTGCGTGTATCTGTGTGTGCATGTGTGTTTCTGTGTTTTGTGTGTGTGTCTGTGTGTGCGAAGAGTGTGTCGGTGTGTGCATGTGTTTCTGTGTGTGTATAGCTGTGTGCGCGTGTGTCTTTCTGTGTGTGTGTCTGTGTGTGCGTGCGTGTGTCTGTGTGTGTCTGTTTGTGTGTGTGTGCGTGTGTTTCTGTGTGTCTGTCGCCCTCTCGTGGTCAAAGCTCATGGTACGTGTGTATGTCCCTCTGGTGGTCAAAGTTGATTGTGTGTGTGTATGTGTGTGTGTGTGTGTGTGTGTGTGTGTGTCCCTCTGGTGGTCAAAGGTGGTGGTACATGTGCGTGATCATCTGCATTTGGCAGTCATGTTGAATTTTGTCAAAAATGCTCTTTTTTGGGTATCCCATAGAATACCTTGGAATAAAGGTATGAAATTTGGCATGTTGATTCAGGCCAGGCCCATGATCACTTTCAGTCATTTTTGGGTCTCTGCCTGAAGAGCTATAGTTCCACCAGCCGATCAAATATGGACATGCATTCATGTTGACACAAAACTGCATAATTGGTCCTTAGGAAGTGCTTTAACTGGCAAAAACTTGTTTTAAGGGATATCTATTGATCTGCTTGGATTAAAAACGAAATTTCATTGTGCATTTGTTACCATCCCTGCTATTGCCTATTCTGTAGCTACGCTGCAAGGCCGCCGCATTGCTTTGTGCTGGTATATTTATAATTAATCTGATTGCAGCCTTCATGTTCAGGAGTAAACTAGAGATAATTTCACACTTGGTCTTCATAACCTATGACATGTTAGAAGTCTTCCATTTAGTAGGCCTATTTGTGGGCGGAACCAGAATATATTTAAAGATCTTTTAACATAACTAACTGACTAACTAACTAAATAAATAAATATTTCATAGGTGCGTGGGGGTTGTTTGGTTTTGTGCAGTCGGGCAGTTGTCGAGGAAGGGTGACCAGCCAGTCCCTTCTTAATTTTATCAAAAGCTTGTGGTTTTGGTGGGCCAGGTAAGGGGTGGTTGGGTGTAAGGGCGTGTGGGATGTAGTACATGTTTGTATGAAAAAGTGCTTTATAAATAAAGTTTGATTCGTAATTGTTAGGCTGTAAGAATTACACAAGCATTTTTTACTTGTCCACATGAGGTCAGTGTTGCCTATGAAATGAATGCTTCAAAAGGCTTCGCGTTATTATTAAAAGATCCACAGTCCAAAGAACGAATGAAAGAATAACAAAAATGAAATAAATAAATTACATATATGAATAGATCCCCACAAATGTAAAAAAAATAAAAATAAAAAATCTCTCAATGTGTATGTAGTTTCTAGATCATCTTTTCGTACGAGCTCAGCCTTGGCCCGCCTCCAACGTCGCGCAATGCTTTCTGGGAAACTGAGTTCACGTCGTGAATAATTCAGGCTCCCGTTTCCCCTTCTCCTTCACAGCTAACAAGATGCCGGCCGTTCATCACAAACTGCTTTTGGAGGACGCTTTGCACGACAGTCCGCAGGTAGGCCAACGCTTTTTTTTGTCCAAGTTTAAAGTAATTTTTGTGAAATAAAACGACTGTACGAGGAGAGAAGACAACTCGCAAGCTAGGTTCTGTATCCTCCCTGTTTCCACTGGTCGATGACAGATGTCTAGGCACACAGTGTTATGGGAATACTACATGTCAGCATTTGCACCCTTAAAGATTACTGAAGTGAATGCAAAAATCATTATATAGACAACGTATTGTCATTAGCTGATCAGACTGTTGTTTACACTGCTAGCACTGAGAAACGTGTAAGCTCAAATACTGCCATTACAATGATGCAACAGCCATGACGCTAATCATGAATGTCCTTTGAATACTCATTTTTCTGACAAAATGTATGAGAAGTTTGAATATGGAGCTAAATCTTTGCATATAAGATAAACAGGGCCTGAGTGTTGATGGTGGTCGGAGGGGCCGATGGCGCAGATTGGCAGCCTCGCTTCCGTCAGTCTGCCCCAGGGCAGCTGTGGCTACAATAGTAGCTTACCACCACTGAGTGTCGAGTGAATGAATAATGAAATGTAAAATGAAATGTAAAGCGCTTTGGTTATCTTGAAAGGTGCTATATAAATGCAATGATTAATTAATTAATTAATTAATTAATATTCCATGGTTGTCTTTATAATCACAGTTACATTTAGTCATAGTAAAGTAATTCTAGGAAGCATTCCACTAAAATGTGGAGATTCACAAAGCAGTAGCCTGTAGAAATAGTACACTTTACCTGTAAACAAATTAACAGGGTGGGGTTAGTAAATTTCTGTATCCTGTTGGACTCTTACCAGATAATAAAGATGTCAGATGTTTTAGTTGACCCTGCCTCACCTACAGTTCAAAAATATCTAGCATTAAATCTGATTGTTCTAAATGTGGAATAGACATTTATGTACTTATGTATGAACATGACATAAATTACTGTATCCTTAGTTTGTGTTGTACAATAAGTATGTCATTATGCCAGTCTTTCTAAGTTTTCTTGCCTGTTTTGACTTGATATCATGTGCTATGTCAATATCAAAAGCAGCAGATCTGGATAAGCTCCGGTAAAGCACTGAAAACTGGGTGTTTGTTGACTTGTCTAGCCTCACTGCTCCTATCAACAAAAAGACCAGACTGAACTTTAGACTATGATTCACTCACAGAGGTGACACTCCTTTGAGCTATGTCTACTGCAGTTCTTTTCATAGTCACATTTTCACCTATTTAAGTGTTTCTAATTAGTTATTCATATTTCATGACAAGTATTTTAAAATGATTACCACAACCAAAGCTAGCATCAGCATTTTACACTGAAGCAGTCATGTTTAGGTAGCATTCATTTGGGCTGATCTTTCTGCTCATGTGTTATTGGTTCCACTAGTAATACTAATAGCATAGGAATAGTACTAGTTGTCATCATTTAGTGGCCTTATCGAAACTAAATGGCAAATGAACAATTTGCCATTGTAATAATTGCACAAATTGTTTGTAAATATTCTCTATCATGTCATGAGGTCTTCAGTCAGTGTAGACCTGTAACAATAACAGATTTTTCTGGACGATTAAGTGATCAAAAAATTATTTCGATAAGTGATAATATTGACATTTTGAGACCATTTTCAACTAATATAATGACAATGGAATAAAAATGCAAATATAACCTTTCAAAGATCAATAAACTTTCTAAAGAACATTTAACACAGGAACTGCAAGATGATCAAAAACAATAGGCCTAAATAAAACAGATTTGTTAACATAAGAATAGCCTTATGTAGTTTGTCTTACAGCAAGGACTTGTTAAAAAAATGCAGTTTGAATAAACCATTGTTGAACCAAACACAATAATCCATTTTATGTATTGTTTTGGTTAAGTTTCTGTAACAAAATTGCCCTTAAAAGTTATTTTAGTCATTGACTTACATTGGAATATAGTGGCCACTCTCTCTGTGGCTGCTGTTGTGAGCCTTGGCATTTTGGTCTTGAAGTGCTCGTATTAACCCGCTCTTCAGTGTCAGTGTCTTGTGGAATTTCAGCGGATTTCGGGTTAGGCTAGTTGTTTCAATCGAGTATGGATGTATGACCCATTTCTTCTCGTCGCTTGCATTCTCACTGCATGTGACACATGTTCGCCATTGAGATGTATCCCACTCACTAGTGTTGATTTGGCATCGTGACTTGTTTTGTCACAGGGCGATGAACTGTTTTGGTGCTCTGACAATGGCGCTAGCTTGTGTTGCGGCTTCATGTTAACAGCACAGACAGCAACGCTTTCTGCACTCAGGCTGCGCACGCATCCTCTGTGCTGATAAACAAATAATCAGTCTGTAGTTTATGCTGACATGTTCGTTCAAGCATCATTATGCAGAGCGATAGAAGCCTTTTGACATTCAATCTCTTTTGTAGAGAGCGAGAGATGAGGAAAACAAGCATGCACATAGAAATTACCGCGGCCAGAAAAGTTATCAGGCTTGTTAAAAGTTATTGTACGATTAATTGATTTATTGATTATCATTACAGGCCTAAGTCAGTGTGTTTTTTAACCATTGTGTGGTTAGAAAAAGTTTGACTCATAGGTTTAATGAAAATAATGGCTAACTTATGAAATAGTAAAAGAATTCCTTTGAAATGTTGATAAATATTGTTCTATTCAGTGTTGTTATCATGTGTTTTACTGTGATATTTACTGTGTCCGGTTTAGACTCGCTCTCTGCTCAGTGTTTTTGAGGAGGATGCCCTGAATCTCACAGACTACACCAACAAGCTTCTCCAAACCATGCAGAGAGTCTTTGGAGCTCAGGTATGAAACTAAACACCACCTCACCAACAAGGATCATGCCACAACAATGGTATATGATATAGATATTTATTGATGGATGATATGGTCAGATGTGGAGGCTGGGTGAAGACTCAGGATGGGGGCTCTGTCTCAGGTGGTCAGCCCAGCCAAGTGATATAGAAATGTTGATTTTTCAATCTTATCAACTTATTTTCAGGTTAAAATGTTGAAATGTAACTTTTATATTTATTTAAGAACTATTTTTGAATACAATTAATTATTAAATATACAATTTATTATTAAATATGATAGATGTTTCCAAATACGTTGTTTACATTTTATTGTATCTCTACAGATAAACTTTGCTTGCCTTTTCTAACTGATATAGTTCCAAATACGCATTGTGATGTTATTATTGTCATTATTGTATAATGACGATAAAGGCTTTCTATTCTATTCTATTCTATTATTTGAGATATCTTTAAATATGCTCTGAAGTTTATGTCTGTCTTTTGTCTCCACAGAGTGAGATGGGGCTGGCCACAGAACAACTTGCTCAGCAGCTTCTGGACTATGAGAAAAAGGTACGACTCGGTAAAATTATGCCCTTTAATCCAAATGCTTTTGTGACTTTATCCGTAAACCTACCATACCAACACCAAAAATGTGTTTATCTTACCTGCCCCACATCTATGTTAAACATTTTAGACCTGCCCAATGTTTTGAGCATAGACTCTATATGTTAATGGACAGAGAGTAACTTGCTATCTGCCGCACACCTAGCTGGAAGTGAGCATGGGTGTACTTCCAGCTCCATCAAGTCTGGCCCCTTTCACTTTCTATTGAAAAACTGTCACCCCTCTCTCTTGTAACTGCTGCAGTGAGCATCGTCATTTTGATCTTAAAATGTTCGTATTAACCCGCCCTACATGATCCTGGTGTTTTTATTTCGCTATTTTGTCAATAAATAATTTTTCCCCCCATAACTGCTACTCTTGATAAGCTTCATTTGACTGGAGCTGAACTCTATGGTTGACATGACACTCCCTTATTCCACTTCTTTATACAGTATGGTTTTGATGTTGAACTCACACCAAAACAGAGTTGTGATTACTGAGTTGAAGTCTGTGCCAATAAACTTACATTTTTACATGGAGTTGAATCTCTGGCTTTGCTGTGCACATTAGCTGCCAGCTCGTTTGGCAAATAGAAGTACTTATAAGTTTGCAGATGCATGTGCAGTCTGGATCGGTGCCTCTGGATGTTGTTTTTGGGGATTACTTGTTACTTTTTCATCCTCTTTGTAGAACTTTGCCCTTGGAAAAGGCGACGAGGAGGTAATCACCACGCTACAGAGCTTCGCCAAAACTGTCGGGGAGGTGAGGACAGCTCTGCAATTATCCTGCTCATTTCTGTGTTTGTACTGTGGAGGAGAGGGAAATGGAGGAGGGCCATGCTGTTTGTATTACAGTATTGGATTTCTCAAAAAATGTATACACAAATACTATCGATTAACTCTAAAACTACTGTTGATATTAAATTGGAACTGTAAGCCGTGTTCAAACCAAACTTGTCTGGCGAGAACAAAGCGAATGATTTACATTTTCTTATGTAAAGGCACATTGACTCGTGAATAAAGTTCTGCGGCGAGAATGACACGAATTGGACGGCACGATTCGTGTGTTTTGAGTGGTACGAATAGGCAAAATGAGTGCCGAGAATTTGTGAAACTGGCATTAATGCGTAAATTCCCAAAAGGAAGGGGCTCGAAAATGTTTCCAAAGTTTATAATTTTTAACTTTCTGCAATTATTCACGTCATATCAACCGATCAGGGGCCGTGTTCTGATAGTGACGTATAATACTGAGAGAGACACGACTTTTCATTCAACACTCGTTGCCGTGGGGAACGAGCTGCTATTAAACGATACCAGCATGAGCCAGTACAGAGACTGGATAAGATAAGCTCAACAGAGCAGGACCTACACCAGTCTCCTTTATTCTGGTCCTGGTCTCAGTCCTGGTCTGGTCTCGGGCTCAGTCCTGGTCTGCAATGTTGGACTTTTGCACTGCATCCAGAACTGAACCAGGACGAAACGAGGTCTAAACCAGATCTAAACCAGAACTGAACCAGGACTAAACCAGATCTCAATCCTGGTCTGGTCCCGATCAGGCCCCGGTCTCAGTCCTGGTCCTGGTCTGGTCCCGGGCTCAGTCCTGGTCTGCGATGCCGGACGTTTGCACCGCATACAGACTGACCCAGGACTAAACTGTTCTCGGTCCCGTTCTCGGTCCCGTTCTCGGTCCCGTTCTCGGTCCCGTTCTCGGTTCCGGTCTTGGTCCCGGTCTCGGTCCCGGTCTCAATCCCGGTCTCAATCCTGGTCTCAGTCCCGGTCTCAGTCCCGGTTTGGTCAGCCTACTCGTTGTAGTCCAAATCCACCATTTTACGCAGAGGACAAGGTGCAACGAATGGAGTGAATTTACTCCTGCAACCAAATTCCCTAACTCGAGCGACCTGGACACGCAAATGAAGCGAATGACTCAAAAAAGTCATGCGGCAAACTAGGGGCATTTGACGTGATTTATTCACACCAGACGGTTTTGGCCTGAACATAGCTTAAGAAAAATCAATTCTGGACCAAGACCAGTGTAAGGGCACATTTAAGAAACAAAAGCATCATTTTGTCTTAAACATTATATTCTATTGTATAAAAATTGTGTTTAATTACCGTTCTGCTATCCTTATCATCAAAATTGAGTTCAAAATATTAGTATTTTAACAACATACATTAAAAAGAACTATTTGGATTAGGGTTTTTAAAAAATCAGTACCCAGATACAAATCAATACTTACTCAATACTCAAATCTATATAATCATTTCAGTGTTTGCGCCAATACTGAACAAAATCCCATATTATTACATACAAATTGGACCTTTCCTCAACAGTGTTAGAATGTTCTTGGTCTTTATCAGAACTAGTATGGGACCTATTATTTGGTTTTGAAAATGTCATTTTATGCTTTAAAAAACGCCTTATTACTGATATTGAACTGAACACTAATTGGGCGTAGGGCTGTTCAACTCATATTTCAAGCATGATTATAATTATTATTCCAATCAATTTAAAAAATACTAAAATTGAAAAAAAAGAAAAAAGAAAAAAACATGATATGGTATATAGTGGCTTCTAAATCTGGTGGTACATGAAAATCCAAATATTTTCTTAGATGGTATGAAAAGTTTGAAAACTACTGGTCTAGAGCCAAAGGTGCATTGTTGCCTCTTCCCTCTGTATTCTTCACATAAATGAGTTGCGGAAGAAAAATGTCCATTCCCCAAAAGTGTTGACCTGTTAGGACCAGACCCAGGTGCTCTATTGCAATGATGAACAGGCTGCTCAGTTTTCTTTTTTGCACTACACTAACAAATAAAGCAATGATATGTTCAAATTATGACTCCAAATTACTAATTTAAATTATACTTAAAGCAGTATCATTTTAAACCGTTATTGATGTCTTGTAAAAACTTAACCCATGCCGTGTAGACTTAATATTAGTAATGTTTGCATTTTAAAGGTCAACTCCTGCCTCACAGCAGGAAGGCTCTGGGTTCGATCCCCGGGTCGCCCGGGCCTTTCTATGTGGAGTTTGCATGTTTCTCCCCGTGTCTGGATGGGTTTCCTCCGGCGCTCCGGTTTCCCCCATCAACCCAAAACATGTTACATAGGTCTCCAAGAACAGTTGATAGTCAAGGTCAGTTAAATACAATCAATCAATGAATCTGCTCAGGGACCACAGGTGGAAATTAGCACTGATGCTACAACCTGATGTACAATGCATCTCTCCTCTCGAGGTCGATGTGAAAATTGTGCACTGTCCCTGTCTCAAAAATAAATAAATAAATAAATGAATTAATTAAACTAGTGCTAAATAAACAATGCCAACAAAGACTAGTACTGCAGAGGAGCAAATGTGGAAAAACCATCAAAACCAGCCTACGCCTTGTATACTCTCTGTATTTCCATGTCATAGTTTGAGTAACACTGCTTTAATTCTTAAAAATAAATACATTTGTCTAACTAGACACATTGTACACATTGTACCTTCAGGTAGAAAAAAAACAATGAAAGAGTATTTGGAAGATGAAATGGTGCCAAGTGTTTTCATTTACAATCCAAGCGGAGTACACCTGCCTCTCTGCAGGTGGTGACCTTGTGGATAATAAACATTTTCCTCTCTGTTTCTCACAAAACTAATTTATTTGGGGCTAAAAGGAGAGTGTGCCTGACAGTGCTATTGTCCCAGCTACAGCAAACGGAAACTTAAAGGGAATCATATTGTGTGTTTGATTTCTTTGACCACCGACACCACCAACAACAACAACAACCTAGTTCTAAGTATACCAGATCTCCACATTCTAAATGGGCCAAGACTTCTAATAAGGGAAATAAGAAAGATGGCACAAACCAAGGCTAAACTAGGAATGAATCAGAAATCAGATCAATGACATTACATTTAGACAAGATAATAATTAAATGAACTAAACCAAACCAAGCCAAATGATTAACAAAACAGAATAAACCATGAGAACAATGACAACTATTTGCTATATGCTATTTTCTGCCTTTTACATGTTCCAGAGTATGGCATTTAATTTATCCATCTCCATTTATTAAATCACAGTTTTTTTGCTGCCAAAAAAAAAATACTTGGAGAAACATGCATTCTCTGTGAGTGGAATTGACTGGCCTCTTCACAGATCTGACTCTGATTCTAACGTGGCATGCTTGTCTACACTGAGATAAGTTAAATTCTATGCTGCAGCTTATTCAAGGCAGTTTTTTTTTCCATGCAAGCAGATGGTGTACCCGCTAGCAGAAAAGTTGCACTTTTAAATGTGAATTCTGAACTCTATAGCATAGATGCAGTTGTCCACATCAGTGTGAGCTATGGGCTGGTGTGGCCTTGCTGAGTCAGCGGTGGTCAGCGAGTTTACGGTAAGCACATACGTTCAGAGGACACAGGTGATGGTGCATTTGACCTCATCACTCTCAGAGAGGGGAGAGAGTAGCCTTCAGAGTAGCCATGATTTTGGATGAAGAGATCAAATCGCAATTTTTATGACAAGCAATGTGATTAGTTTTGAAATTTATGTTTTCAAAGCTGAATTCTGTTAACAATGCACATTTTAAAAATGTACAGGAGCTTCATCATTTCAGTGAAGAATAAAATATAATCTGCTATACCACTTCATTCATTTTAGAATACGTACTGTATAATACATATAATTAGGTCTGTGGAATTAATTGAATTTGAACCGATCAAATTTTAAAGTTTACATTTGAAATTTCTATTCATCAATAATATGTATGGGCCTTCTTAATTGTTGATAGACTGTAGACCCCAGCATGTTTTTATGGAGATGCTTTGCCTGGGATGTTCCACAGTATGATGTACACAGATAAGTTAACTATTTCCATCCACATCACTATCCAGGTAATGCCATCAGGCCAAGATACAGGTCAGATCTGAGAGTCGATTTTCTGAAGCTATTTTTGAGAACTACTAACACATGTAATGTAATAAATGCAAGACAAAAAAGTTTGATGCTTTACTGTGGAACATTCCAAGCAAAGCAACAACATACCCATGCAGAGAAGCAAGTGGAATACCCTCCTATTTAACCTTATATAACTTACAGAATTCAAATAGAAGTAGCAAGAACAAAGGACGTAATTGTAAAGTGTCATTGTTATTCAGTATTTGAGAAACCAAAATACAATTTGAGTCAAGCATTAGGGTTCACTGCTGCAGCTATTCCAGTGAACTCTGGCACTTTCTAAATCTGCATGATTAAACTAGCTTAGCGCCGCTAACGGCTGCTCAATGATAAGCTCAAAACAGTTGTAGTGAGATTTGTTTGCTAACGTGATATGTTTCCAGTAAACTCCAGATTTTTTTCACAATACGGCTTATTCCACCACATGAACAACTAACAGTATTATACTAGGAGACTAGCCATGGGTGGAAAATTGGGGAAATTGCCATAGCAATTAACAATTCTAAACAAAATGACAGAAAATAATGGTAAAAAGTCAAGTGAATGAAACCTACGAATAAAACCAGGAGTAAGCAAGTGGAATAAAAGAGACAAAATGAAAATTTGTTCAATTACATTATTATGAGGCCCGAGCGCCAGAAGCTGGCGAAGGGTCTATTAGTATCGCAAAGCGATGCTCCTAGTGGCCGAAAAGTTAAATGGTGTGACATGACTTGCCTGTAGTGACCAGGGACCCTCACCATGACTTCGCAATGCACCAGAGATTTCCGAAAATGTATAGTTTGTCGGCCAAAAAAAAAAAAAGCGGAACATTGTTCTCGTATCAAAATATTATTCTTTTTTATTAGGCCCGAGCCCTGACAGGGCGTAGGGCCTATTGCTTTCGCTACGAGGAGCAAATGGGGAGCGACGTGCGCATGGGCGAATGAGAGAGGACGACATGCAACTTTGTCCTCGGTCACCCCCGGCACGAACAGCAGTATCCCAGTAACCCACGCCCAAGACCTGAGCCATATTTATTTTATATAGCCATATTTAAAATGAATGGAAGTGAATGGGGAGGTCATGGGCGACCCCAACGAGATGGTGCAGATGCACCCGTCACTCACCAATGGCGCTATAGTGTTCACTTTTCATATGTTTTATAGTGTATTATATTCAGGCAGGGATCAGGCATTAGTGATTCAAATTTCAGCACAATCGGACTAAGCCTGTGTCTGTAATCATTTTTGTAAATATTTTTTGGGGGAGTCATTGCGCCCCTACTGGCCAACCGTGGAAAATGCATCATGTCCGTAATAGACTTTTTTGCTTGTCATCATGCATAGAATTTACTCTCCGAATTTGGTACAAATCCGATAATGTTGACGTCATGTCTATGGTAGGGGGCGCTATAGATTTCACTTTTCATATACTTTATAGTGTATTATGTTTAGGCCGTGATCAGGCATTAGTGATTCAAATTTCAGCACGATCGGACTAACCCTGTGGGTGTAATCATTTTTTTACTAGTTTTTGAGGGAGTCTTTGTGCCCCTACTGGCCAACCGTGAAAAATGCATCATGTCTGTAAAAAACGTTTTTGCTTGTAATCATGCATAGAATTTAATTCCCGAATTTGGTGCTAATCTGATAATGTTGACATTTCATGTCAATGCTAGGGGTGCTATAGAGCTCACTTTTCATATGTTTTATAGTTTATTATATTCAGGTCGTGATCAGGCATTAATGATTGAAATTGCAGCACGATCGGACTAAGCCTGTGGGTGTAATAATTTTTTAACTATTTTTCGGAGTCTTTGCGCCCCTGCTCACCAATGGTGGAAAATGCATCATGTCCATAATAAACTTTTTTGCTTGTCATCATGCATAGAATTTAATCCCCGAATTTGGTACAAATCCGATAATGTTGACATTTCACGTCTATGCTAGGGGGCGCTATAGAGTTAACTTTTATTAAATTTGATATTTCATCACATTCAGGCCTGGATCACGCAATTGTGATTTGAATTTGAGCTCTCTAGGCCAATGCCTGTGGCCGTGACAGCGGCGTGCTACGGGCGAACCGTAAGGAGTATCCCAAAAAAAGTTGAAAATTTCTGTGAGTTTATGTCTGTAGATGTGACATGTCAAATCTGAGCTCATTTGGACCAAACCCCGGGGACTTGAATCTTTTTGTAGACACCCAAGTCAAAACGGCGCCAAATTTTAGATCCAATATGGCCGACTTCCTGTTCGTCATAGGGTGATGCTCCAATTCATCTTTTGGCTTGTCTCATTGTTCTCTATCACTGTTCCAAATTTCGTTTCCCTGCGACAAACTTTGCCTGTCCCCACTCCCATAGGGGTCCAATTCTAGGCGGCGCTGTTAAGTCGGGTCACTCGGGTCATTGTTGCGATGCCCATTTTATCAAATTTTTCGCCGAACCAATCGATCTGAACCCCGGTTTGGGGACTTTTCGTCCATGTTCAGGGGGTCAAAAATGCGATCGTTTGGTCGGAAAAGGGAATAAAAAAAAACAAGAAACCGACGAAGAACAATAGCCCTCGCCAGTTACTTTGTTACTGTCTCGGGCCAATAATAAGAAACCGGCGAAGAACAATAGTCCTCGCCAGTTACTTCGTTACTGGCTCAGGCCAATAATAATAATAATTCGAGCAAAAACAATATATCCGAAAACTTTAGAACAACATATTATACGTTTTTTGAAAGCTCTCGACCTTCCCCATGTCACCGTGGGATCATTGGTGAGTGACGGGCACTGACGCGCTCGTCATTCGCCATCTCGTCGAGGTCACCCATCGCCTTCCATTGACTTCCATTCATTTTAGCAGTAGTAAATATGAGCCAGGCCTTGGGTGTGGGTTACTGGGATACTGCTGTTCGTGCCGGGGGCGACCGTGGACATAGTTGCATGTCGTCTTGTTGCATTCGGACATGCGCACGTCGCTCCCCATTCGCTCCGCTTAGCGGAAGCAATAGGCCCTACACCCTGTCGGGGCTCAGGCCTAATGACTCGTCAGCGCCCCCAAACAACTCAAAAATGCATTAGGGAATACGAATGAGGGAAAAAAAATTTGCACCTACGAACATGAAATTTGACACAGAAGTCGATCATGTCAAGACAAGGAAAAAATATTATTACGCCAACACCGTGCGCTCCACTAGGGGGTAGCATATTGGATTAAAGTTGGCTAAGCTTTTACGAACTCCTCCGAGGGCGTTCACTTGAACAAGCTAAAATTTGGTCCACATTATCTCAAGAGGTGGAACATCAAATGTTATAAAAATTTTTCATACACGTCTTACGGTCTCTGAACAGTGAAGCGACAAAAAATTCACACAATTTTGGAGATTCACAAATTGCTCCCATTTGCTCAAACGAACTCCGATTTCAATGAAATTTGAAACAGTTGTTAAACTCTCTGCCCAGAAGCTACTTCATGTGAAAATTATTAATTTGGCGCATTAGCGCCCCCTATAGATTGAAACTAAATTTCATATGGGAGAAAATCATTTGTTCCCAAATAGTTGTTCAAAATTTTTTGTAATTTTGCACAAAATTCTATTTTGGCATCCTGATCCAAAAGTCAATGACACCCATGTCATATTTTTATGGCGTTGCCATAACGATGACATAAACTCTCCATGTTATTCCATTGGTAGAATTGACAAATTCCGGCACAAACTTTGGCCGATTTCACTCAAATTTTTATCCTGGGTTCACACCCCGACCCTGAACAGATTGATCTAAGAAAAATTTGTAAAATAGTGCCCCCTAGAAAAGTTGTATGGAAAATAAGGTTTTATTTTTCATAGATTTACAAAATTTGGTATCCACATTTGTGACATGGTCTTGATTAAAAAAGTCAATGAGGCCCACACCCCATTTACATTGTGCTGCCATGGCAACAAGTCAAAATTCTACCCTTGCCAATGGGATGTCCTTACACAAACTTTGGCATAGCCAAACCAAATTTGGTAGAAAGATGCATCATGGCAACAAGAACAAAAATGTATATTGTGACCACGCCCCTTTATAAACCGGAAGTCTGCCATTTTTGATTTTTTTCCCAATAAACACATGCAAAAATTTTGAAAAATTAATGGGTTAGGTTAAGAGGCAGGGTTAGGGCTTAGGGCGGGGTCTATGGTTAGGATTACGACCAGGGTTAGGTTAAAGTTTAGGGTTTTTAGCGTTAATGCAGGGCAGTGTTCTGAGGGGCATGGCGTTTGTTTGGTGGGATTGTATAGGCACGCGCGAGGGCTGATCATGCCACTTGCGGCTATATTTATTATTATTATTATTATTGTTATTTTAATTGCTTTATATGCAATCTTACTAAGAGTGTCACCTCTCCACCGACCTGACCTATAACTTAACATGATGATACCATTTGCTTGTCTCCATGGAGCTGAATAAATTTAATGCCATGCTGTGGAACATTCCAGAGTCAAGCACTCCACTAGAAAAGTTACACAGAGCAACTTTAAAGCGGACTTATTCTGCAAAATCAACTTTTTAGACTATGTTCTAATTGTTTCCTTCTAATTTACCCTCTTCAAGTTGTATATGGAATGATTCATGAACGTCTCAATCTTTAATAGCTTATCACCCCCCTTTTTCACCACCACCTGTACATGCCTCTGCTCTGTACTTACTACATTCTCCAATTTTATTTTCTTAATCCAGGCACAAGCACAATAGTCTGCTTTAATTAGAACAAAATTAACTACTGATTAAGAGCATTAAAAATTGACCATGTCAGGCTGAATGGGACTGAACCAGGTTTAAGAGAGATCAAACCTTCCTAGACTATGATAAGGACTACACCAAGACTGAACCAGAGCAACTAGATCCAAACAAAACTAAAGACTAAACCAGGATTATTACACCACAGAGTAGATATTATTATATTCCTCACCTTACCAGCGTTCCGCTGTATGCGGCCCTAATGAGGTAGAGAGGGTTGGTGTCCGTAATGCTGAAAATGCGACTTCACAGATTGCTTTGGGAGAGACTTGGCACCAATGTGGGACCATTCGGGATTTTTGGCTCTGGAGCAGGTCTCTTTGTGTGTCCTTGTACGGATCTTAATATTTTTGCCTAATCTATGTTAAACTGTTTCGTACAGCTGAACTCGCTCCATTCGGAGTTAGCCAACCAGATGGCTGACAATATGGTGTTTCCCCTCATCCAGTTTAGAGAGAAGGACCTCACAGGTAACGCTATAATGTGCATTTTACCTGCTTAGATTATGTCTAATGAACATGTATACACCAGTTTATCATAACATTGTGTCCACCTGCTAAATATGTAATAACAAATATGATCAATAAATATTTTTTATTTTAGAAGAGGCAAACGTTTTCTCGATTCTGAGTTACTACAACATTTTCATGTATCGCTATTATTCCTTCACTTTTGTTAGATACTGACTACTGTAGATCGAAAACACACCCGAAACTAACTAAAAAAAAAACTATAACAGGACTAGACTTAGACTGAGAATAGTTCTAAGAAATATGTTCAGAAAAAGTTCTAGCGGCAAATTTGAGGAAAAGTTGGTAAACATGTTTCCAATAATTTGAGGGTGCTGATTCCAAATATTTTGTTTACCAAGCTGAATTTTGAGTTTTTAAGAATCCTAATTAGCATAATAGCATAGACAGCAGGCTAATCAAATTAAAGTTCTCTTTAATTTAATGGATTTCATAAAAAGTCCAGAAAACAAATACCAGTATACTGTAAATATATCAGAAAAATATTATAACTAAGATAGAAGTCACCACATGACCCCTAATTAGCATACTGAAATAAAAACAAGGCTATACTGCAGCTTTACCTCAGCCTCTGTGATAAGGTCTGTGCCTGGGTCTGGAGAGGAGAATCCGGCCAATCGAACCTCGGATCCAGGAGAAGCAGTGTGGTTTTCGTCGTGGCCGTGGAACACTGGACTAGCTCTACACGTGGTTGATGTTGTCCTGATGGCTTCATCAGAACAGGACCTGCAGCACTGGGGCGGTTTGCCGTGGTTCTCAACCAAAAAAAGGTGTCTTGTCCTCTCCGGGTGGGTGGAGAGTCCCTGCCTCAAGTGGAGGAGTTCAAGTATCTCGGGGTCTTGTTCACGAGCGAGGGGAGGATGGAGCGTGAGATTGACAGTCAGATCGGTGCAGCATCAGCAGTGATGCGGTCGTTGTATCGGACCGTTGTGGTGAAGAGGGAGCTGAGCCGAAAAGCAAAGCTCTCGATTTACCGTCAGTATACGTTCCTCCCCTCACCTCTGGTCATGAGCTCTGGGTAATGACTAAAAGGACAAGATCGTGGATACAAGTAGTCGAAATCAGTTTCCTTGGCAGGGCATCTGGGCGCTTCCTTAGAGATAGGGTGAGGAGCTCAGCTATACGGGAGGAGCTCTGAGTAGAGCTGCTGCTCCTCCACGTGGAGAGGAGCAGCTGAGGGGAGGGTATCTGTTCTGGATGTCTCCCTCGGGAGGTGTTCCGGGCACGACCCAATGGGAGGAGGCCCAGGACAAGCTGGAGGGACTATGTCTCTGGGCTGGCCTGGGAACACCTCAGGGCCCCCCCTGGAGGAGTTGCAGGAAGTGTCTGGGGTCAAGGAAGTCTGGGAGTCCCTACTTAGACTGCTGCCCCCGCGACCTGGCCGCGGATAAGTGGAAGAACATGGATGGATGGATGGATGGATAATATATTAATACATTATATATATATATATATATATATATATATATATATATATATATATATATATATATATATATATATATACACACACACACACACAAACACATATACATTAAAAAAAAAAAGTGTTTCTCACCTTCCACGGTGTTTGGTCTCTCACCCTCATTCAGCTCGGGTCCACTACCAGAGGCCTGGGAGCCTGAGAGTTCTGCGCAGTATCTTTGCTGTCCCCAGTACTGCACTTTTCTGGACTGAGATGTTCGTTGTTTTCCCGGTATCTGTTGTAGCCACTCTTCCAGTGTGGGGGTTACAGCCCCGAGTGCTCTTATCACCACAAGCACCACTGATGCCTTTACTTTTCAGGCTCTCTCTAGCTCCTCCTTGAGCCCCTGGTATTTCTCTAGTTTCTCATGTTCCTTTTTCCTGATATTACCATCGTTTGGTATTGCGATGTCCACCACCACGGCTCTGCTCTGTTAATTATCCACCACCACTATGTCTGGTTGGTTCGCCATCACCATCCTGTCAGTCTGTATCTGGAAGTTTCACAGTATCTTGGCCCAGTCATTCTCCACAACCTTTGGAGGTGTTTCCCACCTTGATCCTGGGGTCTCCAGCCCGTACACTGGCCATATGTTTCTGTACACTATGCCCGCCACTTGGTTATGTCGCTCCATGTATGCTTTCCCTGCCAGCATCTTACACCCTGCAGTTATGTGCTGGACTGTCTCAGGAGTCTCTTTGCACAGTCTACACCGTGGGTCTTGTCTGGTGTAGTAGATCTGGGCCTCTTTTGCTCGAGTGCCCAGGGCCTGCTCCTGAGCAGCCAGGATCAGTGCCTCGGTGCTGTCCTTCAGACCAGCCCTCTCAAGCCATTGATAGGATTTCTTGATATCAGCCTCTTCAGTTATGTTCCAGTGGTACGCCCCATGTAGGGGCTTGTCCTGCCATGATGGTCCCTCCAGCATCTCTTCCTCTGGACCCCATGGTGAGACATTCTCTGAGCACCTCATCTGTTGGGGCCTTGTCCTTGATGTACTTAAGGAGCTTGGATGTTTCATCCTGGACAGTGGTTCCCACACTCATTACTCCTCGGCCTCCTTCCTTCCGGCTTGTGTACAATCTCAGGGTGCTGGATTTGGGATGGAACCCTCCATGCATGGTCAGGAGCTTTCGTGTCTTAACATCTGTGCTCTGTATCTCCTCCTTTGGCCAGCTTACGATTCCTGCAGGGTATCTGATCACTGGCAGGGCGTAGCTGTTGATTGCCTGCGCCTTGTTCTTGCCATTGAGCTAGCTTCTTAGAACTTGCCTCACTCTTTGCAGGTATTTGGCCGTAGCCACTTTCCTTGTTGCCTCTTCGAGGTTGCCATTTGCTTGTGGGATACCAAGGCACTGTCCTCAACATCTGCTATTATTCCCTCTGGGAGTGGGACCCCCTCTGTGTGGTCTACCGTCCCTCTCTTTGTCACCATCCTACTACATTTCTCAAGCCTGAATGACATCCCAATGTCTGTGCTGTAGATCCTGGTGGTGTGGATCAGTGAGTCGATGTCTCGCTCACTGTTAGCATACAGCTTGATGTGATCCATGTAGAGGAGGTGACCGATGGTGGCCCCGTTTCTGAGTAGGTATCCGTAGCCAGTGCGGTCAATGATTTGGCTGAGGGGGTTTAGACCTATGCAGAATAGCAGTGGGGACAGTGAGTCTCCTTGGTATATGCCACATTTGATGGACACTTGTGCAAGTGGCTTGCCATTGGCTTCGAGGGTGGTTTTCCACAACCGCATTGAGTTTGCAATGAAGGCCCTTAGAGTCCTGTTGATATTGTACAGTTTCAAGCACTCAGTGATCCATATGTGTGGCATTGAGTCGTAGGCTTTCTTGTCATCAATCCAGGCAGTGCACAGGTTGGTCTTATGGGTTCTGCAGTCGTGGGCGACTGTTCGGTCAACCAGGAGTTGGTGCTTGGCTCCCCTGGTGTTTTTGCCAATGCCCTTCTGTGCTGCGCTCATGTATTGATCCATGTGCCTGCTTATCTTAGCTACAATGATGCCTGACATGAGCTTCCATGTTGTGGAGAGACAGGTTATTGGCCGATAGTTGGATGGGACTGCACCCTTTGAGGGATCCTTCAGGATCAGGATCGTATGCCCTTGGGTTAGCCATTCAGGTTGAGTCCCATCCCTTAGCAGCTGGTTCATTTGTGCTGCCAGCCGCTCATGGAGAGCAGTGAGCTTCTTTAGCCAGTATGCGTGGATCATGTCAGGGCCTGATGCGGTCCAGTTTTTCATAGCTGAGACTTTTTCCTGGATGTCTGCCACTGTGATGGTGACTGGATTCTGTTCAGGGAGGTTGCTGTGGTCTTCTCTCAGATCCACCAGCCACTGTGCAACTGTGTTATGTGATGCCTCCCTCTCCCATATGACTTTCCAGTACCTCTCAGCCTCCAGCCTTGGTGGGTCAGCTCTGGTGTTATTACCCTGCCACCGAGCATACACTTTCACTGGTTATGTTGCGAACAGCCGGTTTATGGCTTCCTTATCTCGTGTGTACCTCTTTAGGCGGCTGGCCAAGGCTTAGAGCCTTTGTTTGGCAGTTTCGAGTGCTTCAGGTATGGGGATCTGGTTGTACCTCTTGGGTACTTGCTTTTTCATTGCACCTTTCTGGACCTCTGACAGTTGGCTCACTTCTCTTCTCGCCTCCTTGATTTTAGCCTCTAACTGTCTTTTCCATGGTGGGTATCGTATCTCATGGTTCCCATGGTTGCTCTTATAGCCCAGCACCTTTAGGATCACTGCTGCTGAAGTGTATATCAGCTCATTTGTTTCAGTGATGGTTGTGGTAGGGATCGCTCTCAGTGCTGCATTCACATCTTCTAGGAGACTTTCAGATGGTACTTCACTTAGCCTCTGTAACTGGCACCGGGGTTGCCTTGTGTTAATTCAGGCCATGATCTTATCTTTCAGGTCAGTCGCTGCCTCGCTCAGCGTGATACTTATTGGGGCTACATACCCAATCTCCAGTTGAGGAGTTGGTGTTAACTCCCCTCTGACCTGGTGTTCTGGTTCCCCCTTGCCCTAGCATTTGTGTTTTACCTCATCAATCTCTAGTTGTGATAGCAGTTGCCGTTTGTGGATGTTGGAACACTGAGCTACTAGTTGTTTGGCAGTTAGCTTGGACTGTGGGTATCATAATAACCATTTCTCCCACATCCTGTTCATGTAACCCCTCTGACTAGGGTTACTGTAGTAGTAGCATTCCAACAGAGCCTTGTTCATCGCATATATATATATATATATATATATATATATATATATATATATATATATATATATATATATATATATATATATATATAGTATATATATATACATACATTTTCTTCCGCTTATCTGCGGCTGGGTCGCGGGGGCAGCAGTCTAAGCAGGGACTCCCAGACTTCCTTCACCGCAGACATGTCCTCCAGCTCCTCCAGGGGGACCCCAAGGCATTCCCAGGCCAGCCGAGACACAAAGTCCCTCCAGTGTGTCCTGGGTCTTCCCTGGGGCCTCCTCTCGGTGGGACATGCCCGGAACACCTCCCGAGGGAGGCGCCCAGGAGGCATCCGGAACAGATGTCCGAGCCACATCGCTGCATTGACAGTAGAGGCCGAGAATGAAGCCCACTCGGACTCCATGTCTCCAGCCTCCCCAGGAATCTGTGAGAAGTCCTCTCGGAGGTGCGAGTTGAAAGCCCCTCTGACAGAGGGCTCCACCAGATGTTCCCAACAGACCCTCACTACATGCTTGGGCCTGACAGGTCATTCCGGCTTCCTCCTCCGCCAGTGAACCCAACTCACAACGTGGTGGTGATCAGTTGACAGCTCTGCCCCTCTCTTCACCCGAGTGTCCAAGACACATGGCTGGAGGTCAGATGACACGACTACAAAGTCGATCATCGACCTCCGGCCTAGGGTGTCCTGGTGCCACGTGCACTGATGGACACCCTTGTGCTTGAACATGGTGTTTGTTATGGACAAACTGTGACTTGCACAGAAGTCCAGTAACAGAACACTGCTCGGGTTCAGATCAGGGAGGCCGTTCCTCCCAATCACCTCTCTCCAAGTGTCACTGTTGTTGCCCACATGGGCTTTGAAGTCCCACAGTAGAACACAGTAGTCCCAGGTTGGTGCACTGTCTAGTACCCCTCCCAGGGACTCCAAGAAAGCCGGGTACTCTACGCTGCTGTTCGGCCCGTAGGCCGACACCACAATGAGAGACCTGTCCCAGACCCGAAGTTGCAGCAACGTCGCTGGCCTCTGAGTGGACATCATCATATAGGGCTTCAGAACCGCTCTTCATCTGACCCGTCCCCCAGGACCTGTTTGCCTTGGGTGACCCTACCAGGGGCATGAAGCCCCTGACAATATAGCTCCCTGGATCATTAGGGCACTCAAACCCCTCCACCACGATAAGGTGGCAGTTCAGGGAGGGATATATATATATAAATTCATATGCAAATTAGAAGGCTTAGAACTCAAAAATCCAGCTTGGTAAACAAAATATTCAGAATCAGCACCCTCAAATTATGTAAAAAAAAAAATGTTTTACCGACTTTTCCTCAAATTTGCCCCTAGGACTTCTCTTCTGTGAAAATAATCCTAGTCTAACTAGGGTTATGCCTGGAATAGACATGCAATAGACCAGGATATAAACAGGTCTAAACCAGGTCTAAAGCACCTCAGGTGGATATTGACCACTGTGAACTGGGTAACACCCCAAACAAGCTGCAATGAACCAGGACTAAACCACGATTAAAGTAGTACTAAACCAGGCCCAAATAGGATTAAACGATGACAAAACTAAAAAAGTAAGTCTCACAAAGATGACCCTCTTCAGTGCACATATTAACAGCTGTCGGTCATGACGTTATGTTTGCTTGAAAACTGTATTTGGTTTGTTTAATATCCCCATATAAATCTCATTGCAGAGATCAGCACTCTAAAGGAAATCTACAGCATTGCCACAGATGGTAAGAAGAGATCATTCAATAGAATTCCTTATATTATATTTTGATACCAATGGAGTTGACATGTCGTGCAGAGCATGAAGCAGCTATGGTCAAATACAGCCGGCTGCCCAAGAAGAGGGAGAATGAGAAGGTAAGGGACTATACCCAATTTTGTATATAGCAAGGGCTACCAAGGACTAAGACTAGAATTAAACTAGAACCACACCAGGATTTTGATACCAAACAGGAGCTATAGGCTCTATTCACGCTTGCCAGAAGTGGAAACATGTGGATGACGACTTCCGGTGTACTTCCCGACACTGGGCATGTGATAAATTCAAGGATTCAGCAGCAGCGCTCTTCACAACCTGCCAAAGCTTTCCATGGGGGACAGTATTCTAATCGCGCCTTCCATGTCACTTATAGGCAGCTGGTTGTAACTGTTGATCTGTTGAACATAACGGAACGCTGCAAAGACATCTTTTTTTAGTTTTTAGATTTAAATTAGACAAATTATAATACACAAATTAATAGACAATTAATAAAAGAAAAAAGAAAGAACACAATGACATCTGGATGAAGATAATCACATTTTTTCCCAGATTTTGTCAGAGTTACTTTCGCCAACAGAGCCCAAAGAAAGTTGTCATCCACATGTTTCTAAACCTCTGCCGGTTTTATGACCTAGTGTGAATAGCCTATTGTTCCACCTGCACAGACTTTTCCAGTACATCAACAAATAAGAGGTACAGAGGAGGGACATTGAATGTATGGTACAGAAGATGGACAGTGAATATAGCATGTTTGTCCACCAATCCGAAGGTTGGTAGTAGAGCCCGACCAATATATCGTTTGGCCGATATATTTATTTATATATATTTCACGTGGGCATGATATACTTTGTTATAAAGCTTAGACTCTCTACATTATGTTAATTTAATCCAGTTTACAGACAGATAAATGTCCTAATATGTGGCTCCGTATCAGTATTTATCTGCGGAGTCATTTGTCTGTGTGTGTGTTCGTACTGTCCCTGAACACACCCCCAGAGTCACGTCACTCACATGTTCTTGTTTACACCTGCAGTCATAGATCCATGTGCGCAACACTGTGATTATTTTCTTTTTACGGACAATCGGTTTGAGTCTGGATTAAAAGGACATTTATTAATGCAGACTTGTGATGTGAGGAGGAGCCTGTGTGAGTGGTGAGTGTTGGAAATATGTTGACTTTGAAGCTAGTTTTGGTTCTTTCTCATTGGCTAGCGATTAGCTGCTGTAGCTCCCACACATAAACAGGCTGTTTTCTATTCGCCTATTGTAAATTGTGACTATATTGGCCGTATATTTGTTACTGGACCCGCATTTGCGCATATAATTAATTACCAGGGCGCACACGCATTTACGGCTAAAGGATAATAGAGGTAGTTTCTTTACTAGCTAGTAGTGATGGGTCGGTCGCGAATGAAACGGCTCTTAGAGCCGGCTCTTTGAAGCGAACGACAGGAGCCTGATTCTTATTGGGAGCTGTGTTTTCTCTTTCTCTCACTTTTTTTGTCTTCACGCCGCGTGCAGACTCGTGGTAGTTTGACAGTGGGCAGCGACTGAAAACAAAACTTTCAGAAAGTTGTGTGTGCATAGGAGAGAAAAAAACGTGCATGTTTGGCTGTAATTCAGCATAAAATGAATAAACCAGGACTAATCTTGGGCTCGAGAGAGGGAGAGAGAGAGAGATAGAGACCGAGTCCTGACACTCAGTCCTGGTTCAGTTCTGGTTTAGTCCTGCTTTAGACCTGCTTTAGACCTGGTTTAGTCCTGGTTTAGTCCTGGTTGCAACAAAGCAACCTGAAGAGCCGCTTGGGAGCCGAAAGAGCCAGCTGCTTTTAGGGAGCAGGGCCAAAAGAGCTGGTTCTCTGAAAAGAACTGTAATACCCATCACTTCTAGCTAGAATGTGATGCAAAAATGCCATTAGGCCGACGTACTGTCTGTAAATATGACGTAAAGAGGCAGAATAACAATAAATGTTGCCTAAATAAACCCAATTTAAAATCCAAGTTTTTTTTAAACAATTAAAGATTTACAGTGAATTTTTTTTTTTTTTTATCACAAAATATATCAGCAATTATATCGGCTATTGGCAGCTCCAACTCCCATTATATCGGTATCATATCGGCCACAACAAAATCCATATCGGTCAGGGCCTAGTTGGTAGTTCAAATCCCGCTCTCGACATAAATGTAATTTGGAGAGCAGTCAGATCCATTGACCCACAGGTTGATGATGCGATTCCTGATACCACAGATGATTGCTGTCATTGTGTCCTTGGGTAAGACATTTAACCCATCTCGCCCCCAGTGTCTCCGTACACCAATGTATGAATTTGTGTGTGAATTGAGGAGTGGGTCCTTGATGTAAAAGTGCTTTGAGTGCCTTGAAGGTGAAAAAGCGCTATATAAAAATATATATAATCATTTATCAGACGAAGGAGAGTGAATATATAGTAGAGAGGAGGGGCAGTGACTATATGAGTTGGAGGATGTAGATGATGCCAAGAAACAGGAGTTCTAAAGAAAGATCAAAGAGGATATTTTTAGGCATAGTGAAAGTTGCTCTGATTTCTTGCTTCCTGTTTTCAATTATGCAAAGTCTCTTCTTATTTGTTTGTGAGCCAAAGCATTTGAATACCTATGAGCACTGTGAAACCAAATAGATGTCATATGAGGCTTGTCTACATTTGCATTTTAACCCTTTCCTGTGTTTCAGATGAAGACGGACTTAATTAAGGAAGTGGCCTATACCCGAAGGAAGCAGCACCAGTCTTCCTTGCAGTATTACTGTGCATTAAACGCTCTCCAGTACAGGAAGAGAGTGGCCATGCTGGAACCAATGCTGGGGTACACACAAGCACAGGTACAGCTGCTCTCTGCGGCGGGTACTATTCAAATCACATTTAAATAGAGACTGAGTGAAAATGAGTGTGGCATGAAAAAATCACATACTATAAGATCTTACTAGGGCAATACTTGACACATAGTAACCTCTGGCAAAAAAGGGCAATAGTGATTTTAGCGAATTACAAAGTTGAAAGTTTTGCAGTGATTTTAGTCATTTTAAAACTTTTGAGCACGTAATAGAAATTTCAGAATTTTTCTGTACAATATACCTGTTCTTGGTACACGTTTCTGTAATAGTCATTATCTAGACAGACAAAACAAATTCCTTGCATAGTTCACTGTAAGGTAAAAGTATAGACTGTATAAAGAAATGGAGTGTGATGTCACCCATAGTATTGGGCTCCAGTCAAATGAAGCTCGTTGAGGCTGGCAAAAGCAAAACCTGAATGGCCTGACCTGGTCTGTTCTTAATGTTCATATATTGATTTACAGACAAAATAGCAAAATAAAACCTGTTATAGAGAGAGGGGCAACAGTTTTTCAGTATTAAATCAATTGGAGCCGGAGGTACACCCGTGCTCACTTCCTATTTATGTCCGTTTATACAGTCTATGGGTAAGAGTGATGAATAATTTGCTCAGTTGCCATTGCATTTAACAAATGAAAACAAAAATATAGCTGCAAGTGGCAATGATCGGCCCTTGCGTGCCAATGCCATGCCCTGCAAATGCCGCAAACGCCACAAACGCCGCAAACGCTGCACCCTTCAGAATGCCATGCCCTTCAGTATGCCACACCCTGCACTAACGCTAATAACCCTAAGCTTAAACCTAACCCTAGTCGTAATCTTAACCATAGCCCCAACCCTAACCCTACCTCTTAACATAACCCATTAATTAAAAAAAAATTTACAAGTGTTTATTAAAAAATAAAATAAAATCCAAGATGGCGGACGTCCGGGTTGTAAAGGGCGTGGTCACAATATACATTTTTGTTCCTATTGCCATGACGCATCTGGCTACCAAATTTGGTTTGGCTACGCCAAGGACATGTAAGGACGTCCCATTGGCAAGGACAGAATTTTTGCCTGTTGCCATCGGAACACAATGTAAATGGGGTGTGGGTGTCATTAAGTTTTTTTAATCGAGACCATGTCACAAATGTGAATACCAAATTTTGTATATCTATGACAAATAAAACCTTATTTTTCCATACAAATTTTCTAGAGGGCGCTATTGCACCCACTTTTCTTACATCAGTCTGTTCAGGGTCGAGATGTGAACCCACGATTAAAATTTTAGTGAAATCGGTCAAAGTTTGTGCCAAAATTTGTCAATTTTACTAATGGAATAACATGGAGAGTTTATGTCATCGCTATGGCAACGCCATAAAAAATATGACATGGGTGTCATTGACTTTCAGATCAGGATGCCAAAATGGAATTTTGTGCAAAATTTCAGACATGTTTGAACAACTATTTGGGAAAAAAAAATTTTTCTCCCATATTAAATTTTGTTTCAATCTATAGGGGGCACGGGCCAAATTAATTTTTTTCACAATGAATAGCTGTAGCGCAGAGAGTTTAACAACTTTTTCAAATTTCATTGAAATCTGAGTTAGTTTGAGCAAATGGGAGCAATTTGTAAATCTCTAAAATTGTGTGAATTTTTTGTGGCTTCACTGCTCAGAGACTGTAAGACGTGTGTGAAAAATTTTGATAAATTTTGATGTTCCACCTCTTGAGATAATGTGAACCAAATTTGGGCCTCGGAGGAGTTCGTAAAAGCTTAGCCAACTTTAAGCCAATACTGCTTCCCAATGGTGGAGTGCACGGTGTTGGCATAATAATATTTTGTCCTTGTCTTGACATGATAAACTACCGTGTCAAATTTCGTGATTGTACATGCAAATTTTTTTGGCCCTCATTTGTATTCCCTAATGCATTTTTGAGTTGTTTGGGGGCGCTGACGAGCCATTTTATTTATTTTTGCAAAATGGAAAAAGCCAAAAGTTAGAGAACCATGAGTTTTACCAGATGGCAAAATCTCACTGGGTGGCAATGGTTCACTGGGTGAAAAATGGGTGAATTAGTTAGGAGAAAAATAATAAGAAAGAAATATATAACCGCAAGCGGCAATCATCGGCCCTCGCGCGTGCTTACGTCGTGCCCCGCAAACGCCGCGCCCCACAAATGCCACACCTCACACTGATCCTAATAAAACTAATCTTAAACCTTACCCTAATCGTAATCCTAACCATAGCTCCAACCCTAGCCCTATAAATCTTAATTTAACCCTGCAATTTTCAAAATTTGGCAAAAAAAAATATACAAGATGGCGGACTTCCGGTTTGTAAAGAGGCATGGTCACAAAATACATTTTTGTTCTTATTGCCATGATGCATCTGGCTACGAAATTTGGTTTGGCTACGCCAGCGTTTGTGTAAAGACAGTTTTGGCTTGCTGCCATGGCAACACAATGTAAATGGGATGTGAACATCATTGAGTTTTTTAATCGAGACCATGTCACAAATGTGGGTACCAAATTTTGTATATCTGTGACAAATAAGACCTTATTCTTACATACAAATTTTCCAGGGGGCGCTATTGCACCCATTTTTGTATTTTCTTACATCAATCTGTTCAGAGTTGAGGTGTGAACTCAGGATTAAAATTTGAGTGAAATCGGCGAACTTTGTGCAAATTATCAGTCGTTGAAGTTTGATGGTAAGCCTTAAAAACGAACCTGAAATTTGCACGGTTGCCACGGCTACACCGTTTGACCTTTTAAAAAGCTTTTAACAACTTTTAATGTCCCACTTGTCTAGATGATACAGAATGATTCTGGTGAGTCTGGGTCAAACACCCTAGGACGAGTTCGTTCAAGTACGAGGATAGGTCGCACAATTAATCCAATATGGCCGACTTCCTGTTGGTTGCCTAGCAACCGCGTGATATACTTTTTTGTTCCTATTCCCATGATGCATCTGTGTACCAAATTTGGTTTGGTTACGCCAAAGTTTTTGTTGGGCATCCTATTGGCGAGGGCAGATGTTTGGCCTGTCCACCATAGCAACACGATGGGAAATGGCATGGGGTCGTCATTGACTTTTTTGATCAAGACCATGTCATGAATCTGTGTACCAAATTTTGTATGTCTACAACAAAGTAAATGTTTGTACTACCATGCAATTTGCCTAGGGGGCGCTATTGCACCCATCTGAGATTTTGTTTTATAAATCTGTTCAGAGTCGGGGTGTCAATCAACGATTCAAATTTGAGTGAAATCGGCCAAAGTTTTGTGCCAGAATTTGTAGATTTTACCAATGGAGAGTTTATGTCATCGCTATGGCAATGCCATAAAAAATATGACATGGGTGTCACTGATCTTTGGATCAGGATACCAAAATGGAATTTTGTGCAAAATTTCAGAAATGTGTGAGTAACTATTTGGGAACAAATGATTTTCTTCCATATTAAATTTTGTTTCAATCTATAGGGGGCACTAATGTGCCAAATTAATAATTTTCACATTAAGTATCTTCAGGGCAGAGAGTTTAACAACTGTTTCAAATTTTATTGAAATCAGAGTTCGTTTGAGCAAATGGGAGCAATTTGTAAATCTACAAAATTGTGTGCATTTTTTGTTGCTTCACTGCTCAGAGACCGTAAGACGTGTGTGAAAAATGTGGATAACTTTTGATGTTCCATGTCTTGCGATAATGTGGACCAAATTTTAGCTCGTTCGGGTGAACGCCCTTGGAGGAGTTTGTAAAAGCTTAGCAAACATTCAGCCAATATTGCTGCCCCCTAGTGGAGCTCACGGTGTTGGCGTAATAATATTTTTTCCTTGTCTTGACATGATCGACTTCTGTGTCAAATTTCATGATTGTACGTGCAAATTTTTTTTTTGTGTCATTCGTATTCCCTAATGCATTTTTGAGTCGTTTGGGGGCATTGATGAGCCATTTTATTTATGTTTGGAAAATGGAAATAGCCAAAACGTAGGGAGTTTTATCAGATGGAAAAATTTCCAGGACTTTTCGTCATTGTTTAGTGGGTGAAAAATGGGTGAGTTGGTTAGGAAAAAAATAATAAGAAAGAAAGAAGAAATAATTAAAGCCTCAAGCGGCGTCGAACGGCCCTCGCCCGCGAATGCCGCGCACGTGAACGCCACGCCCACGAACACCACGCCCGCAATTCATGCGCCCCACCAACACGATTCCCTAAAGGCCATGCCCGCAAACTATGTGCCTGCAAATGGCGAAATTACATAGCGCGCCTTTAAATGTTCTTTGCACCCCCTGCTGCCAACTATGAAAAATGCCCATGTCAGTAATATATGTTTTTGCTTCTAGTAATTATTATTAATAGAATTGAATTCCCAAATTTGGTACAAATCTGACAATGTTGACGTTTCATGTCTATGGTAGGGGGCACTATAGTGTTCATGTTTCATATGCTTTATAGTGTATTATATTCAGACTGAGATCATGCATTAGTGATTCAAATTTCAGCATGATCGGACTAAGCATGTGCGTGTAATACTATTTTCAATATTTTTAGGGGGGAGTCTTTGTGCCCCTGCTGGCCAACAGTGAAAAATTCCCCATGACTGTAATATATTTTTTTGCTCGTAATCATACATAGAATGTAATTCCCAAATTTGGTGCAGATCTGACAATGTTGACGTTTCATGTCTATGGTAGGGGGCGCTATAGTGTTCACTTTTCATATGGTTTATAGTGTGTTATATTCAGACTGAGATCATGCATTAGTGATTCAAATTTCAGCATGATGGGACTAAGCATGTGCGTGTAATATATTTTTTTCTATTTTTGGGAGGAGTTTTAGCGCCCCTGCTGGCCAACAGTGAAAAATTCGCCATGTCCATAATATACTTTTTTGCTCGTAATTATGCATAGAATTTGATTCCCAAATTTGGTGCAGATCTGATAATGTTGACGTTTCATGTCTATGGTAGGGGGCGCTATAGTGTTTTTTCATATGTTTTATAGTGTATTATATTCAGACTGAGATCACGCATTAGTGATTCAAATTTCAGCACATCGGACTAAGTATGTGCGAATAGGAGCAAATAATGTCACCTTGAAATTCACCAAAACTTTGACCAAATTTTGCAGCTTCGCGTGACAGTTATCAAAAAAATCAGCTAACGAGAAGTTTGTAAAAGCTTATCAAACTTTCAGCCAATATTACTGCCGGTGTTGGTGTAATAATATTTTTTCCTTGTCTTGACATGATCGACTTCAAATTTCATGATTGTACATGCACATTTTTTTTGGTGTCATTCGTATTCCCTAATGCATTTTTGAGTCGTTTGGGGGCGCTGACGAGCCATTTTATTTATTTTTGGAAAATGAAAATAGCCAAAACGTAGGGAAGCGCGAGTTTTACCAGATGGCAAAATTGTTTAATGGGTGAAAAATGGGTGAGTTGGTTAGGAGAAAAATAATAAGAAAGAATAGAATAATATTCTAATGCGAGAACAATGTTCCGCTTTTTTTTGGCCGACAAACTATACATTTTCGGAAACCTCTGGTGCATTGCTACGTGATGGCGAGGGTCCCTGGTCACTACGGGCGAGTCACGTTGCGCCATTCCATTTTTCGGCCACTTGGAGCATCGCTTTGCGATACTAATAGGCCCTTCGCCAGCCTCTGGCGCTCGGGCCTAATAATTCGAGCAAAAACAATATATCCGAAAACATTAGAACAATATATTATACGTTTTTTGAAAGCTCTCGACCTTCCCCACATCACCGTGGGGTCATTGGTGAGTGACGGGCACTGACACGCTCGTCATTCGCCATCTCTTCAAGGTCACCCATCACCTTCCATTGACTTCCATTCATTTTAGCAGTAGTAAATATGGCTCAGGCCTTGGGCATGGGTTACTGGGATACTGCTGTTCGTGCCGGGGGCGACCGTGGACATAGTGGCATGTCGTCGTGTCGCATTCGGACATGCGCACGTCACTCCCCATTCGCTCCGCTTAGCGGAAGCAATAGGCCCTACGCCCTGTCTGGGCTCGGGCCTAATAATAATATTTTTAGCAAAAACAATATATCCAAAAACATTAGAAGAACATATTATACATTTTTTGAAAGCTCTCGACTTTCCCCACGTCACCGTGGGGTCATTGGTGAGTGACGGGCGCGTCTGGACCATCTCGTTGGGGTCGCCCCCTGACCTTCTACAGTCCCTGACAAAAGTCTTGTCGCTTATCCATTTTGTAGAAACAAAAGCTTATAACTTGACTTTAAATTAATCGATTGGTTTTAGAAATGTCTCATATGAAAGCTAAAACCCTCCCAAATTATGCTCAGTAAACTAAAATAAATTTGCTTCACTGAAGAAAGATTGATCATTTAATGAACACAGAAAGGTCAGATTTTGGCAAGACAAAAGTTTTGTTTTTGTAAGCTTTTGTTTCTACAAAATGGATAAGCGACAAGACTTTTGTCAGGGACTGTATTGACTTCAATTCATTTTAGCAGTAGTAAATATGGCTCAGGCCTTGGGCGTATGTTACTGGGATACTGCTGTTCGTGCCGGGGGTGACCGAGGACAATGTTGCATGTCGTCCTGTCGCATTCGGCCATGCGCTCGTCTCTCCCCATTCGCTCTGCGTAGCGGAAGCAATAGGCCCTACGTCCTGTCGGGGCTCGGGCCTAATAATAATAAAAATAATAATTTTTCGAGCAAAAACAATATATCCGAAAACATTAGGACAACATATTATAAATTTTTTGAAAGCTCTTGACCTTCCCCACGTCACCGTGAGGTCATTGGTGAGTGACGGGCACTGACGCGCTCGTCATTCACCATCTCGTCGAGGTCATCCATGGCCTTCCATTGACTTCCATTCATTTTAGCAGTAGTAAATATGGCTCAGGCCTTGGGCGTGGGTTACTGGGATACTGCTGTTTGTGCCGGGGGCGACCCTGGACATAGTTGCATGTCGTCGTGTCGCATTCGCCAATGCGCACGTCGCTCCCCATTCACTCCGCATTGCGGAAGCAATAGGCCCTACGCCCTGTTTGGGCTTGTGTCTAATTTGAGCAAAAACAATATATCCGAAAACATTAGAACAACATATTATGCGTTGTTTGACAGCTCTCGACGTTCCCCACATCACCGTGGGGTCATTGGTGAGTGACGGGCACGTCTGCACCATCTCGTTGGGGTCGCCCTCTGAACCCCCCATTGACTTCCTTTCATTTTAGCACTGATAAATATGGCTCAAGCCTTGGGCGTGGGTTACTGGGATACTGCTGTTTGTGCCGGGGGCGACCGAGGACAAAGATGCATGTCGTCCTCTCTCATTCGGCCATGCGGTCGTCGCTCCCCATTTGCTTCTCGTAGCGAAAGCAATAGGCCGTATGCCCTGTCAGGGCTCGGGCCTAAAAATAATAATATTTTTAGCAAAAACAATATATCCGAAAACATCGGAACAGCATATTATAAGTTTTTTGAAAGCTCTCGACTTTCCCCACGTCACCGTGGAGTCATTGGTGAGTGACGGGCACGTCTGCACCATCTCGTCGGGGTCGCCCCCTGACCTTCCACTGACTTCCATTCATTTTAGCAGTGATAAATATGGCTCAGGCTACTGCTGTTCGTGCCATGGGGCGACGAACAACAGTCTACTAGGAGCATTGCTTTGCAATACTAATAGGCCCTTCACCAACTTCTGGCGCTCGGGCCTAATGAACCTATTATACTTCTTTTGAATATTGAAGTGTGCAAAATGGGCATTTAAACAGGAAGCTGAAACCAGTAGTTTTGACAGAATTAACTTTCTATAGTCACCACCAAAACTTTAAATCCTAAAAAATAAAAGAATATAGGACCGGTTTTTCAGACTAATCCAAGATGAAACCAGCTCATTGGCTGGCAGTTGGACTGCCAGAAGCAAAGTACCAGCAAATGAGGAGGAGGCATTGCAAATTTGACCTCCAGGGGAATTGTCTTATTTTATTCATAAAGATTGTGAAAAAGTTGATATATGATGTGTATTTTGTCTGTCTCTCTCAGATCAACTTCTTCAAAAAAGGAATCGAGCTGGTGTCAAAGAAGATGGACAACTTTCTCACCTCAGTGTCCAAAATGACACAAAGGTATACAGTATATAGCATTTAAACATTCAAGCAAATGATCTATAATTCAAGAATAGATTAAATTACTCTTAAGGTACACTGTATTGTCCCAGTCAAAAAATGTGTCCTCTACATTTGACCCATTCTTCAATGCTGCTGGCTCAATCTGCCTGTTGGCTGTTAGGTTGAAATGTAAAATATGCACTATATAATTACCCAGAACTTTCTTTAAAACGGTTGTAGTTTAGATCCCTGGCTTTCCTGAATAAGTTCATCCATGTACTACTTTCTTTCCTCTTTCACTATTGCAAAGGGCTGCATTTGAACTGACTTAATGACGGCACTGTACAAGCACATGCCAATCAAATAGTTTATTGACCACAACCAATAAACTCAAATTAGTTTTTCCTCAGCACAGTTCTATTGTAAAAGTAACTCTGAGCTTTGAAAATCACTTGTTCTGCATCACAGTGACAGGCCTCTGAAAGTTGTATACAGTGCTTATAAACTCACTGTGTAATAATTAGGATGCTCGGGATGCATAAGGTAAGTGAGGAATAACTATGGACCACTGCACGCTGTTTAAAATGAACTAGCCCTGTTTTTTCTCATCAGTATTCAGTCTCAGCTGGACAGTGAAGCAGAAGCCATGAGGGGCTCTCAGAGGGAGCTGCTCTCTGTAGACGACAGTGTGTACACTCCAGACCACGACCAGCAATCTGTGAACAGAACTCTCATCCAGAAGGCTGGCTACCTCAACATCAGGAAGTAAGAGCAGTTTGACTCAGCAGTATTACACATCTGTACTAGTGCTCTCGAGGTGTATTATGAGTGATTCATGCATATTTGAGTAATCCTGATTTAGATATGTTTATGATTTATTTATATGATTTATTTTTTATACAAGGGAATATCATTTTCAACACAAATAATATAATGTAATTCAACTAAAACATATCTTATCTAGCATGATCATATTCTAAACCATGACTACTACAAAAATAATCCAGTGCCAAAGAATGAGTCATGCTGAACTTCATTTTTAAACCTGGATGTATTTTAATTTAGAAATTAAATGAATAAAAGCGTCAAAAACATCTAAAACATCACAATTTAGTAATTAAGGTTGAGTTAATGTAAAATGATTCCAGGCTTAAATATCTGTAGTTGCAATTGATTTGGTCTTGTTTCAATACTTAATGCCTAGTTTAAAGCATGTTCTCAAATACATGTGATTCTTGTATTAATACTCACTGTTCATTTCACTTTAAACACAAAAAGGTCTCTTAGATATTAATCCAAAATAGTTCAGCTTGTTCCTAATGCTAAAAGTATTGGAAAGCGACTGTATTTTTTGCTGTGGTCGCCCAAAATCCTCCACAACCACCAAACAATAACTCTAGCGGCTGTGTCTAGGTGGGTCAGGTGACGTGTTGACAGGGTGCTGCTGTCAGGTCATTTACAGCCAAATGTATGAACCTTCCCTCACGCCCTTAATGACTTCAGGGGGAGCAGAACCCCCCCCCCCCCCCCCCCATATGATTTTGTGAAATGCCAGGTCTGTCTAAGTCTGTCTCCTACTCATATACATCTACAGTGTTTGACAAATGCATGTGACAATGGAGGAAAGGTTTGCCAGCCGATGCCATTCTGTATAATGACACACAGATGCACTGCTTGTCAAATGGAGCCCAGAGCAGAGAGCATTTGGAATAGTTAGTCAGTGTAAGAGGCCTGAGTCACCCACAGCACAGGCAGCAGTGGGGAGACATGTTCAGAACATTAATCAGAGGTATTCAACATATTTGAAATTTGAAGACAAAAATAAATTATTTCAATCACAAATACACTACTGACTAGTTTGTTAATAAATAATAGCAGCTTTAGTTGTAGTAGTTGTAGTAGTTGTAGTTGTAGTTCTAGCAGTAGCAGTAGCAGTAGTTATTGGTGTTGTTGGTGTTGGTGGTGAAAAAGATGATTTGCTTACCAATACTGGCCCAAAACACCTTGTAATATTGAACTTGTTTTTTTGTGAACTTGTAATCGCTTTATGATAAATAAGTTAAAACACATTTGCATCATTGTTGCCCATACGGCATTTGAGTTTAAAGGAAATGGATAATATTCTCAGTCTTGGTATTGTTTGATATCAGGTATTTGCAGATACTTGAGGGTATCAGTATTTGTATCGAAACATAAAAAGCTGGATCGGTGCATCCCTGGCGGTAGTGGTAGTAGTTGTGGCAGCAGTCGTAGGTACTAGTTAATAGTAGATTTGATCATACCTCGCATAGCAATGAAAATTATGGCTTTGTTTTATAATACTCGACATAGAAATGGGCTTAGTTCAAAGAATAACTGTAGTTGCAGAAATACTAGTACTTGATAATTGTAGTCATATTAGCACATCCTTAGCCGTAGTTGGTAGTAGTAGCAGTTGCTCAAACCTCCTTGTCAGTGGCCAGTGTGGGGCCCTGTAGCTTACACCACAGAGTATAGGATGAGTGAATAAATCATGTAGTTGTAAAGTGGCTCTGAGTGTCTGAAAAAGTGCTATATAATAACACATTTATTTTAGTGTAAGGGTCATTCCACGCCATTTCAACAAATGGCCCATGCACTTCAATCTCAAAAAATGTTGAAAAAATTACCAAATAGTCCCTGACTATCATGTACTAACCCTGTGAAGTTTTAGTGATTTTCGATCATTACTTTTCAAGTTACAGCTAATTTTATGAGGGGAGTATGTGTCAACTTAAGGGCCCAAAATCATGTCATTTTTTTCTCTGCCGTTTTCAGAGGACAATATCTCCGTAAGTATCACACATAGAGGGCTGACATTTTGTGTGCTTTTACTCCTCTACTCTGTGTTCAAATAACATTGAAAATTTGCTATCTCAACTCATTATCATTTTATATGAACTTAAAAATGAAAAAAAACCAACTTGTTTTTCCGTGGCATACCATTTTTAGCGCCTTTTTAAACCTACTTGTAGGTGTAGTAAACCCTTATTTTTTTTGAGAATCAAGATATGTACTAGGACTGTTAAAAAAAATCACCAAATGTTGAAAATTTGAAATGTGTTATGTGTGAGGGTCCTGTTAAAAACAAGAAAACACAACATGGTCCGATTTTCACATGTAATTTACGGCATGTGGGTAGTGATAAAAAATGTTTGAATAAGAAAAAGACCTTTCATATGGCACCAAACATATGTATTTTATGAAGCTCCTTCAATTTTTAATTGTATCTTGAACATTTGCATTTGACACAATGACACGAGTATACAGTGACCATGTACTATGTTTTATTCCAACAGCTAAGGTCACTAAACATTTAAAGACTGAATCAAATGGATTGATAATAATTTTGATGTGACAAGGTATCTGACAAGGTATCTATGATAAGTTATCTGACATCCAAGAAAACAGCTGTAGATTATTCTCATATTAAAGAAACAATCAAGTCATGTTCAACAATATGATATTGTCTTCCATAAGTTGTGGACGGCACATTGATGTTCAAGACTAAGCAAATGTTACAATAGATTTTGGTGCGCAAACATCTAGAACCAGCCAAGAAGTGAGGACACAGTTCCCTATCATATTGGGATCACCTGAGCAGGTAAAGAAAGTCTTATGGAGCCTTAAATGGAAAGTGCTATGGTTGTCCATTTAAGGGAAATTGCAGGATATGTGGGAATTTATCGCACATAAAAAATCATATTCATCTTTATCCTGGGGATGAACCTATATAGTTCCAAATGCACATTTTTTTTAAAGTTTAAAAAAAATATATTTTAAGGAGAGCCAGTACATGTTTGGATCACCATGGGACCAAGAGCCGACTCCCAAGAAATTAATGTAGTGCACAGATGACGAAGCGCCTGATTCAAGTTACAAGGCCACACCCCAGTCAACATGGTCAACTCAACCATCTAAAACCAGTCCACCAGGATGCAAAAGCCTCCACAGGTGGAGGAGAATTCTGGTGGTCAAGCTCTTGGGGACTGTCCATGCTGCTGTGACCTCGGCCAGAAAATCCAAAAGCTTCGGGGCTGACTGCGGGTTTATGAAGATGTGCCTACCAATAATGATGATGGAAGACATACATGTTCTGTGCTCTGGGTTTTTAAATATCTTGTAACACATCCTGTTGATTCATTCTTGTTCATTCTTCATGTTTGGGAGCTTTAGCTGTTGGAATAAAACATAGTACATGATCACTGTATACTCGTGTCATTGTGTCAAATGTGAATGTTCAAGATACAATAAAAAATTTAAGGAGCTTCTTAAAATACATATGTTTGGTGCCATATGAAAGGTCTTTTTCTGGTCTTTCAAACAAAAATGATTCAAATTTTTTTTATCACTACCCACATACCATAAATTACATGTGAAAATCGGACCATGTTGCGTTTTCTTGTTTTTAACAGGACCCTCACACATAACCCATTTCAAATTTTCAACATTTGGTGATTTCTTTTAAGAGTTCTAGTACATATTTTGATTCTCAAAAAAAAATAAGGGTCTACTACACCTACAAGTGGGTTTAAAAAGGGGCTAAAAATGGTACACCACAGAAATGAACTGTTTTTTTTTTTCATTTTTAAGTTCATATAAAATAATAATGAGTTGGGGCGGCGGTAGTTCAGTTGGTAGAGCATTCGCCCACTGATCTGATGTTTGGTGGTTCGATTCCAGCTCTCGACATAAACATCACAAGTTGAGCGGTCAGATCCACTGACCCACTGACAGCTCCCACAGATGAATGCTGTTGTTGTGTCCTTGGGCAAGACACTTAACCCACCTCGCCCACAGTGTCTGCGTACACTGGTGTGTGAATGGGTGAGTGGTTCCTTGTTGTAAAGCGCTTTGAGTGCCTTGAAGGTGGAAAAGCGCTATAGAAAAATGTGACAATTTTCCATTTTAGATACCAAACTTTATAAATGTTATTTGAACACAAAGTAGAGGAGTACAAGCCCACAATATTTCAGCCCTCTATGTGTGATACTCGCAGAGATATCGACCTGTGAAAACCGCCGAGAAAAAAATTACTTGATTTTAAATTGACACATACTCCCCTGACACATACTCCCCTCATAAAATGAGCTGTAACTTGAAAAGTATTGATTGAAAATGACTAAAATTTCACATGGTTGGTACATGATAATATGGGACTATTTGGTAATTTTTTTCAAATTTTTTTAAAAACATGATGCGTGAGATGTGTGAGTGTTTTACATTCACAAACCCTATAGCTTGTTATTTCTATGTCAACTAAAATGATCTAAAATGGAATATCGAGTGAGTGTAAGAGCACTGAGTCACCCACAGCAGCAGGAGGGAAAGGGTTTAAAGTAATTCAGAAGGTATTACGTTAAACCTTTTGAATTATGTAGAAAAAAGTGGTAGTATTAGCATCTAAAGGGTCAGTCTGTATGAAATCAGTGGTTTTCAAGGAATCTCCCCTATGAGCCATCTCAGATTTGGTTGAAAAACATTCTAAAGAAATCTAGTATCACCAAATGAAAGAATCTCAAATTTTAGCTCAATCCTTTGAGCCTTTCCTGAGTTATGGCCCATTGAAATTTTGGGGCCATGCCCACTTTTTTGGAAGCCTTAATTTATAAGCATGTTTGAGAGACCATAACTTCATAAAAAATAGAGCTAGGAAGCTGAAAATTTGTATTAATGTAGATTCTTTGTCATAGATTCTGAATCTCTTGTCAAATATTGGGTATATTTATTAAGGGGGCGCTGTGGGCCCCCAAAATCTCACATTTGGTTGCCCTCAATTTTTTTTTTTTTTTTTTTTTTTTTTTTTTGAGTCCAAGATCTATTTACTCCAAGCAGATAAACTAACTGTTGAACCTGAATATTTGTGAGAATGACCATTTCTGACAGCAATCTCACACTTTTCTGAGTTTTCATGTGGACAGTGTAGAGACACAAATATGGTCACAGACCAAATGTGATCTTTTTGGCCCCTTCTTTGGACCCTCGGTTCCCCATGTGGGCATGTTGATAAAATTTTTACCAGAGAAACTTTGGCATATTCTGATTAGTTTAAAGTAATAAAAACATCGACTATTAACTTCCTTAATTTCAAATGGAATTTTTGAAAATGAGCTCTCACAGGTCATTTTTGGTGGAGCTTAGGCACTTACGCCAACCGTGGTATTTATGAAACTCGACTAAAGCGTGGCACTACGCCAACTCGGGACCTCCTGTAAGCACTACGCAAAGTCTGGAGACACGGGGGAAAAGCGACACTCGTGGAGAGGAGCAGAAGTGAGGCCAGTTTGAGGAAGAGTTTGATCAGGAATCCATCATTAAATCCATGTATATAGAAGAATGACCTTCAGATTTGTGTATTTTAAGTGTTTGGTTCGCCAAAACACGGACAATGGCTGTTTATTCCACTCAATATTCTCCACAATATTATACATTTGAAACTCGTGCACGAGCGCGGCCACGTCCCCAGTGTAGCGCAGGGTCTCCAGCAGTCCACACCGCGACCATAGACTTCTGTAGAACACAGACTGTGACCAACACAAAGGACGAAATAATGACCCGACCTGAGAGAAAAACTCTTCCCTCGGACGGAGCACAGAAGCTTTTTTGGTTCAATGAAGCACTGGGACTAAACACAACTTTAACACTTTTACTTCAGTCTTTATGCTCCGAGCGCCAGAGTGGCCCGAGTCTGTGCACGACACGAAGCCTACTGTCCAAACCTGACCCGAACCTTAAATATTCCCTACATTTTTGTGTAATGGGAGCTCTAGCAAATGAGAGCTTGCTCTCTGACAAGAACACAATAATGTCTGTGCCCCGACCCAGCCCCGCGCACTCACACAGGTAAGCAGTTTGGATGTTTAGTGTGGACTTTTAATGGCAGAATAACAGCACCTGACGTGTATTTTATGTGTTTCGTGCTAAATCTGTGTCCACGTATCCTCATATCCCTCCCTCGCTCCTTTCCCTTTCCAGGGGAGGGCATTGGAATCTCTCGCACGCGCTCATAATTTGACAATTCAGTGCACATTATGTATGTGTACATGCATATATATATATATATATATATATATATATATATATATATATATATATATATATATATATATATATATAGTTATAAATCTCTTGAAACAGCGAGAAAACCCATCGGCTTCACTGCAAAAATGTGCTGCCTAAATATTATGAAATATGATTAAATGAACAGATGAGTCATTGTTGTCACTTTTAGTTTTGCATTTATTTATTAAACCTTGTTTAATAAAGTCTTTAATAAAGTCTTTGACATGACCGCGTGGTGCTGCGTGGAGCGTCCCCCTCCATCTTTGTCCCGCGTGTCTCGGTCAAACCCACTGATTATCGGCTCATGTTTAGGGAAATCTCATTCACGAGTCACTTTGCATGCTCATTTTATGGTGAGGTGGAGGTGTGGAGAAGGCGTGATGTGACGTGAGTTTGCGTGCACTGATTCTAGTTGCAGGTGGGATTTATAAAGCAAAGATTGCGTGATTTTGTGCGTGCGGTGGGTTTTCTAAATATGGAGTTTGCGTGGCGCACGCCTCTCGTAGCTACTAGGCGTACACACTATCTTACAACAACTCCCGAGCAGTTTTTTTTTTATATAAATGAGGCCCCTGGTCTATTTGTTCCACTGCTTGAAATTACATTTAAAAAATTTTGTGTGAAAAACAACCTCAGCGGAAAATACCAACATACTGGACAAATCTGCCCATTCTGGTCCCTTTGCTGCCTACCTGTCGATCATCTGTATTGGTATCTTGCACACTAAGTGTTCCTTCCAACTAATGAACTTCAGAAGTAATGTTTGGATCATGTCATAATCTGCAGTGTCAAGGTGATAATTTCGTGCTCTTCTTCCCTGAACTTCTGGTACCTTAATATAACAGATTATGTGCTGAAACTAAACCCAACATGGTTCTGCCAATGTTCAGGAGGCCAGAAGAGGGTTCTCCATTCATGAATCTCACATAGATGTCACCATGTTCATCTGAACACTCTGAAATATTCTCAATGAACCACCTGATGTCATAAATACATGCACTGTATTGACGTGGCTGGTCCAAAGAGATATCTGCACAATCTCATTTTGTATTTCAGAAACTGAAACTTCAGTACATAAATGATCTTGAGATATTTTCCTCATTTCTAATTTACCATCTGACACTGGAATGAAACTGTGGTGTGATCTAGTACCTTTCACAGTCTTTGCCTTGCTATAGTACTCTTCTAGTTTGGAAGTAAGTTCATGGTAATGTCTTTAGAGCTTACAAGGAAAAAACTTCAAATTCTTTATATTTTGTGAAGCCCACTCAAACATCTGGAGTGCGGTCAGTATTTGATTGCTGTCAGTTGTCTGAAGACTGGTCCTTGCAGCCAAGCCTTTTACTGTGCCACCAAAACCATCACAAGCAATGTTCCACAAATAATCTCAAATTGTCTTCTTTATAACAAGCAAATAGTGTTCAAGTCTATTAAAGGTAATTGAACCTTTCTGCAGGTGGAAAAGTACCTGTGAGAGCTCATTTTCAAAAATTCCATTTGAAATGAAGGAAGTTAATATTAGATGTTTTTATTACTTTAAACTAAACAGAATATGCCAACGTTTCTCTGGTAAAATTTTTTATCAACATCTAACTGTGCCCACATGAGGAACCAAGGGGCCAAAATGGTCACATTTGGTTTGTGACCATATTTGGGGCTCTACACCATCCACATGAAAGCTCAGAAAAGTGTGAGATTGTTGTCAGAAATGGTCATTCTCCCAAATATTCAGGTTCAACAATTAGTTTGTAAATATCTGCTTGGAATAAATAGTAAATAAATAATTTTGGACCTCAAAAATTGAAAAAAAAAAATTGAGCAGCAACCAAATGTGAGATTTTGGGGGCCCACAGCAGCCCCTTTAATAAAGATACCCAATATTTGACAATAGATTCAGAAACTATGACCAAGAATAATACCAATACCAATAATACTAATTTTCAGCTTCCGAAAAATTCCACAATTTCAATGGGCCGTAACTCAGGAACAACTCAAGGGATTGAGCTAAAATTTGAGATTCTTTCATTTGCTGATTTCAGAAATTTTTCAAACAATTTTCAGCCAAATCTGAGATGGCTCATAGGGGAGGGCAGCTGATTTCATATGGACTGACCCTAAATCAAATGAGTGATGCCTTGGTAATTCGGATAGCTCAGTTCAATGAGTAGTTGTAGATGCAGTAATTAGTAGTTAGTAATATTAGTTGACCCATTAATAGGTTCTTATTTCTAATGCCAACAAAAATGATACAAAATGTAACAGTTGATGAATGTAAAATAGACCTGAGTCACCCAAAGCAGAGGCAGCAGGAGCCATACGGAATTTGAACATTAATCAAAAGGTATTGTGGATATTTTTGAAGTGGAGATAAAAAATGAACTGCTTAAATGACATTTATGTGCTGCTTGTTGGGTAATATGTTTGGCATTTGGGACCGTTTCTAATCAATTTTCACTGCCAACAACAAAACAGAACACAACAATCTCCGCAGAGAATAAAGTGATTAAGCTAATTATCTTTCTAGGGACAATTTAAGAATACAAATATTAGACTGTTAAAATAGTTAAAATAAAATAGAAAAAATAACTATTTGTTTCCTAGTGAGTGAAACCCTATCTTTCAATGTTAAAACCTAGGTCAAGGTCACTGTCCATCCTCTGTACCATATACTCACTGTCCCTCTTTTGTACCAACATAAATAATCTTTCTGGTTTCTTCCACAGTAAGACAGGTCTGGTGACCACAGCCTGGGACCGCCTGTACTTTTTCACCCAGGGAGGGAATCTGATGTGCCAACCACGGGGAGCAGTGGCAGGGGGCATGGTCCTGGATCTGGACAACAGTTCTGTGATGGCTGTGGAGTGTGAGGACAGAAGATACTGTTTTCAAATCACCTCCTCCACCGGGAAAACGTGTGTACACTTATTTAATGGCCTATGTAATAAAAATTTTATGTCATGATTTCAGCTGGAGATGGCCTAAAAATACTAGTAGCAGTAATTAGCAGTTAGTTGAACTTTCTGCCAGATTTGTTTAATGTGGAAAGCCCTCTCAAATTACACAAAACCATTAATTGGAACAAAATGTTTAAAGTTGTTGTTGTTGAATTAACTGTATTGCATTGTATTGCACAGATCAATGATACTTCAGGCTGAGAGCAAAAAGGAGTATGAGGAGGTGAGTCTACTGAGAAGCTACACAAATATGCATTACAAATATGTCTATTTTATTAAACTTGTAACACTGAACACAAGAACTTTCTATAGACGGACATTGCAAATTGTGTCTGTGTGTTACATGCTTAATGTACATAACTGTACATAAATAAATCAATAAATAATGAATGTTGAATTCAGTAGAACTACAGGTAGCACACATAACACAGTAACACATTATATTGTTATTGTAAATTGTAATTAATATATTATGCTATTTTATACCCAGAGTTGTGTTTTGTTTAACACACAACCCTGTACAGGCTGAGTTCTTCTCTCAGACAGAAAACACTCCATCTTGTGATGTCATGCGGTAATACAGGAAGTGCTCCACACTCATGTATACTCATGTATATATTGTTATGATTCCAGTGGATCTGTACAGTGAACAACATCTCACGACAGATTTACCTGACAGACAACCCAGAGGTAAGCTCAACGTCTGTACATTAGATTTATGGATTTTGCCTCTCTTCAGTTACAGGAGTTTTTATTGCTCAAAAACACATTGAAAAAACATGCATTTATTTACTGTGGGTGGGCTCGCAACTCCACAGTTCTGACCTGCAACTTGGCCTGACGGTATCCTCTGCTTGTCTCCATGGAGATAGAAACATTTAATACCATATTGTGAAACATGCTATCCAAAGTAGTAACATCTCCATGGTGACAAGCAGATGGCGTATGAATGACCAGGGAAGTTAACAGTGCAACGTTAGTATTTTTGCTCATTTTATGTTGTCTATTTCTAAATGATGTTGTTTATTTTCCCTATATTTTTGTCTGTCAGGCTGTGGCCATCAGGCTGAACCAAACTGCCATCCAGGCTGTCACCCCAATCACCAGCTTCGAGAAGAGGCAGGAGGGTGCCCCCAACCCAGACAGGTGAGACCACGTCACTGTTATGGACACAACCAACAAGTCCCAGTCTCACCACATCTGTCTAAATCATTCTATCCCGTAGTTTTTATCTTTTAGCTGGGTTAGGGTTGGCTAACCCTTTCTGCAATGCATGCCTGCTCTAAATTGGTGCAAAGTTTGGGGTAGCAGTTGCAGTAAGCTGAGAAGTGCCTAACCGCACAGTCTGTCCAACTCTTTTTAGTTGCATTCATGGCCAAGACACACATTTTAGTTAGTATGAATGCACCTAACTGTAGTCTTGATTTTCCACAAAGCAGACTGAAATTGACCTATGAATTGTTAATTACTATTACAATGATACAATTTGACTATACATGCTGGAATCATATTCCAGCTATTGTTTATTTTAATATATATATGAGAGTGTAAAAAGAGAGTATTTGCACAGTATACATTTGAACTAATTTAATTTCTTCCTTCTTGGTATTTCACAAAATCAGCGTAAATGTATTTGCAGCTTTTCATGATTATTCCATGCTGTGTGTGCGTGTGTGCAGAGCTAAACCAGGAGGAGTTCATGTAACTGGAGGCACTCAGAAGTCTGCTCCAGAGCCTGAGGATCTCATCGCTCCAGGGACGCCCATCCAGTTTGACATCACCCTCCCTGCCTCAGAGTTCATGGATCAGAACAGAGGAGGAAGGTGGGGCAAAACACAATATTACATAGAGATGGACCAATATGTTTTTTCACATAATAGTGTCTGGTATTTATTTTAGTTCACATGTTTTATTTTTGTTTGTTTTTTTGTTGTTTTTTTTGTGAAAAGTTGAATGTCATGCTGTGGGTCACTCCAGGCAGATCAATACATACGAGTGGACCAGTGGCTGCTGGTGATAAAATTGTTTGGGGAGGCACATAGGCCAAAATTATAAATATATATTATAAATATATGTATTATATAGACTATATTGCATTATAACGAATGCCAGAAACAGTCATTTTGGTCACTCTTGGTTAAACTATCACAACACAACAGCCAAGCTGTAAATATAAGAGATGAAACTGGTCCAAGTCCCGGTCCAGTCAGGTCCGAGACGCGAGGTCCGGGACCCGAATGCAGCACGAGCTGGTTGTAAAACTAGTCTTAATCTCAATTCCCACTTCAATCTGAAAGTTACACCAGGGCACCGGGTAGACTTAAACCCTCTGCGCTACGCCCAGGTCCAACCAGCAGGCACAGGAAGATAAAGCAGCGAACGACTTCTTCGAGTCCCGGCGGCCGCAACAGGCGCTGGGGGCCCCGCGAGTCCCGGTGTCTTTAGGTCTCTCCTCCCGCTCTTCTCTGTGGAGGTTTGGGTGAAAGTAGCTAGCCGCCATTAGCCAGTGTGTGAATCAACACAGATGCACTCATTTCAGCTTAATGCTTCTTTCTTGCTTGGCACAAGGGTCCCACTGAAGAGAAGACATATTACTCCCTAAAAACTGTTCCTCAGACGCACTTTGACTTGAAGTTGAACTCGCCATAGCTGTATAGTACGCAGCTCTGTTGTTCTCCTTTCATTAGCCTGTAGCAGTAACATGCCGTCAGTGGAGGGTTGGGGGCAGGATAATGTTTATAAAGACCAGTCACTTGATTTTTACCCCCAAGACGTATTTCAAAGCAGCAATGTAAAGACAGAAGCAACATAATGACGCCACACTTTCCTCAAAACTTCAGCCCACTCAAATTCCAAACACATGACTCAAATGAAGTGATATGAGCAGATACACGTTCAGTTTTAAGCAAAATATGAAATATAGCCTAATGCAAAAATAACAACTTTATAATTTATTTATTTATTTTATATCTAGTTCAAGTTAGGGAGTGCGGCGCACTTGCGCCCTCTATTGACCAGCCACCACTGCAGTGGACCGTCCAGAAAAGACTCAGACAGACACAAAAATATTGTTTGAATTAGATTATTAAGCTTTATTGAATGAGTCTCTTTGGTGCTCAGACCTCTGCAGAAGATATTGTTATGAAGAACGGGACTGGTTAGACTCTGGACGTGGTAGAGGTGAGGTTGAGGAGAATGAAAGGGACGAGGTGAGAGGACTAGAGGCTGGAAGGCTGCTGTGGGGGGCAGGTGGGGCATGGCACAAACCAAAGCAGTCATGCCCCTGCAATAGGGTTTAAATAGGGCAGACTGGGCACTGATTGGACGAGGAGATGTGGCAAGTGGTGGGGACCCCACCATGGGAGTGAGGCGATGAAGGATGAGGAGCAGGTAAACTCTGGAGAAGCGCTGAGGTATAGGATAGGAGTGCAGTTAGGCGTTTCAGGCTAAATTTACGGTAGCTCCATTTGCATGCTTTTAAAACATTACAGGGCTATAAATGGGCAGACGTTATTGTTTTGCCTCGAATGTTCCCCAAAATGGCAAAAAAAAAACTTGGCAATCTCTGTGGAGATGACTCTTTTTGTGATGAAAGAATTTATACCATCTCAGCAAAGCAATCATATTTTCTCATAGAGCTTTTTTACTGTGTCTGCGATGTTTTGCAGTAACACAAAATACTTTTATTGCATTTACTTAATTACTAGTGGGGGAAAAAAAAACATTTTATTCCATGGAGATACAATAGTTAATGTCATACAGTAACATTCGTATGAGACAAGCAGATAACTCTCCACTGGAAAAGTTCCACAGTGCACCTGGCTGGAGTGTGTGTTCTTGGCCTGGCTCTTGTGTTTGTGACATAATCAGATGGGGCTGTTTGTGAGGCTGCTGACAGGGTGTGTGATTGTGATGGTCTCAGATGAGACTCATTTCTGGGAGCAGGATGTTTGCTAACGCTTCGTAGCAGGAGGTTAATTGTTTTGTCTTGTCTCTGTTTCTTTGTGACAGACGCACAAATCCTTTTGGAGAAACCGGTGAAGAGTGTCTGACAGAAAGTGATGGTAATTATTCAACTGTTCAAAGTTATTGTTTATTTGTATTTGTGATTTATTTAATAGTTTATCTTGACGTCTGTCATCCAACTTTATTATGCCAGATTTCTCATTTATTGTTCCAGTGGCACTGCTTGTACTGTTCATTGTTATGTTTTGTACTTGTGCAGGGTGAAGCTCATTTACTACCAATTACTTAATACTTTTTGTATTTGGAAAGTTCTGTCACACCATAATTTACTGAAATAAAACATGGTTTCAACCTTACCTGTAGTCAGTAATATTTAATACAGATGTGGGCCAGCTAAAATAGTGATTGTTAAAAATGCGGTTTATTGTTTTAATATAATATAGAACATTCATGGGTCTAGTCACTTAAAGAAATGATCAGGTTCAGCATTTGTGATTTGACCTTTTAGATATTTCATGGCAAAGTACAGTGTGCTGAATGGGGAAAAACTGGCTTTTCCCCCCATCTGGCAGTATGAACTCATCAGGTTCTATAATCTGAAAACCAGCATTTGCCTTGACTTCTTCCCTCTACTATGAACCCATCATATTCTTGTTGATGATGTGCGTACTATATTCTTTTGCATGTGCCCCCAGACTCCTTGCTGCAGCAGGTTTTTGAGGTGCGTTTCTTGGGCTCGATGGCGGTGCGCTGTGGGAACAACCAGGAAGTGATCTATGAGGCCATGAGACAGGTGCTCGCCGCCCGTGCCATCCACAACATCTTCAGGACCACAGAGTCGCACCTCATGGTCACCAGCAATGACATCAGGTAAGAACTACACACAAATACATGGCAGTGTTTACCAGGAGCTATAGTGGCCCTCATAGTCATATTTCACCTCCAGTCTAAAGTAATTGGTAAAACTTTAATAACTACTTTGTAAAAAGGCATGAGCAAAGACTTACACTTCATAACAAACAAAGGTTTATTAAGGCTTAGACTAATAAATGATTAGGACTTAAAGTTAGTGTTTAAGTAGTTACTAAGCCTGAGTCATTGGGTCATAAACAGAGTTCAACATTTCAGAAAGCCATTTTGGAAATAAAACCATCATTAATGAAAATCCAGTACTAGCTCTAGTGAAATGTCACTGAAGTGCTTCACCTGGAAGCCCAGGGCTGCATTTGAGTGAGTAATTTCAGCACTCAAATTGCCTCTAAATGATCAGATTTTGAATGTGTATATCCTTAGTTTGTCACACTGAGATGGTACATTTTCATATTCTTTTTGTTTTCACACAGGTTAATCGACCCTCAGACACAAGTGAATAAAATAACTGTAAGTATCTCATTGTCACTATTAGAACCCGACCGATGGCTGATATTATCCGCCGATATGGGCAACTGGAGACATATTGGCTATCAGCCGATATGTTTGCTGATAGGGGCCGATATTTCACATGGGCATGTTATAAATTTTAGACTCTACATTATGTTAATTTAATCCAATTTACAGACAGATAAATGTCCTAATATGTGGCTCCGCATCAGTATTTATCTGCGGAGTCATTTGTCTGTGTGTGTGTCCGTACTGTCCCTGAACACACGTCACTCACGTCAGGTCACTCACGTCAGGTCACTCACGTCAGGTCACTCACGTCAGGTCACTCACGTCAGGTCACTCACGTCAGGTCACTCACGTGCATTTGTTTACACCCGCAGACATAGATTATTTTCTTTTTACGGACAATCGGTTTGAGTCTGGATTAAAAGGACATTTATTAGTGCAGACTTGTGATGTGAGGAGGAGCCTGTGTGAGCGCTGAGTGTTGGAAATATGTCGACTCTGAAGCTAGTTTTGGTTATTTGTTTATTGGTTAGCAATTAGCTGCTGTAGCTCCCACACATAAACAGGCTGTTTTCTATTGGCCTATTATAAAGTGACTATATTGGCCGTATTTGTTACTGGACCAGCATTGATATGTAAATGAGCTGTGAATAGAGGTGCGAATTCTGACATTTGCGCATATAATTAATTACCGTGGCGCACACGTATTTACGGCTAAAGGCTAATAGCGCTAGTTTCTTTACTAGCTAGTAGTGATGGGTCGGTCGCGAATGAAGCGACTCTTAGAGCCGGCTCTTTGAAGTGAACAACGAGAGCCTGATCCTTATTGGGAGCCGTGTTTTCTTTCTCTCACTTTTTTTCTCTTCACGTCGCTTGCAGACTCGAGGTAGTTTGACAGCGGCAGCGGCTGAAAATGAAACCTTCAGAAATGTGTGTGCATAGGAGAGAAAAAACTTGCATGTTTGTCTGTAGTTCAGCATAAAATAAATAAACCAGGACTAATCTTAGGCTTGAGAGAGGGAGAGAGATAGAGACTGAGTCCCGACACTCAGTCCTGGTTCAGTTTTGGTTTAGTCCGGTTTTACACATGGTTTAGATCTGTTTTAGTCCTGGTTTAGTCCTTTTTCAGTGCTAGTTTAGACCTGCTTTAGTCCTGCTTGCAACAAAACCGAAAGAGCCAGCTGCTTTTAGGGAGCCGAGCCAAAAGAGTCGGTTCTCTAAAAAGAACTGGAATACCCATCACTAGTAGCTAGAATGTGATGCAAAAAAGCCATTAGTCTGACCTACTGTCTGTAAATATGATGTAAAGAGGCAGAATAACAATAAATGTTGCCTAAATAAACCCAATTTAAAATCCACCAGAGCCAAACCTAAGTTTTTTAAACAATTCAAGATTTACAGTGAATTTTTACATCACTAAATATATTGGCAGCTCCAACTCCCATTAAATCGGTTTCATATCGGCCACAACAAAATCCATATCGGTCGGGCTCTAGGTCACTATTGAATCTGTAGGAGTATACTTTTATAACTTTTTCCTTATATGTCTCGTTTTCTTCAGTTCCAGCTCGGTGATGTGACCCAGTTCGCGGCGCACCAGGAGAACGGGCGCCTGATGGGCTTCGTGGTGGAGGGCAGAGACTGGAGCGAAGGGGAGGAGGAGGGCCAGCCTGCCTTTAGTGCTTATATCTTTGAGAGCAACACAGAAGGGGAGAAGGTATCTTTAAAAAAATATATACTGTAAAAATCTTAAACAGATCAATTATGATTATTTAGTTAAAGTATTTGTCTTTTGGTTTGTAATATAAGAGTTATATTAAAATGTCTACACATGTCATTTATATTTAATCAATAATCATGGAAGTGTCCAACATGTTTGAAGCATGTTACAATAGTCTCATATCAATGGGGGAGATATAGAGATGATTGTGACACTTTTTTTCAGATGTTATTTTTATGGTAAATGCTTTTTCATGCACTACATTTTCAGTTTATCAGTTGATTTGTAATTGTAATATTTAGTTTTGATTGACAGGTGTGCTATACCATTAATTTGGCGAAGGATATAACAGAAGCAAAGAAGGTATGATTTTTTTTTGTCTGTTGCAGTTTGGGGAAATAGTTCAATAGAAATTTTATAATTGTCGTTTTTCTGTCCAATTTGCTCTTTTACTTGTCTTGAGCAATACAAAAGGTAAAAAATACTACATGTACAGTTAATATAAGAACAACCACCAGGGGGCATTTGGTTATCACTAATAATAATGTTCAAGAGCAGATAACAGGTGGAAGCATACAGTCATTTCAACAAGCATTTGCCTCCATAGAGACAGATACATTTAATGCCATAATAATAAAATAATAATAATAATAATACAACAGTATATAGTGCTTTTTTGGACACTCAAAGATGCTTTAGAAAAAAATAAAAAGGGACACTGTAGAAAACAGGGCAATTATGGGGGGAATGCTTGAAGTGATGCAGTGAGTCCGAGTTCCTGATGGATTGTGGGAGTGAGTTCCAGAGGGAGGGGGTGGCATCAGTATAGACTCAGTCTCCCAAGGTCCGGTGCTTTGTCCTGATGAGGGGAGTGAGGAGGTTGGTGTCGGCTGATCTGAGGCGGCAGGTGGGACAGTGCAGACAGAGGAGGTCAGTGAGATAGGGAGGGGCCAGGTTATGGAGGGACTTGTAGGTGATGAGGAGGACCTTGTATTGAATGCGGTATTGTACAGGGAGCCAGTGGAGTTGCTTAACGACAGGAGTGATGTGGTCTCTGGAGCGGGTGTGGGTGAGGCAGGCAGCAAAGTTTTGGATGGATTGCAGTTTTTGGAGGTGGGTTGGAGGGGAGGCTGTTGCAGTAGTTGAGTCTGAAGAAGATGAAGGCATGAATGAGTATTTCTTCGGTGGTCTGAGAGAGGGGAAGGGCGCAGACAGGCGATGTTTTAGTGATGTGACTAATGTGGGCTCTGAATGAGAGGGTAGGGTCCATGATGATGCCAAGGGTGCGTCTTGAAGGAGAGAGGGTAATGGACTTATCAATGAAGAGGGAGATGTTCTGAGCAGTGGGGAGGAGAGCTTTGGGTTCGGTGATGAGTAGTTCTGTTTTACTGCTATCAAGTCTGAGGAAGTTGTGGTCCCTCCAGGTTTTAATGCCAGATAGGCAGTTTGTAATGGTGGAGAGAACTGGGGAGATGGATTTGGTGGAGATGTAAACCTGAGTGTCATCGGCGTAACACTGAAAATTTATTCCATAAGATTTCCATATTGTGGAGCATTCCAGGCAATTCAATAACAGGCAGCATACCCTGTACCAGATATGACATGGCACAATAACAAATGTTGTAATATTGTCTAGAGCCCGCTCGATATATTGGCTGGCCGATATTATTGGCCGATATGGGCACCTGGAGACATATCGGCTATCGGCCGATATGCTTGCTGATATGGGCCGATATTTCACGTGGGCATGTTATACCTCATTATAAAGCTTAGACTACATTCTGTTCATTTAATCCAATTTACAGACAGATAAATGTCCTAATATGTGGCTCCGCATCAGTATTTATCTGCGGTGTAATTTGCCTGTGTCCATACTGTCCCTGAACACACCCCCAGAGTCACGTCACTTCACTCACGTGTGTTTGTTTACACCCGCAGCGGTGCGCAACACTTGGATTATTTTTTTTTTTTTACGGACAATCGGTTTGAGTCTGGATTAAAAGGACTTTTATTAGTACAGACTTGTGATGTGAGGAGGAGCGTGTGTGAGCGGTGAGTGTTGGAAATACATCGACTTTGAAGCTAGTTTTGGCTATTTGTTATTAGCGATTAGCTGCTGTAGCTCCCGCACATAAACAGGCTGTTTTCTATTGGTCTATTGTAAAGTGACTGTATTGGCCGTATATTTGCTACTGGACCAGCATTGATATGTAAATGAGCTGTGAATAGATGTGTGAATGATCCACATTTATGCATATAATTAATTACCGCGGCGCGCACGTTTTTACGGCTAAAGGCTAATATAGCCTATATATATATATATAACTATATATATATAGTTTATATACTAGCTAGGAGTTATGGGTCAGTCACGATCGAAGCGGCTCTTAGAGCCGGCTCTTTGAAGCGAACAACGGGAGCATGTTTCTTATTGGGAGCTGTGTTTTCTCTTTTTCTCACTTTTTCTCTTCAAGTCACTTGTAGACCCATAGTTTGACAGCAGCAACGGCTGAAAACGAAACTTTCAGAAATCTGCGTGTGCATAGGATTAAAAAAAAAGTGCATATTTGGCTGCAGTTCAGCATAAAATGAATAAACCAGGACTAATCTTGGGCTCGAGTGAGGGAGAGACCGAGTCCCGACACTCAATCCTGGTTCAGTTCTGGTTTAGTCCTGTTTTACACATGGTTTAAATCTGTTTTAGTCCTGGTTTAGTCCTTTTTCAGTCCTGGTTCAGTTTTGGTTTAGTCCTGCTTGCAACAAAACAATCTCAAGAGTCGCTTGGAGCCAGAGCCAGCTGCTTTAGTGAGCCGAGCCAAAAGAGCCGGTTCTCCAAAAAAAAAAAAAAACCTGGAATACCCATCACTAGTAGATAGAATGTGATGCAAAAATGCCATTAGGCCAATCTACTGTATGTAAATATGACGTAAAGAGTCAGAATAATAATAAATGTTGCCTAAATAAACCCAATTTAGAATCCACTAGAGCCAAACCTAAGTTTTTTAAACAATTCAAGATTTACAGTGAATTTTTACGTTGCTAAATATATTGGCGATTATATCGGCAGCTCCAACTCCAATTATATCGGTTTCATATCGGCCACAACAAAATCCATATCGGTCGGGCTCTAATATTGTCATATATATTGTGCAATATATTGTTGAAGAAAATACAAATAACTACTTGAGGACACAATAATGCTAAACCATAATTATCACCAAAATAATGTCTTTAATTTATACAGTTGTCAAAAAGCATGATCTGCAAAAAATAAATGGCAGATTCAAACATTTTAATAGTTAGACTGGATCCTTGTCTCTTTTCAGCCCTCTACTGCTCAAATCATATTAAGTACGTCAGTTGCTTCTTAAACTAAATCTTGGTGTATTTTTTCTTGTTTACTTTTCAGGACCCAGAGGCGCTGGCCCAGCTGATGAAGAACATGCCTTTAACAAATGACGGAAAATTCCTCTTACTGGAATCAGAGACTGGAAATGAACCGGAGAGAGCCGCTCAAGAAGACCTGGAATCTGAGGCTTAGTCCTACTCCCAAGACCAAACTAAGTCCTAACCTCTCCTAACCCTAAACCTAAACCTGGATGAGGCTTTCCCTGGTGTAACCTGTAGCCCTCACTGTGGTACTCAAACATCTGCAATCAGGACTCCACAGTCCTGATTGCAGATGTTTGAGTACCACAGTTCAATTCTGTGCAATGAAATCTACAACTTCTTAGAGATAAAATAAGCTTTTTTTGGACATCATTTTAACCTCTGTCATTTTCCAAGTATAGACCAGAAGTTCAAGCTAAACTCACACTCGAATTAGCCCTTAGTTTGTGCAATACTGACTCTTTATTGGGAATACCAGTCTGTCGCCAATAAATACTCCAACATTTTCTTATTTTAATGATGTCCAAAATCAGGTGGGTAGCCAAAAATTGTACTCAAGTAAGAGTAACATTACTTCAAAATACTATTACTCAAGTTAAAGTAGAAAATGGTGGTATTACTCAACTAAGATGAATTTAAAGAGTAACTGTAGGGACCTAACATCTGATATATAATTTGACTTTAGTGTACTTGGAAACAACAACATATGAAATAATGCACAGAATCTGGTATTTTCAAAAGATAAACACAAAAACTAGACAAACTAAATCATATCTGAAAGAGTGCTGCAAGAAACCCAAATGTTCAGATTATTTCATATTGTCAAACATAAAGCTTTTGTCACTTGTAGACTTGAGTAAAAGTTGTGCTTCCTCTTCCCAAATAAAAGTACTCTGAAAAGTACAGTTTCTTTTTAAAAACTTACAAGTCTGAGCACTACCCACCTCTTAAAATCATTCTATATATGTTAAAAAAAAAAAAATTGCCAGGGATATAAAGAACTACAATGAACATGTTATATTCCAAATGCTTTTCCATTTCGCCTTCTTTTTAATTCAGAAATGAGTCTAAGTGCCCTGCACTGATATAGACCACTGCTTAGTCCTGGTTTAGTGTGTACGAAATCAGTTTGTGGTGTTGATAGAGTGGGTTCACAGGACATCACAACACTGTTAAGTGCACATCATTTAAAACCAATCAGTGATAATTCAGTGAGACGATTTACTGTTTAACTGTCAATTTCAATGAGGAAGAGAAAAGACACACAGACCCATCTTAAAGCAAAGCATTTAAGTTGTGAGGACCAATTTGTTTCTTCAGAAGCTGTCAGTTTCAGACATTTTTATGCTTGTGTGGTTTATATTTTCCAATTACTGAGTCTGAAATGAAAACTATCTTAAAAGTTCAACCCCTTTTCTGTCAACACAAATGAGTGTGGACTTACTTCTCAATAACAAATTCTGAAGTTTAACATGGATTTCCTTTTTGGCTGATTCACTGCTACAGATAGAAATGACCATAGAGTTACACAGACCCTTGCCCTAAACCTGAAATTAAGATCAAACTCAAACGTGAATGCAAAACATAAATCATAGCTTAAAGTGGGAAACACTTAAACTCCGCCTACAACTGCATTGCAAATAGAGCAGCTTCAAACCCCTCCCCTGCAGCCAGGTCTTTATGACCTGCTTTAGTGAGGGCAGCTCTGTGTGATGTTACATAGTCCTTGAAATAGCAGTGGCCACTGGAGGCAACACTGACTGTTTTTGAACACACATTCGCCCATGTACCTAGTTTGCAATTGACATAAAAAAAGGTCTAGGTCTAGACAATCATTTTAAAACACCATGTACAGTTTGGTAGCAAAAACGTTGATTTAGTGTTTAGTTCCACTTTAACCCAAGTTAAACCAGGTCCAAGATCTTACTCACTTTAAAAGTAGTTTATTTAAGACCTGATATAGTGCAGCTAATTAAACAATTGCATTTTGATTGCAGAATTTGAGAAATACCGTCATTTGATTGGCTTTTGGAGGCCATATTGTAGCACTGTTTGAAGGACTTGGTTGTGATCTTGTTTGGAAAGGGAGAAGACAAAGCGTGTAGTCATGTGTCTAAAGATGTGTTTTGCCTAATTTTAGGTTTACAGTTATTTTAAGTTGACAGTTTATTATGCATTTGTTATTTCATAATCTTAAAACTGTGGACATTTGAGGTCATTCTTTAATCTTTGTTTTACGGCTCTGAAGAATTCATGGACTGGTGGCAAATGTTGAGTAGGAAAACACTATTAGGCCTAGTTTAGACCTGCTTTAGTTTTTGTTCATATTGTTTATCCTGACTAAGTCCTTGTCAGACTTGTTTTTGCTATTTGGGTTATATTTGAAAATGTGTAAACCATTTCCTAGTCCTAGATCCTTCCTTTACACTTTGCTCCACAGGTCTAACCTGTAAGTTGGCCTGGTTGCATCACCTGCTTGTCTCCAGGGAGAAAGAAGCCTTAATGTTATACAGTGGAACATTCCAAGTAAAGCAACAGCATCTTCTACAAAGTTACACAGTGCACTTTAAAGTTTAACACCAGGAATGATAAGACCCTTGTCACTATAAAAAATTAATTAACATTTTAATGCTCCTTCCTCTCTGAGTGAATTATGCATTGTACTTATTGTGCGACATAGCCCTCCACATTTGAATGCCACTGTCTAAGGCGTCCAGATGTTCAAATTAAAATGTGCTCTTAGTAGCTTCTGTAAATATCTTGTGTTTTATGTTTAATCAGTTCCTCTCCTCTCCACTCTCTTTGAGCACTCAAACTAAGCCCTACAAGAAATATGACAGCAACAATTAAAGACATTATAGAAGAACTTATTGCTTGGACTAATCTTGTGCTCATAAAAGCAAATTAAAAGCGCATAGTGATGGATGAGTGGGATATTGCCATTGTCACTCACTGCTACTGCACATCCTGTTCTGCTTTAGCCTAAATAGCAATAAGCGCTAATCCTTATCCACAACAACTGTAATCAGGTGGGTTAGATGGGCTGCATTTACATGTAATGTATGTCTAAATATGGTTGCCTCTAAGTGATATACAAAATGCAGTATGGTGGATTAAAACTACTAGAAATGGACACTAATCCCTAAGTGACAACAGGATGTAAAGTATTGAGTTGTATTTACTTGTAATTCCAAATACTTGTACTTTGAAAGAGTAGTTTATATCTAAGCATGGTTGCCTCAAAACTATACACTAGTACTAGATTTTTAAATCTAGTACTTCAAATGCTGTACTTCATAATAATGTACTCCAACTTGGCTATCCAAAAAAAGAAAGCAAAGAATCTCAGTACTATTTCCCCCCAACGTTTTTCTCTCAAACTGCATGATCATGTAATAATTTTGTCTGTTTTGAAATGGCTAGTTTTGGTACTTCTGCATACTGGTTGTGTATTGTAAAATATACTCTACTCTCTGTAATATACTAAGGGTTGCATCATTCTTAAGTTTAAGTTGAACAAGACCACTGCCTAACAATGCATTGCATTTATTGTCATTTTCTAAAATCTTAATTAAAAATCAGTTTTCATTTTTCCCATGTGTGCTCTGACATTTTTATCATCTAGCAAAAGCAATGAGGTTTTAAGTGCATTTTTATTCCTTAACATAGGGCTGGGTGCCATTTTTTAAATTCAGATACTTAAAGCTGCTGTAGCTGCAGATTCTCTCTGAAAATGTGAAAAAACAGAACTATCTATTTTAAACAAAGCTAACACACACTTCCTGATTACTGAACAATAAACGCTACATAACTAGATTTATTTTGACCTCAAGAGCTGCTTATACAATATCTGTGCTGGGGGAAAGTCATATTTTGTTCAAATACCTGGAGAAACACAGATAGTAAACAGTGCATGGTTTTTGACACTGGCACTGGGACCAAGCTAATGTGTTTTTTAAGATTTTACACCAGATCCACAAAGCATTTTTAAACAATTCACATATTATTTATTAGCTTTAAAGCAAGTTTGAAAATGTTCATGTTAATATGAAAACAACTGTACTATAATCTTTTTTTATTTTTTTTATTTAAGTTGTATCCATTTATCTTTAGGAACTTCAGTCTTCAAAATACTGAAATATTTAAACTGTACACCTCTACATCAAACCTGTTTATCACTCATGCTGTGAACCACCTCAAACATTTGGAACAATGGGAGACATCTCAGGAGTCTTTGTAGTAGCTGTTGAAGTTGATTCGAAGGAGGAAGTCTTCCAGATGTGGTTGGTAGCCTCTGTTGACCAGCTTGGTCACCACTAAAAAGAGCATAACACAATTATTAAACACACATTTATTTTATGACAAAAAATGCATATCTAAAACTCATTCAACATAAAAGGTACTCCACAGAACTCACTACACTTGTCAAAAAATGCTGAAAATGGGATTCATATCAGAAATTAACTGCACAAATTGCACACAAAACTGTCCCAATATTTATATTCACGCCTTCTGGCATTGCACACCCATCAGGCACTTCTGGGAAGAAATCTTGGACTCACTGTCCCACTTTATGGGTTGTTGCATCCCCATGTCCCCCTCACTCTGCCTTCTGCTCATTGACTATATCTCACTGGAATACACATCTACCACCCCCGTCAACACAACAGCACCCCAGTCACCCTGGTCCACCTGCCTCGATTTCCTACAAATGTAATTTCTATGATTTAACATATTTGATTATTCATCTCCTTGTTCTTTAACTCTTTTCTTTGTCTGGTAGGTAACCACTTTCTGCTCAAAATTTAAATACATGATGATGTCCTAAGAGTACATACACATGCACATGCGTGCATGTGCACACACACAACACACACACACACACACCTGTACTAACACACGCAATGTCATACACTCAAACACTACTTTATTTTACAAAGAAACAGGGATGGATAGACAGGCTATATAAAATATTACTTTAATACACTTAGGAGCAGAACATGAAATTTATCTGCTTCGGGTCCCTAGCGAGCTGGGCTCTTTCTGCTGTTGCCTGGTTGTTGAGTGTGGGGGTCTGCCTACAAGTGCCCAGGCTCGTGCTCACCCATCCTCTCAGGGCCTGCCCTCTGTGCTGGCTTCCCTCTTTGGTCTACCTCCAAGCTCTACCTACCTGATACTTTTAATACATCACACCCAAATTTTTAATTCACCACAAGTCAACCATGGATGAGTGTGTGTGAATGTGTGCCTGACTGTCTGTGCTTGTATGCATGTGGATGTGTGTGTATGTGTGTGAATGTATGCCCCCCCGTGCACACGCACACACACACACACACACACACACACACAATGTCCACACTGTCACCCACCTCTGTCACCTTTGTCCTTATTTGTATGTAATCTGTAATTTGGTTCCTATTTTTTGTAAGGTATGTAGTTTGCAAATAAAATGTCTAACCTCAAAAATAGGTCTTACTTTAAAATATATATGTGTCATTTGGCTTCTCTGGCTGCCACAACTGCCATATTTATGCCATATTTATACAGAAATGTCTTGTAGGCATAGCAGTCACATTTCTAAAGAAGAATGTGCAAGTTTCACACAGAAAAGCCCCATTCAGTCCAGGAATTAAACCCCAGGACCTTTTTGCCATGAGGCAGAAGTTCTGACCACTAGACCACTCAGTGTATTGCCCTACATCAACAGAGCATAAATCAACTATGTTTTTCCTGATGGGATGTGCTGCTTTCCACTTCAAACCTTCAAAACTTCAGAACTTCAGAACAGCAGGGCAGTAAAACTCAGATTTACATGTTTTTTTCTTTTTCAACAAGTGAAGGAAACACCAACACATCACCTCCCCGAGGTCCAATAGGAGAGATCGACATTTTATTGACTAACCAGCAAAACACAAGGTCCCTACTGTATCAAAACAAGCCTGGTGCTTTATAAGAGCAGAAATGTTTGAAACAGAAAAAGAACGAGAAACAGTACAGACCAAATCAATAGGTAAAGCACGAAACACTAGGATCAGAGATGAGAGAAGTTGTACATTTGCTCTGAGTGATCATTGAGAAGATTCTGCACTTAAAGGAGTAGTATGTAACTTTTTCTTCTGGAGGGTTCACCACCTGCTTGTCTCCCTGGAAAGGCTGTTGTTGTGCCTGAATGTTCTAGAGTTTTTACACAGAAATCATAGAAGCCGTGCCAGTGTTCTGAGCCTATGGAGCGTGTTCTGATGGAACGGTAGCCATGTTAGGATTTGAGCATTCTATCATAAGAATCAATGCATTTTCAAGTCCACCAAAAGTTGATCCAAAATTGGTTTGGATTAAGTAAAGAAATAAGATTTGAATATAATAGAATAGAAATAAAGATATAGCGGCCGCTAACCTGTACAACACAGTGGTGGTGGCCATCACAGAGCGACATCCATTGTTGTTGCTCAAGTCATATCTTTATAGGGTTTCAATGGAGTTAAGTTTGATGTCACTTCTGAGTCCATCATCTGACTGAATTGCAGTTGTTTACAGCTAACAAAGTCTTAAGCATGGATGGATGGAACAGCATGTTTATAACTATGACAAAAAGTGTACAGGGAAGACTGAGGTAAGAAGCTAGGCTAGGCTAAGCTAGTATTAGCAGTGAGCGGCAATTAGTGAGACATACACGCTGGTAATCCTATGTTATGACAGATTATTAGTACATATTGACATATTTGATAAAGTTCATGGTTAACATACACTTTTGATGAATAAGGAACAAAAACAAAGTTAGAAATCAGCTGTGAAGTTTATGGTTGGAGTCGGAAGTAACATCATCACTTAAAGGTTGTATGGAGGATTTTTTTTTGTTTCAAATTGTCAATGATAGCATTATAGAGGTACAGTAGCCTTGTAATTATGATGACCAAAAAAAAGAGAATAAAAATTCATCAACTCTGGACGTGGTGGGGCTAAACATTTGCCAATAGATAACGACACTGCCTCGTTATCTGTTAGCTGACAGGCTGTCAATCAAACTCCCTACGTTTCTAGCGTAACTGACTTGCCTGCGTGCTGCCGTTACGTGGTTTGCGTACGCCTGTCACGCAGTTCACAGACGCAAGACGCACAGACGCTGTTTACTCCACCAACGCAACAGTTCTTAGCGGCTTTTTTTTACCTATATCTTCCTCGCAGTTCGCACAAAGTTTGTTGCAATGGCAGACAAGAATCCAGGAGCAGTTCGCCGCAAAAGAAAGTCCGTTTTTGAGGTCGCTGAAAGAAGAAGACAAGGGGAAAAGCAGCGAAGCCAAACTAAGGTGATTCTTGAAGATTCATTCCAGCGATGGCGCGACTGAAGCAGACGCAGGGTCTAAAGACTGACGCACTGGTCCACAAATTACTCCTGGACAGGTCACTTCTGCTTATTATGAAAACGTACTTTATTTCCAAGAGCTAGACAAACGTTTTTCAGGACACGAGAGCGATATCCTATGTCTGAAAACGTAATTTTCAAGGCAAAGAAAGAGTCCGCTTGCTGCTGCGTGTTGTAGCTAGTTCATTTGCACTGAATCTCCGCGCACTCTTCTCTGCACCCCTTTCCTGCTCCTGTCCCTGCTGCCCGTTCCGCTCTTCCCCCTGCTCCTCACTTCTCCAGGCACGGAATCTCCGCGCACCGCTCCCCTCTCCTCTCCCTGCTCCCTGCTCCGCTCTTCTCCCTGCTCCTCACTTCTCGTCCGCGCACGAAATGTCCGCGCACCCCCTCCCCCCGCTCCTCACTTCTCCGTCTTGCCTAACCAACACTGTAGTTAGTTGTTTACAAGTCATGTGCAGCGCACCGGCTGTAAACAAACCTGTGTCTGGCGTAAGGAGGAGGCGGGAGGAGGCGTTTCTACGTAGGGAGCTGTAGGGGAGGGGGGGGTGGTTTCACACATGCGCAACATTTGAAAAAGGACAAACAGTCGCTGGATTTCTCGTTCCTTGGAAAATCCTCTATACAACCTTTAACAACGCTTTAGCGTTAAACTTGCCCATACCCATGGAGACGAGCAGAGGGCATCACCTGGCCGATCCGTGGAGGTGTGCCTGCTCACACTAAACTATGTTCTTGTGAGCGTAGTTAAATGCCACACTCTAGAATATTCCATACAAAATATGAAATCTGCATGGAGACAAGCATGTAGCAAACCTGAAAAGTTACATATAGTGGAGCAGATTAGGTCTCCAAACCAGAAGAATCATTCAGTTAGTGGTACAAGCACCAAATTTATCATATATTTAGCTAACATCATGCTCTTTTAGAAAAATCCGTTAGCCACCTGAAACATGGCAGCCATTTTTCAAGATGGCCATCCAAACAACTGATTTCACTTAAGTATGAGCTAAAAGACAATAAGTCATCGTGTTCTTAATCAAAATTAATGGAATAAATCACAAATTTTCAAATATTTAATTTTGCACAAAATTCATAAAATTTTCTTGCAATTTGAAACCCAAAGTATCCCAATAATCATTTGGAAAGTAGAAATAAAAACACGAGCAAAATTTAAATAAAATGTAACATATTGACATAGGTTAATTTCAGAAATAGAGGCATTAAAATAGAACCATTCATAATGCTGTATGTGCTTAAGAACTATCGAAAAAAGTTTGCCATCATTAAGATTTTTGGCACATTCATTCAGCCGATCATTTAACTGCATTGTTGATATTTCTCTTAGTTCAGAAGCTGGTTCTGTGTTATCACATAAAAAACATTGCTGGGGCTTCTGCACAGTTCTTCTCATTTTTGAATGTCCTTTGTCTGAGTTCACTGTATCACAAGCTGCTCTTTTGTTTGCCCGTTCAAGTTTACTGTTACTGAACAATAATCTGCAGCTTTGGTCATTTAATGTTTTATTAGCGTTTCTTCAATGTCACGACCATCATTCAGTCTGATATATCCTGTCAATTCAGATACGGCTATTGAACTTTAATACTACAACTAATATTAGTATAACTAGGGCTGTTCGATATGGATCAAAAAATATATCTCGATATATTTTGCTATATCTCGATATACGATATATATCTCGATATATTTTCAACAAAAAAATAACCCCCTAAAACTGAAAAAACAAATCTGCCAAATTCCACAAGGTCCTTTTTTTTAAATTGAAGTGTAAGAGGTCGGCAGTTCATATAGGAACATTTAAGATTACAAAAAACCCTAATTACATAAATAATTTAACTATAAAATAAAAGAAATAATACATATTTCCTTCTTTTCATTCATAAATAAAACAACTCAACTCAAACTCATCTTTGCATTAACTCTGTTATCCAAACCAGAACCAGAACCATGAGCTCATTTAGCAGAAGAAGCTCAGGATGTTCCTTATTTCAACAGATCCATGTTATTATCCAGCAGTAAGGAGCTCTGAGGTTTAATCCCACAATCCACTGCAGATCAAACCCAACGTTTCCAAACACAATTGTACAAGTGACACTGTAGCAGATTATTGATTAAAATATTCTGCATAAATAAACTTTACATAGCTAAAGTTTACAATATATAAAACATAACGACTCTAGAGCCACATCAGCCCGTTGGCGATAATAATGTGTTTAATGCAGTTTTGCGCACGTGTGTTTACATTTTACAGAAACGAAACTTAAGCGCATGGCTCATTTGCATAAACAGCGCACTTCTCATGCAGCTCAGCTCGTTTAGCTTCTTTCGGGCTAAAGAACGCGACTCGGTGGAATATGAGGATTGTTGATGGTTTTGTCTGTAAATGGTGGAAAAGGTTCGTGGTGCTTGAAGCTTTTCACTGGCACCAACTTTCGGCGTTCACGGTGGTAGTGAGGAGTGAAGGAGACACGAGCGAACAAAATCAGGGAGGCGGAGGCGACGAGAGAGAAGGTAAACAAGGGAAGCGGGGAAATCAGAACTGAATATAAGCATTATATCGATATATACGATATGTCAGAATTCATATCGAGTTTAAAAACTATCTCGATATATTTAAAATATCGATATATCGCCCACCCCTAAGTATAACTAATACTAAAACTACTAGCTGGTGTATTTACAGGGCTAATTCGATAGCATTTGGGACACTACATCATGCTAGATTAACTACATTAAATATTAGAATGTTAGTAACACTACATAGCCGACACTGAACCCCATGCCGAGTTTCACAGTATGCCCTGGTTGTTCTACGACACCACCCATTTCTAGAATAAACACATATATTCTAACAAAAACATATTTTAGCACATTGGTACTACATATATTTAATAATTCTTCAGGCAGGTTTCAATAAGATTTGTCCATGAGATTTCTTTCTGCTGTGTTTTTTTATTTAAAGACATTTATTTGTAGATATTATAAATATAATGAAAGGTGATAAATAACCATCAAAAATGATTTGATGAATAATTCCACTCAAAATAGAAAAAATTAATTAAATAACAAACCTATGCTTCAACATTTATACATATATACTATGGTGGCCATCTTGAAAAATGGCCGCCATCTTGGATATTTTTGGTGGCTAACGGGCTTTTCATAAAGACCATGTTATTATCTATCTCCACTCCAAATTTGATGCTTGCACCACAAACTGAACGATTATTTCAACTACCAGCTCCACTAATAGTGCACCTTTAAGACATACAATCCTGCATTCAAAAAGTTTAAGGGTACTTTCTCTACCATTCAAGCCACTGCTGCTCCATTGAAAAACAAACCAAAACATGTTTAAACCTGTTTTCCTTACCTTTGAAGAGGAAGTGCGAGTAGTACTTGAAGGTGTTGTAGGACTGTTGCATAGCAATGAAACTGGGGTGCACCGCCTCGCCCTGCTGGTTTTCCCAGGGCAGAGCAATCAGCTGGGCTCTGAACTTCAATATTAGACTGAAAATACTGTGGATGATATTCATGACCGGAGCAGCTTTATCTGTCAGCAAACCCCTGGAGAACCAGAGAGAGGAGACACTTAGGAGAAAGACTTTGAACTGACTGTAAGACAAGCTGCAGAGATAGTAAGACATATTCTGATAATGAGGTTAAAGCATTCAACACTTTTACAAAGCTCCTGCGTTGAATCCTAATGATGTGCAATTGATTTTATATTATCTCTTTTGACGCAACAATCAGACTGAGCATTTTTGAGTGCTCAGAGAAAGATGAAGAGAATTACTCAAACATGTGTGAATGAAGCAAAACACAACTCCAAGTCTGTTTTTGATGAGGTAACAACATTATAACATGACCTAAAGCTTACACAAGTCAATTTTGTGTAATATAGGACGTTTAAACTAAGATGTGCATTTGGAAAACACACCTTGGTAAACTACACTTGAGTTTCCGATAGGTATTTAAGCATTGGAGCACTCCCTACCTGAAGATGGCCCTATTGAGGTAGTCTGCATGTGTGCGGTGGATGGCGTCCAAGTCATTGGCAGAGGTGAGTTTGGTGATGAACTCGCTCCAGGACACCTGCAGGATCTGGTTGGCAATGTACCCCTGGATCACTTTCACAAAGTGCTGCATCTCATGTCTGTACAACTGCAGTTGCCGGAACTGCACAGAGCGGCCTGCACCCTTCACCAGTGCTACACAGAGGGAAGTGAAGACAAAGACACACCGGGTTTAGACCTGGTTAGACTTTTTTTTTTGGCTAGGCTACAGGTACTGTTGAGGAGAACAACCTTTTCCTTTGGTGTTCGTTAGTTTCTGCTTAGCTAAAAAATACACTTGAAACAGAAATAAAGTCCAGATAATTTACTTATTCCAATATTAGAAAGTCATACTTGTACAAGGAGTCTGTGCTGACATTTCCATGCAGAGACTCAATGTTTTACGCCTATACAATGACTTTTATATGCAAACTATGGTGGGAGGCTACCATGAATTTACTTAGCATCTCTTTGTTGATGCACAGGCCAGCCAGGTCTCTTGGCACGTTGCACAGTCCCATCAGACTCCATCCCAGGTGTTATCTGGTTAACAAGTCCCTATCAATTTGTCTTGTCTTGACAAATATCTATGAATCTCACTGTGATCAGAGCCCTTATCTTCAAATGACCTCGATACAATAATCAACTATTATTGATTAGTGACTATACAAAATAGCTAAGCCTAATTATTTATCCCCACAGTACCCGAGAAGGAAAAAGTATGTATTTGTGAGGGTTTCTTTCTGCCCCTCCTACCCCTCCTTTCCCTGCTCCCTCTTCCCTTCTCTCACCTTATTTGTTTTTTCCTGGGCGGGTCCCCAAATCATCTCACCTGCTGAGCTCCACTCCTGATCCTCGTCAGTAATCATCTCCGGCAATAAAAGACCTGCTGACCTGCTCTCCAGTGCCAGATTGTTTCGTCTACCAGATGGTGATTTCCCTGTCGGCTCAGTTTTAGATTTTTTTCCTCGCTCGCTGTATACTTACCTGCATTTTTTGTACTCTTTGCCATTGAAGACTCCTGCATCCCAGCAGCTGGCTCCTCATCTCTCCACCGCCTGTCCACCCTGGTTAATAAACCCTGTTACTTTTGCATTTTTGTCCTTGTTTCGAGTCCTTTTTTGGGTCCACTCCAGTGGCACGTAACAGAATGATCTGGCCAAACAATGGACCCAGCAGAACCCGAGTTGGAAAGGATCGTTGCCACCCAAGGAAATTTACTTGGCCAGCACCACAAATCACTACAGGATCTGAGAGAATCAAATCTAAATAACGGACTCCAAGTCTCAAATTTGACCAGGTTGGTGGAGCACCTTTCTAATCAACTCTCTGCCCAGCATTTCTCTCAACCCAGTAATCCCACTTCTGCTGCTGCCCCTGCTGCTGCCGCTGCCGGTGCCTCCGCTGTACACCCTCCCCGTGAAACTCCAGTTCCTCATCCAGAGCCATACAATGGGGACCTGGGTAAAAGTAAAGGTTTTCTCTTGCAGTGTATGACTGTTTTCACCTGCCAGCCATTTTCGACTGACCATTCCAAGGTAGCCTTTATTACGGGGTTGTTCCGTGGAAGAGCCCTTGACTGGGCTGAGGCTATGTTGGGTGGCAGGGGCATTGAGAGTATCAGTTACTCTGAATTTTTTTGCGGACTTTAAAAGAGTTTTTGCACACCCAGATTGTGAGGCGAATGCTGCCAAAGGGCTTCTAGATCTCCACCAGGGAGACAAGAGTGTGGCAGACTACTCCATTCAATTCCGGATCTTGGCTGAGGAATCAGGGTGGAATGAAACTGCCTTAAAGGGAGTATTTTGGTGAGGGTTAAGTGACACTTTAAAGGATGAACTATCAGTCCGTGATGATCCGGTCTCTCTGGAGGAACTTATCTCTCTCTCTATTCGTATTGACAACAGGCTGCGCGAGCGAAGGCGAGAGAGAATTCCTCGCACTACATCCTCTGTGCCTCGCTCCTCACCTCCAGCCCGAATTCAGACTGTCGGTAATGTTCCTGCTCTGCCCCCCACTCCCCTGTCCCCAAAGGTTACTATGCAAATTGGCCGGGCCAAGTTGACTGTTCAGGAGTGGTCACGGAGAATTCGAGCTGGCGAGTGCTTGTACTGCGGTCAAGGTGGTCATTTTCTCATTCAGTGTCCTGTTCATCCAAAAGAGCCCACTCATCAGTAATGGGGGTACTGATGGGCGAGGTTTCTAAAATCCCCACTGACCAACCCAGACTCCTGTTACCCGCAACCCTGTGTCACAATACCCAGTCACTTCCCCTTCAAGCTCTACTGGACTCCGGGGCAGAGCAAAACTTCATGGACTCAAATTTGATATTGCAGGCGGGGATCTCGACTGAGCCTCTTCCAGAGCCTATCCAGGTCAGTGCTTTGAATGGAACCGTTTTAGCTAAAATTACTCACCACACTGTTCCTCTCCACTTAATTTTGTCTGGCAACCATCACGAAGAGACACGTTTCTTTGTTTTCTCTGCTCCTCTGACTCCGTTAGTTTTGGGCTACTCTTGGCTAAAGATTCACAATCCTGTAATAGACTGGTCTCTCAATAAGATTGTTAGCTGGAGCTCATTTTATCACCAGTCTTGTTTGCAGTCAGCTCTCCCTCCGTCAGAAGAGAAATCCAAACTACCTATGTCTACTCCGGATTTAACCTCAGTTCCACCAGAGTACCATGACTTAGGGAGGTCTTCAGTAAGGAGAAAGCACTATCCTTACCACCACACAGGCCCTATGACTGTGCCATAGACCTTCTTCCTGGAGCTCATCTTCCACCTGCTTGCCTGTACAACCTGTCCCGACCTGAAAGGGAGGCCATGGAGACGTACATCAGAGATTCTCTAGCTGCCGTCATTATTCGTCCATCTTCGTCTCCTGTGGGGGCCGGTTTCTTCTTTGTTGCCAAGAAAGACCAGACATTACGTCCATGTATTGATTACAGAGGTCTGAACAATATTACTGTTAAGAACAAATATCCCTTGCCTCTCATCTCTTCTGCCTTTGAACCATTGCAGGGTGCCACTATTTTCACAAAACTGGATTTACGAAATGCATACCATCTTGTCCGCATCAGAGAAGGGGATGAATGGAAAACTGCATTCAACACACCTCTGGGGCACTTTGAATACTGTGTCATGCCATTTGGACTCACAAACGCACCTGCCGTGTTTCAAACTCTGGTAAATGATGTCCTTCGGGACTTTCTAAATCGCTTTGTTTTTGTGTACCTGGACAATATTCTAATTTAGACCCATCCGAACATCGCCAACATGTCCGTCTTGTCCTGCAAAGGCTTCTGGAGAACAAACTGTTCGTGAAGAGTGAGTTCCACGCCAGTTCTGTGTCTTTTCTGGGTTTCATAATTGAAACTGGACAAGTCAAAGCAGACCCAAAGAAGATCCAAGCTGTCTCTGAATGGCCGCCTCCCTGTAATCGAAAACGGCTACAGAGGTTCCTCGGCTTTGCTAACTTTTACAGGAGTTTCATTCGTGATTACAGCAAGGTCGCACTTCCTCTCACCCGTCTAACCTCCTCTAAGCTTCCATTACAATGGACTCCTGAGGCAGATGGTGCATTCAACAAGCTTAAAAAACTATTCACAACAGCTCCAGTCCTGATTCAACCTGACCCCTCTAAGCAGTTTATTGTTGAGGTTGATGCCTCAGATGTGGGGGTTGGGGCTGTTCTCTCCCAGCGCTCTGACTCAGATTCTTGTCTTCACCCCTGTGCTTTCTTTTCCAGGCGGCTTGCCCCCGCTGAGCGTAACTATGATGTGGGCAACAGAGAACTCCTGGCTGTAAAACTCGCCCTTGAGGAATGGAGGCACTGGCTGGAAGGAGCAGAGCAATCCTTCGTTGTATGGACAGACCACAAGAACCTAGCCTACATCCAGTCCGCTAAGAGACTAAACTCACGCCAGGCCAGGTGGGCTTTGTTCTTCGGGAGATTCAAGTTCACTATTACGTACCGCCCTGGTTCCAAAAATGTTAAGCCTGATGCACTGTCTCGCCAGTTTGACCCGTCTGAACACTGATCCTGAAACCATTCTTCCCGTTAATTGCGTTCTTGGAGCTCTCTGTTGGCAGGTTGAAGCCAATGTGAGAAAGGCGCAGGAGGTCGAGCCCGATCTGGGAGGTGGACCACCCAACAGACTCTTCGTTCCGTCTGCTGTACGCAGTGAGGTCTTGCAGTGGTCCCATAACTCTTTCTTTGCCTGTCATCCTGGGGTGAAGCGCACCTTGTCAAGCCTCAGGCGTCATTTTTGGTGGCCATCTATGGACGCTGATACTCGAAGTTTTGTGTCTGCCTGCACTGTATGTTCCCAAAATAAATCGTCTCACACACCCCCTTCTGGTCACCTCAGGCCTCTACCTATTGCCAATCGTCCCTGGTCACATATCGCAGTGCATTTTGTAACTGGTCTACCCCTTTCTAATGGTCAATCTGTCATCTTGACCATTGTAGACATATTTTCTAAAGCTGCTCATTTTGTGGCCCTCCCAAAATTGCCCTCTGCTCGAGAGACAGCCGACATCATGGTACAACATGTTTTCCGTCTACATGGCATCCCTACTGACATTGTTTCTGACCGAGGCCCCCAATTCATCTCCTGTAGTGGGAACATATAAGATGGTCCTGAGACCAATTCACTAGGCCTGCATGCCTGCACGAAGTCAATATTATGCTTATACAACTCGCTATCTTTTAGTAGGGGATTGTGCCAAGGACACTGTGTTTACGAAAAACAGGGCATCCTACCCCATTGCCAGTCTCAAAAGACTGGACATGGGACAGGAATGCGCCTCCATGTATGTGTGCGCGGTGGAGACTGGCCCTCTCTGCACGCACAGGTGCATGAAGAGAATATATAGAGGCGGAGGGAAAGCACCCACTTTAGAGTCTGCTGCGGGTTGCGTACGAACGCCCAGCCGGGTTTAAGCCACTCTGCCGTGGGTTGTTGGCTCTCCAGCCCAGTGTCAACGGTGAGTTTGATTTTCTTATGTGCCAGTTTGTGTGATGATTGATGCTTAAACCCATTGATTGATTGATATGATTGTAACAATGTTGAGCGGGGAATAAACGGACATATTTATTCTAGCCTCATTGTGTGATGATTGCAATGTTGAGCGGGGAGTAAACGGACACATTTACTCTAGCCTCATTGTGTGTGTAGCAATGTTAAGCGGGGAGTAGCCGGACACATTTGTTCTAGCTTCATTGTAACAATTATTGAGCGGGGAATAAACAGGCACAGTTATTCTAGCTTGTTGTAACAATGTTAAGCGGGGAATAGACAGACACGTTCACTCTAGCTTCATTGTGTGCTGGCATTGATTGATGTGAAATAGTGATTGCCTGGTTGCGACTACTTCCCACGAACCTTTTAAGATATTTCACAAAACATCTCCCAAGTTTGGAAAGCATTTTGTCAATCTCTGGGTACCACCGTCAGCCTCTCGTCTGGTTTCCATCCACAGACTAACGGTCAGACCGAAAGGACTAATCAAGACCTGGAATCTGCTCTTCGCTGCGTGGCCAGTCACAACCCTGCATCTTGGAGCTCACACCTACCTTGGGTTGAGTATGCACATAATTCGTTAACCTCCTCTGCTACTGGTCTCTCCCCTTTTCAGTGTTCCTTGGGCTATCAGCCTCCTCTCTTGTCTATGGACGAGGTTGAAGTTGCTGTACCCTCCATCCAAGCCCACATGCGAAGGTGTCGTAAGATCTGGAAGGAGACCAGGAAGGCCCTGTTGCAGACATCATTGCAAACTAAGTCCTTGGCTGACCGTCATCGCCGCCCAGCACCAGAGTACACCCCAGGTCAGAAAGTCTGGTTGTCTTCGAAAAATATCCCTTTAAAAACTGAATCCAAGAAACTGTCGCCCCGCTTCATTGGACCGTTTGAAATCGAACGGGTGATTAATCCTGTTTCTGTTCGCCTTAGACTCCCACAAGCTCTACGTGTTCATCCTACCTTTCACGTATCCCAAATTAAACCTGTGCACTCTAGCAATCTGTGCCCTCCTGCCAAGCCCCCTCCACCCCCCCAGTTGGTTGATGGCCACCCAGCTTATACCGTGAGGCGGATCTTGGATGTCCGTCGTCGTGGCCGTGGGCTCCAGTACTTGGTCGACTGGGAAGGGTACGGCCCTGAGGAGCGGTCGTGGGTTAGTCGTGCCCTGATCCTGGACTCCAACATGCTGAAGGAGTTTCACCGCGCTCACGCTGACCAGCCTGGTGGTGCGCCAGGAGGCGCCCGTTGAGGGGGGGTACTGTGAGGGTTTCTTTCTGCCCCTCCTACCCCTCCTTTCCCTGCTCCCTCTTCCCTTCTCTCACCTTATTTGGTTTTTCCTGGGCGGGTCCCCAAATCATCTCACCTGCTGAGCTCCACTCCTGATCCTCGTCAGTAATCATCTCCGGCAATAAAAGACCTGCTGACCTGCTCTCCAGTGCCAGATCGTTCCGTCAACCAAGTGGTGAACAACTCAGGCTTTTTGTGTTTTTGAGCATTTCAGAAGAATTTTGACTCTTACCTGTTTTCTTTTATCCGTTCCCCAGTTCTTCCGTTTTGGGAGCCAGCCTCATCCCATACCCACCAGTTTCTGTAAGCCTCCGGTCAGCCTCCCTCTCCACAGAACTCCCACCTGCAGCCAACCTGGACCCATCCTGCCTCCCCTGGAATCTATCCCCCCGCCAAGACTATTCTTGTGAAATAAGTACTTTTTTTTCCCTCTGCATATTTGGGTCCAACCAGTGATTCTTTAACAGTATTTAACTATCTTGTTCTTTGTTCTCACAAACCCTGCATGCCTTTTCTGGCCACTAGCAGCAATTTTATCTGTGAAAACTGAAATAGGATGGACCACCTTTGCAGAGTCAATCAGCTCTCATCTCTTTCAACTGTCATATATTCTTAGAATAGATAATTAGATGAAGAAGCACGCAGCGGTCACAAGGTCTGCATTTTCAATACACTTTCTAGGGCAAAAGTTACACAGAATTAAGACAGAATTACTGGTAACTCATTTATGAGAAAAGGGTTTGGTAATGCTGCTTTAAGTCTTTTTTGGGTGTCACACTACAAGGCCTGTGTATGTGTGCGATGGTTTTTATGATACTGGCTACAACCAAAGTTTGTCTCAGTACATATCAGGCTAAGCAGTGTGAGGTTGGTTTGAATTATAGGAAAGTGTGCGCCTGTTTGTGGCTGGGCTCTCTGCTGTTACTTTCATTGATCATAGACACAGCAAGAGGAGGGCTCACTCTGTGACCAAGATTTTATAATAACAAACTCTTCATATTTGTAGGTTTAGTCCCAGTTTGATCCAATGAAAGCCTTTTTTTATTGAGTACTTGGTTATGTTTAGTTCTTTTTTCACAAATGCACATTATAACCCACTCTGGTTTGTATTTGTAAAGTGCTGCTTGATATTATACCATATACATTTTCCATATGATTTCTATTATTCTGTAAAAACTCCTCCACACACGTTTGACTTTCCCCTGGAGGACAAATAAAGTTTTATGCATTGAATATGAGCGAGCCACTGGTTTATAAAGCGATTCTGTGCATATTTTTTCCACTATTGACTTAATTAAAGTTCAGCACGTATTAAATATTCATCAGTGTTTTCCCAGGTAGTGGGTAAAATTAGTTCCTTTACACTGCCGCTTATGTCTCTGGGGTAATTCTCATGCATTTGTGTTGAGATCAATAATCCCCTCACCATGGGCAGGGAGCACTTTATTATGAGTGCTTTGAATAAATATTCTATAAATGTGGCATTCAACTGGATGTCATCATTTCAGATGCAGAGCGGGGGCTTATAGATCTCTATGGGCTTGTTTTTGAAAGAAACAACCAAACTGAAAATTTACATATGATGAACCTTATAATTATTTGTTATCATTATGATTATAGACCCTGTGGCTTAAGGGTGGACTACATAACTACTACAATGTGGTCTCAGAGCAAGTAGAGCTCATAATAGGATTAATGAAACAATCTTGTGAGAGGATAATTACAACTTCAGGTCTGTTTTTGATGAGGGAACAATGTTGTCACATGGTAAAAAAGTAAATGATGCATAATCTGTCCTTCCAAATGACATGAGCCGTTTACAGTGTTGTATGACAAGAGCTCAGTAACCACAGTGCTTTACCTGTGCGTCTGAGGTGGAACCAGACATCACGCAGGCTCCATACCATGTGTTTGAGCTGCAGCAGGAAGGAGAACAGGCGGTTGTATTTGTTCATACAGCTGTCTGTGATAATGATGTTCAGAGGCCAGTCCACCTGCAATGCAAACACAACTATTTATTAGATAAGAGAAAATATCAAGAAGTTATTTATTATTTCATTTTTTATTATGATTTGTTGTAATATTGTTTAGTTTGTTTGTATAAAATACAAAAAAAAAACACAATATGATGTCCCATCAGGAGGAGGCCCGGGGCAGACCAAGGACATGCTGGAGGGACTAACTCTCTTGGCTGGCCTGGGAACACCTTGGGATTCCCCTGGAAGAGCTGGAGAAAGTGTGTAGGAAGAGGGAAGTCCACGACCCAGCCCCAGATAAAGTGAAAGAAAATGTTTTATTTGCAGTAGAATTGTTCTCCAAAAAGAAATGAGAGAAATGTCGCATTTTCTACCTATAACCTAATGCACATGGCATGTACTAGTATTGCTATAACAATTGCAAATATTTGCCAAAAAAATCACTATTCAGTTTTGTCATTCAGGTATTATACTAGACTAGTGTTTCCACAATACAAATTTTGAACTAGATTTTGACACTAAGCAATATACTTGATATCAATTTTGATATAATATGGTAAAATATTTTTTTTAATTGACAATCATTTCTACATTATATAATCTTCTGCCCATCCTGATAAAGCCCAGTATCTAAAAGTGTTCAGGAAAGGTCAGATTTAGTTTTTGTGATTTACTTAGTACTGAAATGAGCATCTACTTTCTATAGTAGCATCTGGTTTTTCAACACTTTTGACAACATTACCAGAGAGTATTTTTGATAAATGATTGGGCACTGACATTTTTTTCCATGAACTGTCTGGAGATAAACTGTATAAAAAGACAGATAGCAGTTCTGCTGTAAAGTTGGAAGTCAGAAGAATGAAATTTGAGTGAATAAGTGAGGAGAGCGACTAGAGCTAAGGGCGTTATGAGCTGCATCCATCACACAGCGCCATCCCAAAGAAGCGCCTTCGATCCATCTGCGCTTCACTCATTTAAGCGCCTGATAAGCTAAATACTCTAGAGCAGTCAAGCTTTGTCAAACTACAACAGCACGCCATGTTAAAGCTGTCACTCACAGGGAAATGCACAGGAAGAAATGTTCATTACAACAACAGCAGCTGCTCACACCTCCTCACCTTTGGGATGTACAGGAAGAGCTACATGTGAGGTACTGTTTGTCACCAACTCACTGAACTAACTGAGGGATTTGATTTAGATTTTGACTGCTTGTTGGAAGTGGCGAAGTGCACACAGACACTAGTGCACACTCAGTGGAAGCATATTTAAGTGACAAATTAATCAGTGAGGGCTTTCATCATTTGTATGGCATTTTTGCGAGTCATGGTAAAATAACAGAGGAGCTGAAGTGATGCAGAGACAAGTTAAAACTTTAATTTTTGTCAAGTGGAGAACTTATGGTGTGATATACTTTGTTGTTTTGCCATGCTGACAATTACATTGGCCAACACAGTGATCCTGTCCTGTCCAGCCAGAACCACACACTTCGACAAAACTTTACAAAGATGAATGGATCTGAAGCCTTGTTCTGCCTGTATGATTGACAGGCAGATTAACCAATCAGAAGACACATACTCTGTGTCTAAAACATGTAAAAAAAAAAAAAATAAATAAAAACCAAACGGGTCGAGAAACAGGGTGGATTTTCTTAGAATCAACAATCAAAGCACCAAATTATCGTAAGTTTTTTATTTATGTAAAGCTATTCACAGACATTTTTCACAAAGATGCTTTACAGAGCATTATTCAGCATTATTCATTCACTCCAGACTCTGTGATGTTAAGCTATTATTTTAGCCACAGCTGCCCTGGGGCAGACTGACAGAAGCGCGGCAGCCATGCCAATAGGCACCATCAGTCCCTCCGACCACCACCATCACTCGCGCACCCACCATTTTCATTCTCTGCAATGTGGCACCTGATTTTCCCAGCAGCCTCCCATCCAAGTACTAACCAGGCCCGGCCCTGCTTAGCTTCTGAGATCTGACAGAATCAGGCTCTGACTTGTCTCAGGTAAAATAAGTCATACATTTTGTTCTAAATGTTATGAGAATTTTGGAGAGCGGATGTATTCCACATTTGAGAGACACTTTAGACAAATGAGCTGTAGTTGGATCACTTCTAGTTTTGGAAGAAGGTTTTTCAAGCTCTGCAACCAGACCCTTCTGGTTTCAAACAGAATGTAGAATGTAGCCTGGCTGCTCAGGCAACAGCAGTAGCTGTTTAGGTTACTAAACAGATAACAAGATATTTGTGATTTGTAACAGAATCCTTCTCACATCCCTGTTATAGCATGTCCAGCACAGATCCTCACCCTGTATTAGAGCTGGCAGACATATCGCAATCAAATCAGAATGGCAGCAAATTAATAAGATTGAGCGAAGAATTATTAAGAGAAGAAGAGAAGAATTATTAAGTTAAAATGTCCTCATCAAAAAATCCTCTCTCAGTATGTATAAAACAGCAGAACTGTGTAGTTTTCACTTGTACAAACATGTGGGCCCGGTCAAGCAGAAGTAAACAGCAAGGCCAAAAATTCAAGTTAATGCATCTGATATAAAAATGTATTCAACAGATAGCATATGTACTCTAGTTTATGAAACTGTTTATGAAACCTTTTTTCTGTATGATTTTTAGTTCTAAAGTTACATACGTTTTAAACAGACCATGTCACATGTACAATTTTTAGGCCTTGAACAAAAATTATTTCCCAAATTTTAAAGACCTGCAAATCCTCTTCAGGTTAACTTTCAAGCTACATCTTTGACTAATCTACATCTCTAGGTAGTATACTTATGAAAATAAAAACTATTAGGTGTTAGTATCTGGTAAAACCTGTGTTTTACATGTCTAAAAAATTTTAATTTTCCCCCCGTTACTGAAAAATGATGTTTTTTTAAGTTTTACATGTTATACTGTTGTGGGAATTTTTGGGGCATTTGCTAAACTATATATTTTTGGAAAGGTTATAATATATGGAGTCAGAAAATCAATGTTTGCATTTGCCCAGATGTCATTATGGCAGCCATATTGAATTTTTTTTAAAATGGCTGCCAAAAAAGCTAGCCAACATCAAATTTGGATGTTGAATGTCAACACACACATTTAGACACAATATGATTACTCAACCTTTTTTTTATTAGACATTTTCTATACATCATCATTATCATCATCACATTCATACAGCCATAGACTGTATATATGAGGACAGATCTAACGCTGTAGCCGCCGGGTGCCAAATAGGAAGTTCTCCACAAGGCTCTTCTGGCTCCTTCTGACTCTAGCTCCAATTGACTTACATTAGGATCTTGTGGCTCCTCTCTCTGTACCTGCTGCAGTGAGCCTCGACATTTTGGTCTTAAAATGTTTGTATGAACTCGCTCTACATGATCCTGAATTAATTATATATATTTTTTTGCTATTTTGTCCATCAAAAAAACCTATTCATAATATAGAGTCTGGCTCCAGTTTCGCTCCTGTAACAGTAAGCATCAAGAGCCTCATTTGAGCGACGCTGAACTCTGTGGGTCACACTCACTTAGTCCACTTCTTTTATACAGTCTATCCATAGAACATGGCTTGGGAATCATCATCATTCTGGCACTGGCTGCTGCACTGACACATGTCAGTACAGGCTAAATCTTTAGTTTCTGGTGTGCAGTTCTGCAGTCGCCTTTGTACTTGGCAGTGGTGAACTGTGGACCTGGACCCTGGGCCTTCATTAGGACCAAGTGTTGCTATCATAACATCATTTATTTAAAGAAAACTAAATGAAGCAAAACGCACATGCACTTATTTCATATATTTGTTTAATAAACATTAGCTACTGTTTAACAAGATGCCACCTCTGAGCCCTGGCCTGGCCGCGGGCTCCGAGTTTCAGTTCTTGGGTTGTCCAAACAGGGGTGTCCTGCTCATTTTTTGATGCTGTGGTCTCGCTTATATTTGCTATCACAGGGTATTCGCAAAGGCCCTGAAGATGTTGTGATACGATCCGACCATATATATATATATATATACACACACATATATACACACCCATAGCATTCAACGCCGCTCAAATGAGGCTCATGATGTTCACGGTTACAGGAGTGAATATGGAGCCAGGCTTTATATTATTCCATTCCATTCTCTTCCGCTTATCCGGGGCCGGGTTGAGGGGGCAGCAATCTAAGCAGGGTCTCCCAGGCTTCCCTCTCCACACACACTTCCTCCAACTCCCCCTGGGGGACCCCGAGGTGTTCCCAGGCCAGCCAAGAGACATAGTCCCACCAGCGTGTCCTAGGTCTTCGCCGGGGCCTCCTCCCGGTGGGACGTGCCCGGAACACCTCTCCAGGGAGGCATCCAAGAGACATTCGGAACAGATGCCCGAGCCACCTCAACTGGCTCTTCTCAACGTGGAGGAGCAGTGGCTCTACTCCGAGCTCCTCCCGTGTGACTGAGCTCCTCACCCTATCTCTAAGGGATCGCCCAGCCACCCTGCAGAGGAAACTCATTTCGAGCGCTTGTATCCGCGATCTCTTCCTTTTGGTCATTACCCAGAGCTCATGACCATAGGTGAACGTAGAATGACCGGTAAATCGAGAGCTTTACCTGTTGGCTCAGCTTGCTCTTCACCAGAACGGTCCGATGCATCGACCGAATCACTGCAGACGCTGCACCGATCTGCCTGTCAATCTCACACTCCATCCTCCCCTCACTCGTGAACAAGACCTCGAGATACTTGAACTCCTCCACTTGAGGCAAGGACTCTCCACCCACCCGGAGACGCCTTTTTCTGGTCGAGAACCATGATCTCGGATTTAAAAGAGCTGATCTTCATCCCAGCCGCTTCACACTCGGGTCAAACCGCTCCAGTGCTGCAGGTCATGGTTTGATGAAGCCAAACAGGACAACATCATCTGCGAACAGCAGAGATGATACTGTGGTCCCCAAACCGGACCTCGTCCGACCCCTGACTGCGCCTAGAAATTCTGTCCATAAATACAATGAACAGAACCGGTGACAAAGGGCAGCCCTGGTGGAGTGGACTGGTTGGGCAAACTCCCATGAACCCTCGAGCACTCGATGGAGAGTGTAGAGCTGGTCCAGTGTTCCACGGCCAGGACAAAAACTACGGTCGTATTCTCCTCTCCAGTCCCAGGCATAGACCTTACCGGGGAGGCTGAGGAGTGTGATTCCCCTGTAGTTGGAACACACCCTCCGGTCCCTCTTCTTATACACAGGGACCAACACCCCGGTCTGCCAGTCCAGAGGTACTGTCCCCGATCAATGTTGCAGAGATGTGTCCGCCAAGACAGCCCCACAACATCCAGAGACTTACTCAGGATGGATCTCATCCACCCCCGGGCTTTATATTATGAATAGGATTTTTTTGACAGACAAAATAGCAAAAAATTTAAAAATTCAGGATCATGTAGAGCAAGTTCATACAAACATTTTAAGTGTTGAGGCTCACTGCAGCAAGTACAGAGAGAGGAGCCACAAGATCCTAATCTAAGTCAATTGGAGCCAGAGTCAGAAGGAGCCAGAAGAGCCTCCTGGAGAACTTCCTATTTGGCACATGGTGGCTACAGCGTTAGATCTGTCCACTTGTATATACAGTCTATGACTGTATGAAAGTGATGATGATAATGATGATGTATAGAAAATGTCTAATAAAAAAATTGTGTAATCATATTGTGTCTAAATGTGTGTGTTGACATTCAACATCCAAATTTTATGTTAGCTACTTTTAAACTCTTTGAGTTATCTGACCAACTACATGTGATGTTTATAGTTTGTTTTACCCATATTGTTGAAGTATTTCAACAGGATAATTTAAAAAAACATATTTTTGGAGGAAAATGGAGGATAACATGCAAATATTACAGTGAAATTGCAAGAAAACAACCAAACCGGGTCATTTTTTACCCACTTATACGTCTAAGGGTTAATGTGGGTAGGTCTTATAGCTTTGTAACTAGCACCATTTGATTCCCTGACCCTGAAAATGTGGGTTTAGCAGTTAAAATCAACATTTCAACTTATTCAGAGGTTGAGATATTTCAAAAAGAGTTTTTTGGCGGCCATTTAAAAAAAATCCAATATGGCCACCATAATGACGTCTGGGCAAATGCAAACATTGATTTTCTGACTCCATATACTATAACCTTTCCAAAAGTATATAGTTTAGCACATCCCCCAAAAATTCCCACTAAGGTTAAAAAATGAGAATAAGGAACCAGACTATGTGTTAAACTTTATATTTCATCATGAAACTTTCTAAAAGCAAGGATGTTGATACTACTAAGCATTTCCTGCAGTAATCTAATGAATTCTGTTTCTACATAATTTTTTATTAATTGTCATATTTTTTCCCTGTTACTGGCAAAGGTAACGGAGGCAAAACAGTTCATATTGTAAGCACTTTCTACTGCATTGTCCCTGAGTTATTCCATACATAGTGTATTGTTTTCATAATTATGGTATTGTATTAGGTTAAGGTGGTCTCTTTTTTAGCATTATCTGTAAAAATTTACAATATTTTGAGAATAAACTCAGATATTAAATATTGTGAAGTCTTTCAAATGAATGAAAAGTATAGTTTAATATCATGAATAAATTTATGTTCCAAGTTTGCAGTTTGTTGTTTTGATTCATTATATGACCTTGACAGTGTTTGAATGGACTTGACTAGCATTGGAACTTCACTAGTCATCTCGTAACCATGCTACCCATGTGCAGGTGTGAGGTGTTGAAGCGTCTCCCTCTTTCCTTCTTGTTGGCATCCGAGACAGGGGTGGCTTCCCTGTCATCTCTGCCAAGCTCTATAAAGCCTTGTGATATTCTGTGAGTTTCATTTAGCAGTCTGTGGTGGTGTGGTTAGCCACATTTTGTTGAGAAATTTTCAGCCAAATTTTTTGTATTGATCATGGCTTTTACCCCTGCTGAGAAGCAGTTCATATATGCATCTCTCCTGTCAAGGTTAATGTAAAAATTGTGCGATGTTCCTGTCTCAAATAAATAAATAAATAAATAAATATTGGTTCTTAAGAAAAAGTTAATCATGTAAATAAATAAATAAATAGATGTATTTCATCATAGCTTGTGTTATATTTGCTTGGAAAGACTGACATATTTTACAGAAATAGTTACCTTTTATTTTGAAGTAATATTAAAGTTTTCGGAAGAAAACAAAATCGTGAACCTTCTACTTGCTTGCACAATTTTCCCTCCGTTATTTTTCCCTCCGTTACCATGACCTTTCTTAATAAAAAATCTCATGACTCAAAAAGTAAGAGGTTTTTCAACCTAATCTTGTACCATATGGTAGAAAACTATATGAAGCAAATATTCAAACCAGTTTGTTAAGGATATGTAAGTGAGAACCACTAGTTATCACTGTTTGGATTTATTGCCCAAAAAGTGCTGCATATTTCATTCCCTCCGTTACCGACATGAGTTTTTAGATTTTTTGTCAACAACTTGAAAGAATATCACAGGTTTAACTTTACCCTGTTGGAGTGTTAACTCTTTCCTACATTCTGATACCTTACTTACTTCAATAGTCCCTCTAGTTATTTGAATGTAAAAAATCTGCCCGTTTCCCTCCGTTACCGCTTGACCAGACTCATGTTCTGACAAGTATGTGATTCTGGTATTAGTTTAGCAGTATATTTTCAGGCTTCTCTTAAATGTTACTGCATCAGACCAAATATTTATTATTTTTAGGGCCGGGCATGTTAACACGTTAATTTTGCGTTAACTAATCAATTCATTAACGCCAACAATTATTTTAATGCCGTTAACGCAGTTTTTATTATTTACTTATTTTTTTATTGTAAACGTCAGTGGCTTTTATTTTGAAAAAGCCCATCGCAAGCATTTCTTTAAGTTTGAAGTCTTTCCTTTACAAATTTTTCACTTTTTTCTGACCACGTGAGATGCAACGTGTCCGAGCCTCCGCGAGCCACGGGCGCCGGAACCCGCGGCAGAGCCCGCAGCCAGGCCAGACCAGCCGTGTGCTCTGAGCTTCCGCTCCAACTGGGCTGTGTGCTCCGGTTCACGGGTCTTTGTCTTCTCTTTCTTCCAGATGCCCCTGAGGCGTCCAGATAGGTGTGTCCAGTGCGGTTTTCGTCGCTGCGGTCTCGCATGCTTACATAATGCTATTACAGGGTATTCACGAAGGTCCGGAAGATTCCGTGATATGATCCTGCCCATAACTCAATGAAATATGATTGGCTCAGACAACTGTCAATCTCCAACTTCGTTCCAGCCACTGGTTCATTGCTGCAGGGAGAGTCGCTGATTTACCCAGATACCATTGAAAGAAAAATTGTGATTGGTTCATTTCCATTCCTTTATATTAACTTATAACAGGTTATAAATAACCTTTGTTTCCCAAGAAATATCAGTCCAAGTTTATAACTATGATCTAGATATTATTAGTCTAGATATTACTAGTGTAGTGCTTATTACTCACTGAATAAAAAATATTGAAAAAATATGTTAGTAGTACAAAAATTCATTCAATATTTTCTCTTGAGTCTTCACTGAATTACCTTGAAGGCTCCGAGGGTTCCCCTGTGAAAGAAATGCTGTTTGCACAACAAATGTGTGGCTCTTTCATTTACATTTCCAATAAAAGTGCACTATACTCTACTTTTTAATTAATTCATTGGTTTTGCGTATAACATGTGATTAATCGCACTCGAACTGCGATTAATCGTGATTAATATTTTTTTATTTTTGCCCAGCCCTAATTATTTTATATGTGGAGTGGAGTTGGCAGTCATAGTAATGCTAGAACTAGCATGCTAAGCACAAACTTCTTGATTCACACTTCGGACAATTAAACACTTAATAAAATGCAGACAGTACACAGCAGACTTATTGTGACCACAAGAGCCAATCATACAATATGTCTGTGCTGGGGCAAGACACATTTTGCTCAAATACGTGGAAAACAATCAGGTAAAGGCTCTGCAATTAAAATGCTTGTCATAAAAACTGCTATAAGATCCTTTCCACAGTCCACAGTCGTCTGGTCTTACCCTGTAGCGCAGCTCTAAACAGTTGAGTGAATCAGGGGCGTGGGGGTGGAAGGTCTCGGGAAGGTAGCGGAGGGCAAAGGTGAAGTTTCGGGCCAGAGGGGTGTCACCATGGAGACTGTACTGAAGAGCTTTGTGCAGGATTGAGTTCAGCACCAGAGGCGTGAGGAGTTCACCAGGCGTCTGACCACTGCCCACCTATCAAGAAAGGAGGGGAAGAAACCTATTTATTAGACCTGGAACTGAAACTAGGACTGCATTATTATTCAAAATCTGAATTCTTATGGAAAATGTTATGGTAATTTCATTATTGGAACCAGAAATGGGTATGGGCAGAATTGTGCTTCATACACTACTGCTACAAAATAGTACTAATTGCTTCGTACTAGGGTTGTCCCGATCTGATCACGTAACTGCGGACTAGATCCAGACTCGGACGTTATGATCTGATCAGGTATTGGATAAATAATAAACATATATAACACACAGCGCACACAGCACACACAGAACACAACAGTTTCGTTTTTTTATTTTTAACTGAGGCGCAGGATTTGCTCAGGGACGTCCAGTAAGCGCGACTGTCTGTCCCAGCACCTGCTGTACTAGTGGCGCACTTGCGCTGGGACTTGTCGTGCTCGGGCACTGTTGCATGTAGTTCTGTGGCCCGTGTTCACATCTGTGCGGCCGATGGCGTCATCGGACTGCGCTGTTTTTTTGCATGTTTTGGCGGGGAGGGTGGAAACAGCAGTATGGAATGTCTAATGAGCAGTGTGACCGATGTTGCGGTGTGCGCTCCGCTGTGGGTTTGTGAATGTGGTGGTGGAGGTGCGGGGGTGAGAGGCGAAGTGCTTATCGAGGTTGTGCATGGATGCCAAAAACTATAGTCTTACTACCTGTGAATATAGTATTTCACTACATTCTACTGTAAGAATGACATTAGACATAACAGTTATTCACATGTGCCCCCAGAGGTACACAGAATGACCTATGGGGGTGCACAAAGAGTTATGACAAATAAATGTCATCTCATTTTTATTTGGTAAGATTTTGTTTTATTTGGATATCATAGATGAGCCTAAATGTTTCAAATGTAATGTACATGTTTCCATATAATATCAAATATGGGTCAGTCCATATGAAATCAGCCGCCCTGAAAAGCTGAAATCAGATTCTGAATCTGTTGTCAAATATTGGGTATCTTTATTAAAGGGGCCTCAAATTTGGTTGCAGCTCTATTTTTATTTTTTTTATTTTTGAGGTCCAAGATCTATTTACTCCAAGCAGATATTTACAAATTAACTGTTGAACCTGAATATTTGAGAGAATGACCATTTCTGACAACAATCTCACACTTTTCTGAGCTTTCATGTGGATGGTGTAGAGCCCCAAATATGGTCACAAACCAAATGTGACCTTTTTGGCCCCTTCTTTGGACCCTCGGTTCCTCATGTGGGCACAGTTCGATGTTGATAAAATTTTCAGAGAAACTTTAGCATATTCTGATTAGTTCAAAGTAATAAAAACATCTATTAACTTCCTTCATTTCAAACATTATTTTTGAAAATGAGCGCTCACAGGTACTTTTCCACCTGCAGAAAGGTTCAATTACCTTTAATAGACTTGAACACTATTTGCTTGTTATAAAGAAGACAACTGGAGATTATTTGTGGAACATTGCTTGTGATGGTTTTGGTGGCACAGTAAAAGGCTTGGCTGCAAGGACCAGTCTTCAGACAACTGACAGCAATCAAATATTTACTGCACTCCAGATGTTTGAGTGGGCTTCACAAAACATAAAGAATGTGAAGTTTTTTCCTTGTAAGCTCTAAAGACATTACCATGAACTTACTTCTAAACTAGAATGGTAAATGGTAAATGGTCACATTTTTCTATAGCGCTTTTCCACCTTCAAGGCACTCAAAGCGCTTTACAACAAGGAACCACTCACCCATTCACACGCACATTCATACACCAGTGTACGCAGACACTGTGGGCAAGGTGGGTTAAGTGTCTTGCCTAAGGACACAACGACAGCATTCATCTGTGGGAGCTGGAATCACACCAGCCAACCTGTGGGTCAGTGGATCTGACCACTCAACCTGTGATGTTTTTTATGTTGAGAGCTGGATTCGAACCGCCAACCTTAGAAGAGTACTATAGCAAGGTAAAGACTGTGAAAAGTACTAGATCACACCACAGTTTCATTCCAGTGTCAAATGGTAAATTAAAGCCGCAAGCGGTGTCGAACGGCCCTCGTTCGTCGTGCCCCGCCAACACCATACTCTAAACACCGTGCCCGCAAACTCGGTGCCTGCAAACGGTAAATGACATAGTGTGCCTTTAAATGTTCTTTGCGTCCCCTGCTGGCCAACCTTGAAAAATGCCCATATGAGTAATATGTTTTTGCTTCTAGTCATTAATAGAATTGAATTCCCAATTTCATGTCTATGGGGGCGCTATAGTGTTCACTAAGCGTGTGTGTAATAATAAAATATTTTTGGGGGAGTCAGCCCCTGCTGGCCAACAGTGTAAATTTCCCCATGTCCATAATATATTAATGCTCGTAATGATCCTTAGAATTTAACTGCCAAATTTGGTGCAGATCCGATAATGTTGACGTTTCATGTCTATGCTAGGGGGCGTTATAGTGTTCACTTTTCATATGTTTTATAGTGTATTATATTCAGACTGAGATCACACGTTAGTGATTCAAATTTCAGCACGATTGGACTAAGCCTGTGCGAACAGGAGCAAATAATGTCACCTTGAAATTAGGTGAAATTTTGACTGAAATTTGCGGCTTCGCTGCACGTAAACCGTGACAATAATTTGGCCAACTTTAGATGCCCCACTTCTCTAGATGATGTACGGTGATTTTCAGCCCTGTGGCCCCACACCCTGTCGGGGCTCGGGCCTAAAAATAAAATAATAATATTTTTAGCAAAACAATATATCCGAAAACATTAGAACAGCATATTATACATTTTTTGAAAGCTCTTGATCTTCCCCACATCACCGTGGTGTCATTGGTGAGTGAAGTGCGTCTGTACCATCTCGTCAGGGTCGATCCCTGACCTCCCATTGACTTCCATTCATTTTAGCAGTAGTAAATATGGCTCAGGCCTTAGGCATGGGTTACTGGGATACTGCTGTTCGTGCCAGGGGCGACTGAGGACAAAGCTGCATGTCGTCATCTTGCATTCGCCCATGTGCTCGTCGCTCCCCATTCGCTGTGCGTAGAGGAAGCAATAGGCCCTACGCCCTGTTGGGGCTCGGGCCTAATTAGAAATGAGAAGAACATCTCAAGATCATTTATGTACTGAAGTTTCAGTTTCTGAAATACAAAATGAGATTGTGCAGATATCTCTTTGGACCAGCCACATCAATACAGTGCATGTATTTATGACATCAGGTGGTTCATTGAGAATATTTCAGAGTGTTCAGATGAACATGGTGACATCTATGTGAGATTCATGAATGGAGATGACAGAACCCTCTTCTGGCCTCCTGAACATTGGCAGAACCATGTTGGGTTTAGTTTCAGCACATAATCTGTTGTATTAAGGTACCAGAAGTTCAGGGAAGAAGAGCACGAAATTATCACCTTGACACTGCAGATTATGACATGATCCAAACATTACTTCTGAAGTTCATTAGTTGTTAGGAACACTTAGTGTGCAAGATACCAATACAGATGATCTACAGGTAGGCAGCAAAGGGACCAGAATGGGCAGATTTGTCCAGTATATTGGTATTGCCTCAAGTGGAGGAGTTCAAGTATCTCAGGGCCTTGTTCACGAGTGAGGGGAGGACAGACTGTGAGATTGACAGGCGGATCGGTGCAGCGGTTGCTGTATCGGACTGTTGTGGTGAAGAGGGAGCCGAGTTGAAAGGCGAAGCTCTCAATTTACCGGTCAATCTTTGTTCCTACTCTCACCTATGGTCATGAGCTCTGGGTAGTGACCGAAAGGACAAGATCGCGGATACAAGCGCTCTAAATGCGTTTCCTCCGCAGGGTGGCTGGGCGCTCCCTTAGAGATAGGGTGAGGAGCCACTGCTCCTCCACGTCGAGAGGAGCCAGTTGAGGTGGTTCAGGCATCTGGTTCGGATGCGTCCTGGGCACCTCCCTCGGGAGGTGTTTTGGGCATGTCCCACAGGAAGACCCAGGACATGCTGGAGGGACTATGTCTCTCAGCTGGTCTGGAAACAACTTGGGGTCCCCCCCAAGGAGCTGGAGGACGTGTCTGGGGTGAAGGAAGTCTGGAAGTCCCTGCTTAGACTGCTGCCCCCGCGACCCGGCCCCGGATAAGCGGAAGAAAATGGATGGATGGATGGATGGATGGATGGAGGCATTTTCTGCTGAGGTTGTTTGTCACACTGAATTTTTAAAATGTCATTTCTAGCAGTTGAACAAATAACAGACCAGATTACTGTATTTTGGTAACTTTTGTGTCAGTTGTTGTTACTGCCTTCTTGCAATATTTTTGTGCAAAAATTATACACATATGGTGGTACTGAAAGCCATGGTTATAGAATCAGAGACTTTGTGATTTAGCAGGCAGAGTATTCCAACTGAAATTTGCCTTTGATCAGTTGCCATGAATACTATCTTAACTTTACTTATACACCATGAAAAGCTGTTTCTTTGTGAGATAACACATTACCTTCCTCAAATAAAAATAGAATAAATAATGCAAACAAACCTTTTTTCATAATTTTGTGCAGAATGAATAGCTGAATTTTCTCAAAGGATTAATGACACTTTTCCAAGCAATGTACCACAAATAATCTCCAATTGTCTTCCCTTATAACAAGCAACAAGTGTTTAAGTCTATTAAAGGTAATTTAACCTTTTTGCAGGTGGAAAAGTGCCTAAGCTCCACCAAAAATGACCTGTGAGAGCTCATTTTCAAAAATTCCATTTGAAATTAAGGAAGTTAATATTAGATGTTTTTATTACTTTAAACTAATCAGAATATGCCAAAGTTTCTCTGGTAAATTTTTTTTAATCAACATTTAACTGTGCCCACATGGGGAACCGAGGGTCCAAAGAAGGGGCCAAAAAGATCACATTTGGTTTGTGACCATATTTGGGGCTCTACACTGTCCACATGAAAGCTCAGAAAAGTGTGAGATTGCCGTCAGAAATGGTCATTCTCACAAATATTCAGGTTCAGCAGTTAGTTTGTCAATATCTGCTTGGAGTAAATAGATCTTGGACCTCAAAATTTGAAAAAAAAAAATTGCCCTGCCACCAAATGTGAGATTTTGGGGGCCCCCAGCACCCCCCTTAATAAAGATACCCAATATTTAACAGATTCAGAATCTGATTTCAGCTTTTCAGCTTCCTAGCTCTATTTTTTATGAAGTTATGGCCTCTCAAACATGCTTAAGAATTAAGATTTCAGAAAAAGTGAGCATGGCCCCAAAATTTCAAGGGGCCATAACTCAGGAACGACTTAAGGGATTGAGCTAAAATTTTCTTTCATTTGGTGATTTTAGAAATTTCGAGATGGCTCATAGGGGAGATTCCTTGAAAACAGCTGATTTCATACAGACTGACCCATATACAAACTATAGATTGTGCAGAGTCTAGTCTCAGGTCTGATCTGATTCTGGTCTGGTTCTTGTTTTGTCCAGTACATTAAGTTTACTAAGTTACACATTCCAAGACCAAACTGTGAAAAGTCAAGATTTTCAACAATGATGGTGCATAGTCAGTTGATTTTTCACACTACGTTCAGCCCAAATACTACACATTGAAATTAATACAATCTGATCCCCCATACATCCTGGATCTTATTCTTTGCTCTTAGTTCATTTCATAATGTTTTATAGAAGTTTCAGATCGGGACTCGGTTTTGGCAGATACTCAAAATCAAATGACTCGGACTCGGGCAAAAAAACGTGATCGGGACATCCCTACTTCATTCACCATTGAGCTGGAGGACAGGTCAAAATTCTATGGTAGAATGCAGTTGCAAGGACTTTAAGCTATACAATTATTTGTGGGGTCAGTCTCTAATAAACGATGATAAGGTTCAACATTTGTGACTCATAAAGTTGGTTATTACTTTCAAAAACAGCAAACTGCGATAAAGTTACATAAGCCCCTGTTCTGCATCTGAAATGTAAACATCATCAAATAAGCCCTGTGAGCTGCATCTTGATTTAATCACAATCACATTCCATACATATTAAAGTGTTCTATTTTTGGAGCAGAGACATCAGTTGTTACAGTGTCACCTTTTCAAAGAGCAGATCACTGAGGGACTGAGCGAACTCTCCATCCTCCATCAGGAGAAAGTGACGCAGCGCCTCAAAGTGCCTCTCCACCCCCAACTCCACAAAAAAGAAGTCCACTACTGCCTTGTTCACCAGGGACACGCTGCACACAAATCAACTTAAATGTCAACTACAGTGTTCAAATATTATGAAAATTGTAGATTTATGTACCGAGTCCTGCTTTGACCTGATAGAAAGAGGGGGAAAAAAGCAACATAAGATAATGAAAAACAACCACTGATCTATGTTTAGTCCTAGTTTGACATGGTTTAGAGAGCATAGAGAAGGGGATAAAAGTAAGGCATCAGAATAAAAATCTGAAAATTATAATGATCTGCAAAAAATAATATATATTAGGATTTCTTAATAGTCAAAAAATTTACATTTAACAACATAGAACTGTTACATGACATTAAAAGTCCTATTTTATGCTAAATTAACTCTTGTGAGCTTTAGTAATGATGCAATCTTGTTACCTCCTCAAAAACATACTTGGAGTTGCATTTTCTTCATTCACATGTTTGAGTAACCCTTTATTATTAGTCTGTCTACATCTCCAAAGCTCAAAATGCTCTGTTCCACCTTGTGACGTCATGAACCGGTTGTTGTTACCACTACCTTTTACCTTTGGTTCAGTAGAGATCCCCTCAAATCGAAATTATCCAAATGATTCTAGTGAAGGTGTGTGGAGTTTCTGTTTGAGTGACGAACCCAATTAGAAAACATGCCGAATTTGTGTGTTAAACATGTGTGAATGAAACAAAACGCAACTTTGTCCATGTTTTTGAGGAAACAACACTATAACAAAGATCAAAAAACAGTGCAATATGCAGCCATTAAATTACTGTACAACTGTAAATTTGTAAATTACAATTTTCTATTATCAAACATTTGTTAAAAAAATGTTTAAAACTATAACTTACTTTATTACAGCTAATTCATTAAATACATTTTATTCCAATTTTAAGAAGGTAAGATTCTTTGAGAAATGATCAAGAATCTATTTGTGCTGTTATATGTATTATACAGCTGTGGACAAAATTGTTGGTACCCCTCTGGTAAGGAAAGAAAAATCAACAATGGTCACTTAAATAACTTGAAACAAAGAAAAGCAATTTTTTAAAAATGAAAAAAAGAAAAAAGAAAAAAAAGAAATACTGACAAATAACCAATGAAAATCAGACACTGTTTTTGATGTGTTGTTCAATAGAATTATTTAAAAAAACAAACTAATGAAACTGGCCTGGACAAAAATTATGGTACCCCTAGAAAAGATTTTAAGTAACTGAACAATAGGGACATATTACACTTCAATGTGTCTCTAAGCTGCATCACAGGTGTCTTCAAACTTGTCCTCAGTCAGTCTGTCTGTTTAAAGGGCGACATGTGCCAGGAGACTAGAAAGAAAATGATAATGATGACAAGCAGGATAAAGATAAAGACAATAAGACCATCTCCAAGCAGTTTGAAGTTCCTGTGATTACAGTTACACATGTTCTTCATAAGGTCCACAGGGCTGTAGCCAACCTCCCTGGACGTGGCAAAAGAGGAAAACTGATGACAAATTGAAGAGATGGATCATATGAATGGAACCAAAGAGCCCAGAACAACTTCCAAACAAATTAAATGTAAACTTGAAAGGCAAGGTACATCAGTGTCAGATCACACCATACATCAGTGTTTGAGCTAAAGTGGACTTCATGTGAGGACACCACTGCTGAGAGCAAATCATATAAAAGCAAGACTGGAATTTGTCACAATGCAGATTGACAAGCCACAAAGCTTCTGGAAGAATGTCCTTTGGACAGATGAGGCAAAACTGGAGCTCTTTGGCAAGACACATCAGCTCTATGTTCAAAAAGAACACTGTCCCTACTGTGAAACACAGAGGAGGTTTGGTTTTGTTCTGGGGCTGTTTTGCTGCATCTGGCACAGAGTGTCTTGAATCTGTGCAAAATACAATGGAATCTCAAAACTATCAAGGTATTTTGGAACAAAATGTGTTGCCTAGTGTCAGAAAGCTTGATCTCAGTCCTAGGTTATGGGTCTTCCAACAGGATAAAGACCCAAAACCCACAACTAAAAACACACAAGAATGGCTAAAAACAAAACATTGGACTGTTCTGGAGTGTTCTTCTGTGAGCCCAGATCTCAGTTCTTTGAACATCTGTGAAAGGAGCTGAAACATACGTCTGGAGAAGGAACCCTTCAAACCTGAGACAACTAGAGCAGTTTGCTCACGAGAAATGGGACAAAATACCTGTTGACCAGTGCAGAAGTCTCACTGACAGTGACTGAAATCGTTCATTTGCAGAGTTTGCCTCTAAAGGTTGTGCAACAAAATATAAAGTTAAGGGTACCATCATTTTTGTCTAGGCCAGTTTCATTATTTTGTTTTTCTAATAATTCTGTTGAACCACAGGTGAAAAACAATGTTTGATTTTTGTTGGACAATTTTCAGTATTTTTTTTTATTTATTATTGCTTTTCTCAGTTTCAAGTTATTTCAGTGATTATTGTGATTGTTGCCAGAGAGGTACCAACTAATTTTGTCCACATATGTATGTGTGTGTCTGTATTTTACATCTTTTAGGTTGAATACAGACACCATTTTCAGAAGCTGTTGTGAAAAAAATCATTTTACTTTTGCTTTTATGTACTTTATGTGCTAACAGACGTTTTGAGCTTTGTGACAGTTTTTGTTCCATGTGGATAGGTTCCATAATTATGAAATCTGACTTAAATCTTAAGCACGCAGCAAATTTGACCAAAGAATTCTGATCAGTACTCTAGCTATTGAGCTTAAACTATAGAGATTCTACAGTGTAGTAAGCGCTTTATTTGCATGTATTGAGTAGAGCTAAGAAGTACAAATTCAGACAGTAGATAGTTTTGTTTGAAAAGAAATGCTAAAGCTATTCCTGTGTTCAACAAAAGCCAGAATGCGCAGTGAGCAGAGATAGAGGAGGACTGACACGCCCGCTCAGAGTCCTAATGGGGGTTATTTTAAAGAAAACACTCTTGAAATGTTGAAGGTAATAGGAATTTAAATGACATCTGCTCTGTACATTAGAGGCTGAAGTGTGGCTGAAGTGGCAGAAAAGTGGCAGAGGATTGGTGAAAGTCTGACACCGCCACTTTCTCTTAAAAGCCACATTTACTAGTGTGGATGGGCCTGTGGTAAACACTATGGCACAAACGAGTACATTTAGAATAGCTTTTGAAAACTTACATTTGAGCGATAGACACTCAGGTCATGGGTCTTCCAACAGGATAATGACCCAAAAACACACAGCTAAAAACACACAAGAATGGCTAAAAACAAAACATTGGACTGTTCTGGAGTGTTCTTCTGAGAGCCCAGATCTCAATTCTCTTGAACATCTGTGAAAGGAGCTGAAACATGCTGTCTGGAGAAGGAACCCTTCAAACCTGAGACAACTAGAGCAGTTTGCTCACAAGAAATGGGACAAAATACCTGTTGACCAGTGCAGAAGTGTCATTGACAGTGACTGAAATCATTCATTTGCAGAGTTTGCCTCTAAAGGTTGTGCAACAAAATATTAACTTAAGGGTACCATCATTTTTGTCCAGGCCAGTTTCATTATTTTATTTTTTTAAATAATTCTGTTGAACCATAGGTGAAAAGCAATGTTTGATTTTTGTTGGACAATTTTCAGTATTATTTTTTTTATTTATTATTGCTTTCTCAGTTTCAAGTTATTTCAGTGATGATTCTTGATTTTTCTTTCATTGCCAAAGGGGTACCAATTATTTTGTCCACGTCTGTGTATATGTTCCATAGTCCAGCCCTTATATAGACTAATGTTATATCTGTGGGGAATGATTTGGGAATAAAAAATATCGAATGGCAAGTTTTCTAACAAGCATTGAAATTGTGATTAGATTTGTGAGTTATAAAAGGAGAGATTTTAAACTGAAGAACTGACTGAAGTATGTATAAACTGAAGTATGTATAAACTGACACACTAATACTAGAACAATGTGTATTTCAGAACATGTTTGTACAGATCTAAACTGCAGGGTTATAGGAGTTTTTATGAAGAATAAGACAGAAGATTTTGTGGTTTGTGGAGGAAATTTTGGTACTGATTGACTGACTGGTGACTTATATTATAATAAATTATAACAGTTATAATATAATAAACAAAGACCCTAATAAAGCATTTTAGACCAAATAACTAGCAGGTGGTGTACCCTTTCAGAACAAAATACGTACCTTCTTTCACTTGAGATACATTTAAGTTTGGTGCTTTGATTGTTAATTCTACAGAAATCTGCTGTTTTGCAGTCCACTGCATTAACATTATTATTATTATTATTTATTTAACTCCATATTTATTTTTAACCAAACTGACCATGCATTTGTCTGATGGGTTACTCCACCTGTCAATCATGGCCATCTGATACCGGGGAAAAGATCCGGCTTCAGACACACTGGTCTTGTTTTGTCAAAGGGTGTGGTTCTGGTTGGACAGGTAACCTTTAAACAATGAAGCCCTCAGTGCCCCGACTCACTGTGTGATGAGTGGAGCTGTGACTGAGTGTTTGATGAGTACAGGCAGAGACACCATCTCACTGAGCTGCAATGATGAAGAGTCTGGGGCCATGTGCAGAGCCTGTGCTGTGTGCACAGCCCAGGGGCCGTGCGTGATGGGCTTCAGCAGCTGACACTCTGGAGACGAGGCTGCACATAGACAGGACAGGAGAGAGGAGACAGGTGAGAAGAGACAGGTGAGAGGACACAGGAGAAAGGAGCGAACAACCAAGAGAACAACCAACAAAGAGACAGTGAAGACAGAGAACTATTGATACTTTGCAATGACATCAAGATGGTGGGACTGCATTTACTGTATGTCTATGGCAAAATGTACAGCAGTTATCATGGTGACACAGTGCACACATTACCAAACACAGCCAGATGCATTTTTAGATTTTCTGAAAAAATTCTAAATGGATTTAAACAACGCATTTTCAGAAGCCTCTGATCAATATGAGCATTCATTAGGTGTCAAACAGGAGTAAGAGAGCTTCTGACAGGACAGTACCTCCAGTTAACTTTAGAGTTAACTGTAATGTATCAACAGGCCTCCAAGAGTAGAATTTGAATGGTCATTATTACAAATGGTGCATGTAAATATGTGTGTGGTATTGCAAGACAAATCAGAGATTCCTTTTTAATCTCAGACCTGAGATTTCTACCTTCACACAATTCCTGGACAAATGAGGGAGTACAGCATCTGATTAAACAAACATTTTGATGTGTGACACTGCCTAATATTATGTCTACAACCATAAATAAATGTCACAGTATTGGCAAACAGTTTTTCTTTTGCTATGCGGCCCCTGGTGGAAAAAGTTTGGACATGGCTGATTTATCTTGTGAAATATTTCATATAATTCAATCTAAATTTTAAAAATGAATCAAATTTGATGAACCAAATGAACATTTAACATGTTTGCACTTGTTTGTCAAGCGTGCCGACATTAAGAAGAAGCCCTTGCATTTGTCTTAAGATAATTGATTTCATTTGGAGAAATGGCCTTGCAGCTATGTTTACGTTGCACATTAAATTAATTTCTGTTAATGACACAATGCTTAAATGCTGTAATGAGTAATAACCTGCTATTATAAATAATGTCACTGCATAAATTACTACAAACTTGAGCACTGCTTGATCCTCTACAAAGAGTTTAATTTCAGCAATAGCTGAGGCTTGTTTTAGTTTTACCCCAGTTTCTAAAAACATCAGTGGGTCACAGCAACGCAGTACACATTCTTAACTGACCTATATTCAAGACAGAGAATTAATCTGGATATTGCCATGTTTAACTTTTAATATAGTGTATTTTTAGTTTACCCTCAGGCTTCAAATGACATCTATTAAATGAGGTATTTAACATCAATTAGGATGGAACATAAGGAAAAATATCAAATTCCATATTCCTGAAAACTAGAATGCAGTTCACGGTTCACACAGACTGAAATATGATCTACGAAACTAACACAAGAATCCATGGCACTTCAAAGCCTGTTTGTAGAGCTCAAAACTACTGATTTAACTTGTTTTATAAATAAAGGAGACTCCCAATATTTTGTTGTTTACAGGATATAGCCTAAAGTCACTGTAATGTTAGTGTTTCTTTATATGCACTATTAACTAAAAGTGGTCCAATTGAATAATTGATAATAACGCAATGGTTGTTGTGAAGATATTCACAATTACAATATCTGGTATGTAGTCTACTGAAAACTATTTAAAAAGGCTGAGCTCATTAAAATAGAAACAATAAAATAACTTGATCAAGAGTCTAATGAGGAGAAAATTCTGTTTGTCGTCTGGACAAAAGTTTGTTTGGTTGAAGACATTTCGCAGCTCACCCAAGCTGCTTCTTCAGTTCTGGTCAGACGCTGGTGGATACTTCCTTATATCTGCAGGGAGGAACTAACTAACTGAAAATAACACACACACTTGTTTGTTTGTTTGTTAGTTTGGCCTATTGACCTGTGCAGGGTGTGGGGTCTAATTAGCAGAACAATTCATGGCCATAATGGAGCTCCCACACCTCTGGACCTGACCTGACTACACCTGTTGTTCTCTTGTTTGTTCTGAATTAGGTTTGAGGATGGAGTTGTAAATAGGAGATAGATGGTTTCTGAGGCCTCCATTTCTGTTTAGAGAAGGATTCTCTTTCTTAACAAAAATGGCTTCTTTCTCTCCCCTCTCAAACCAATTTTTCTCTCTGGCTAAAATCTGTACCTCACTGTCCTCAAATGAGTGGCCTGTGGCTTTTAAGTGGAGATGTACAGCAGACTGCTGCTGCTGCTCTCTCATCTGTGTCTAGAACTGGAGAAGCAGCTTGGATGAGCTGCAAAACGTCTTCAACCAAACTAACTTTTGTCCAGTCGACAAACTGAATTTTCTCCTCATGGATTCTACCTGGACGATTGAGGGATTCTTCACACATCAAGAGTCTAATGTTATATTTCTGCACTTTTAAACTTCAAGCACAACATTTAGGTGTGTTTTGTCAGGTTTCTAATGGATTCTCATAAAATTGTGTACTAAACTTCTATAAAAGAAATAAATAAGATGTATACAAACCCATAGCATTGTAGCAGTCTTCATAGTGCTCCGCTTGGTACTGTGAGGACAGGGCAGAGAGATACTGCTGCTCGGACATGTCTTGAGGGGACAGAGCCCACCCCGATGCCCCCCATCTAGCCTCCTGCTCCCCTGCCCAGCCGGACAGAGACACTGAGGAGCAGATGGGACCATTATGTACTGAGAAATTATATGCTGAAACACACAGAAATTACTTGTACATTGTCTTGAACTAACACACCAACACAGTACATATGGCATTATAATGTCTTTAAGGGAACATTTGTGCAAAAAAGAACTAATTACTTTGCACTTTGACCATATTCCACCCTTTCTTTATCAAAAACATAACCAGAGTTGTGTTAGTTCCCTCTTGAAAGCTCAAAAGACTTTGCTCCACTGCATGAAGTCATCTGATGGTAATCCATAACTCTCATGTATGTTTATTAAGTGAAAGCACCCTCACAAGACTTAACCAACTTCAATGCTAAAACCCAGCAGCTATTGTTTTTGGCTTTGTTTAAACTGTATTGTTCCTCTGCAGTAATTTTGAATACAGACAAAAAGGAAATTTTAGATCAACGGTGTCAAAACTATGGCCCCCAGGAATCTTGGTGAATTGGCTCAAATTGTTATAATTACCAGTAATGCTTTTTATAGCAAGTTCAATATTCGCTATGATCATAACATTAAAGAACAAACGTTTTGGCGTGAAACAGCCTTATATTAAGGTTTCAAACCCGAATAATGATGCGGTGGTCAAAACAGGTTGATGATTAACTGTTTTGACCAGCAGTTTTTGGCCCTCTGCAATTCAAAAAGCAGCTCTCAGAAAAATAGTGGTGTTGATATTTTTCAAACATATTCATGGGTTTCTGAATTTTTTTTAATTTTGAGGATCTTTCCCATTTTAAAGATATCAGTGTAATCAATATAGCAATTAGGGATGGGCATTCGATGAAATTTTCTTAATCGATCGTCGGAAGAATTAACGATCGATTCGATTAATCATTAACGTTTTTATATTAAAATGATCATCATTATTATTACTATCTGCACTACTAATCTGCATAAATAAATTCAACTTTACGACATATAAACAGTAACCACTCTAGAGCCACATCAGCCCCTTTTAGATTATAATGTGTTTAATTCAGTTTTGCGCAACTCTCACCGAAACGAAACTTAAAACTGCATCGCTAATTTGCATAAACTAAGCAAAGATAAAACTAAAGCTCTTGTGTCGCTGATGCGGTCAATTTCTGTTGGATTAAAAAACATGACTCAGTGGAATACAGGTTAGTGTGACCAGATTTGCGTTTGTCAAAACCAGGACACCGTACGGGGGGTGGGAGGTGGGGACTCGTCATCGACATTGAGCGACTCTCACCTGGCAAAACTTTTTCCCACTGGACACCGAAACATATGTTCCTGCTTTATACACTGTGCACATGGACTCTCACTTGTCCCGAACGCAACAGAAAGCGTGGAATTTCTTGTACAAGTCATTGTTAAATACGCATTTGTGCTTCGGTACGTTGCGGACTGACTGACTGTGTGTGTGTTTGCTCGCGCCTTTACAGCAACCTACATTCAGTTTGTCGATTAAAATGAACGTAATCGATGAAATTCTTAATGATCAATTATCGATTAATCGACTAATCATGCCCATCCCTAATAGCAATAGTTCCAATTTCTCATCCATCAGAAAATAAATGTATAAAGTCAAAGGAAAGGCAAACAAAGTAGTCTAAAAAAAGACAACAATGCTTAAAGAGGGTCTATTTTACTTCAATGGGGTATTAACTGCTAACACATATTTACATCACCAACCTTTATATTTTGGAAATTTTATATTCGCCGACATTAACATGTTTTATAGTTCCACTTTTGTTCCTGAATCTGAGTCTTCCCCCTCTATGCTCCACGAGGCAAGTCACTCCCCCTTCAGAGTGCCATCACAACATAATCAGCGTGCATCCCGCTAATGAAACTACTGCACATCTAAAACCACTCAGGCATGCTGAGGGAACAACACTCATGGTAGAAAAAAAAAATCAATCTGATTTTGCATAGTACCCCATCTTTAATACATGATCTTTAAAACTTTATTATAACCATTATTGACTCGTGGAGACTACTGTAGAAAGTTACCTTCAGTTTCTTTGTCCCTGGATGCCTGGTCACCTCCTCTCTCTTTGCTCTTCACAACGCAGCCGACTCCAAGAGAAGAGTCTGATGAATGTCCAAAGGCACTTCTCGAAAGTGGACTTTGAACTGGACCGGATGTGGACACAACACAACCAACGCCTAAACTGGAGTCTGACGAATGGCCATACGTGCTGCCAGGTAAGGGAGGTTTTCTGGGCTCTACTCCAGCTACTATGCACCCTATTCCTAATGCTGAATCAGAAGAGTGTCCAAAAGTACTTCCTGGTAGCGGAGATAGCATTGTTTCTGGTTGAGAAACTACACATCCGACTCCTAAACTGGAGTCCGATGAGTGGCCATGAGCGCTACCAAGTAAGGGGGATTTTTTGGGTTTAATACCTGCTACTACGCACCCAGCTCCTAAAGTTGAATCAGAAGAATGTCCAAATGTACTTCCAGGTAGAGGGGATAAAGTTGGTTCACTTCCCAAAATCGTGCAGCCTGGTTGGAGCATGCTATCCGAAGCGTGCCCATGCTTGCTCCATCTTGGTCTAGCTTGTGTTACATCAGACACAAACTCGCCAATTTTGATATTAGCATAGGAGGAGTGACCGTGGATGTTAGCTGTAGGAAGAGGCGCCACAAAATCCGAAACATTTTCCCCTATTTTGATATGCGAATCAGACGAATGCCCGAGGACATTTTGGGAAGGTAAAGATGGTGCAATGTCTGAAACTAAATCTCCTAATTTGATATTGGAATCTGAGGCATGACCAAGAATGTATGGTGATGGGAGTGGTGCTGTTATGTCTGATACGTTTTCAACTATTTCAATTTGTGAATCACAAGAATGCCTGTATGTAATTGAAGGCAATATGGCATCTATATTGGAAGTAAACTCCGCAATTTTACTATCTGAACAGAAATTTTGACTTTCGGGTAAATTTATGAGGACTTTATCAGTTGATTCCTCTGTTGAGCTTGCGTCTTTCAAATTGTCCATTTCAAGAGTCTCTTCTTGTGCACTGGGAGAAGTTGGTGGTAGTTTTGACCCAGTGAATGTAATTTCAGATGCTAGAGACCCATCCTCTTGCTTTGGTTCTGACATTGAGAAATTTATGTCAATCAAATCATGTGGTTTATCTCCAGAAATTTCACTTTTTGGAGAATCCTGAGGTGTGAATTGACCAAGCCGGAAACTAGGTTTTGTATCTTGCCCAAACGGACTAGCTTTAGGGCAAATATCCTGCATTGATGATACATTCTCTCCAAGAGGAATATGCGAAAAGGATTCATGGTTTTTGTCAGGTCCAGGTTCAGTTCCTGAATCAGATTTAAATTTGGGTTGGACTTGGCTGGTCATACCTTCAAGTGGACTAAAGGGGGAGCTGAAGTCGTAGTCAACCAATGGGAAGGTAGGGCATGTTTGAGGTAAGTTTGAGCCAATGTCCTGTAAAGCTGAGTCCACCTCAGCACTGTCCGGATTTGGGGCTTTAGGGAGAAAGTAATTTATATCAATGCTTTCAAAAATCAGGTTAGGGTCCATGGAAGGTGTGGTGGGGTCTGGATAGGGTTGCATTTCTGTTTGTGGAGTTGGGGCATATTCTTGGGTTTCTTCATGCTGCTTTTCATGTTCTTCAGGATGGACCTCTTTTGGAAATTTCTAAAATGGAACAAAAATGTACACAATCAAATTTTGCAGTGGAGTGGCATAATTCTAGAGCAGTGTCATTATTTGACTATTTGAATTTGATGTGCTGTGCATAATCTCTTTAATGTAACCCCTGAACTTTGGCCCAGACTGCCTGTTAGCATTTGCTAATGATGCCGTTTGTCTTTTTTCTTACCTGTGCTGATTGGGGTATGGCCGGTTGAGCTGAATGTAAAGGTGGGAACAGATCTATTGGAGGTCTCCCTTGGCCTCGAGGATATTTCTTCACTAAGTCCTAAACACACAATAAATTAGGAATTTTAGTATTGTGACACTAGTCACGTTCACGCCATATTTTTATTGTGTTCACTATTTAATGCTATCTAGCAGAGATAAAAATTACCCTACTGTTTCCACATATAACTTTTAAAGAGTTTGTAACCTGTATTTGTTGCTCATCTTGTGTTAAAAACTGCATGCGTGCTTCATGGAGCCTCATCCTCTGCACCCGCCACAGCGCCCTCCTCTCTCTTAGTGCTGCTTCCTCTGACAGACGGCTGTACTGCGTGATCAGCTCCTTCCTGCAATCCAAGAGAGAAAAAATATATATTTGGCATCAAGGTTAATAGCTCAAGGTGTGTGATAAACTGTTAAATGGCAAAATTATGATGATTATTATAAAATGTTAAAACCAAATCTTCTATATTTCGTCTGCGTTCTAAAAATAATTGACCTAATTTGTTTCAATTTCCTCTCCTCATAATTATCTGCAATTTTACTTATTTGAATATCACCATAACCAGAAAATACACAGACCTGTATCCTGGCATTATGCTCATCTCCATAGTAATAGACAAGATTAATGAAATAGTATAAACATTGAAGGTAATGCCATAAGGTCTCAATGGACACAAACAGGTGGCCGTCCCTACACCAGAAGTTACCCCTTTAACGAGACCTAAAGTGATCAAATTAAACTGAATATATTTGAGCTATTACTAGAAAACTATTTCTCAGAACCTATGCAGCATTAAAATGATCCAGATTTAAACACAAGTTATATTTTTTGCTAGTTTACAGTACCAGCTGTGCAGCTAATTTGTTTGGATTCATTAAAACTTAAATTAAACAACAATATCAGTGTAATGTATAGCAGGAAGCCCACCAGTGTGAACACAAATTTGTAGTTGTCAAAATGGCTTGTAGCTGTGTTGTTACCCACATATAGCAAGTGCAGCAAATTGTTCTATATTTAATTTTAAATTAATATTTTATGGCTTTTCCTGGTAATACATACTAAACTATTACATAAATAGATTACAAAGGTACAATAATTTCCTCTACAAAACAAAACAAACTCTCCTTTTTAATCTTGAAATTGTTATTTCATCTTTCTTCTCTTTAAACTATGAACAAAAGCCCACCTCTTCATAGTGATATTTCATCATAAAAAGGCAGCAGAGCTTTTCGTTTAGAAAAAGTGCTATATTATTGAACCCTACATGAAGAACCGCAAGTAAGTACACAGCCAACGGTAGGGCAGGTACACTGGTCTTTCTGTGTAATATTGATGACTGTGGTGACATGCACACTCTAAATCTCATTATCATCACATTTCTTTATATTATAAGGATATTAAAATTAGTGCTGTCATGCGATTAAAAAAATTGAGAGATTAATTAATTATGATCTGTAATTAATTAATCTAATTAATCTCTTTTTAATCTCACCTAAAAATTGCTGAGAAAAGCCTTCAATTTGAGGTATTTTCATTTAAATTCATTATTACATTATTGTGGCAGATCAAAAGACTGATATAGAACAAAAAAATAGTGACTTTATAAAGTCATTTATTGTTTAACAAATTTTAACAGATGCAGTCACTTACATTCCACAGTATCATCATCATTATTATTACTATTACTAATCTGCAGTGTTGGGAAGGTTACTTTTAAAATGTATTCCCCTACAGATTATAGATTACATACCCCAAAATGTAGTTTGTAACTTAATCCATTTAATTACTTAAAGTGAGTAACGTAATTTGAATACTTTGGATTACTTGATATTGTCATGCTTTTTAAAACTACATGAATGTAGCAACCGCATCCTGCAACTGTTGTTCTTGTTTGTTCTCTTCAAATTGGCTGTTGAGCCCAAGTCTCCATGAATAAGAAACTGTTTGCTGTAAAGTAGCAAAGACGAGGAAATCTGAACATAATAACTTTTGTCTACTTAAAGACAATAAAAAGTCCAGTCTTTCCTTAACCATATTAAAAATATTATTGATAGAGAAATGCTTTATATATGAGATCACTGGTTTTAGTCCTCGTTTAGACCTGCTTTAGTCCTACTTTAGTCCTAGTTTAGTCCTGGTAAGGGGTGAGAGTCCTGGTTTTAGTCCTGGTGTTAGTTCTGGTTTAGTCCTGGTTAGTCCTGGTTTAGACCTGGTTTAGACCTGGTTTAGACCTGGTTTTAGTTCTGGTTTAGTCCTGGTTTAGACCTGGTTTAGTTCTGGTTTAGTCCTGGACTGGGTTAGTCCTGGTTTTAGTATTTGTGTTAGTTCTGGTTAAGAGGCGCACAGGAGGAAGCGCGGTTTACGCAGGGTACGCGAGAAAACATACGCGGCGCACGGGAGCACGTCGGTGTCCGCGCAGTAACTACGGAAGGAAACGTGGTCTGCGCGTTCTCAGGTTAGTGACGATGATGAAGGTGTGTGTTTGTGTTTGTGTGTTTTTGTGTGCGTGTCCCCTCATGTGGCAGGTCACTATAGGACAGTAGTGCAGACATCATGAGCCTATGCAGGTTGTTTTCACATGTGTTCAAATGTGTTTTTTTTTGTGTGCGTGTTGTTGTCCCAACAACACATAAAAACAGATTTTATAATAAAGCAACTCGCATACAGAAACAATAAAGTTAGAGATTAAAAATGAGATTAACGCGATTAAAAAACATAACGCGCTAAATATGACTGTAATTAATTAATCGCAATTAACGCGATAATTTGACAGCCCTAATTAAAATTACATGTAAACAACAGCAAAATCATTGCTGTCTCCTGCCTCTGATTACTCCCGCCTCTGATTACTCACATCAGCAGTTTACATGTTATTTAATCATCTTAAATGTCCAAAAATACAATAATGATCAGATTTCGGTTTGCATAGCTACAGATAAACAAGGAGTCGATATAAATACATACTCAAATATTGTATACCTGGCTTGTTGCTCCAGTTGTTGCTCTAGGGCCTGTAGTCTCTTCTCTCGGTCTCTCAGCTCTCGAGCAAAACTAAAATCATCCTCTTCCTGTTTGTTGTTAGCTGCAATCCGCCACTGAAAAACATGTATACAGATAATTATAAACTGTAATTATTTTGTTGTTATAACATTGTTATAAAACATTTATAGCAGCACAAAGAGTCAAACTACAGAAAATTACCATTTCAAACAAAAAATAATGTTAATTTGAGGTTTTTGTGAACTTGATCCTGATTTTAATTGTTTATTTGAGTCACTGTTATTGTAAGTGAAATATATAGTACATATAATGTGTATTATTCATTCTCTCCTCTAGGGATGGGCATGATTAGTCGATTAATCGATAATTGATCATTAAGAATTTCATCGATTACGGTCATTTTAATCAACAAACCAAATTTAGGTTGCTGTGCATAGCGTAGGATGACCAAACGTCCATGTCAGGGGACAAACGGGTCCGGACATGTGTCTCTCTCCACTCAGAAGGAGCAAGCAGACATTCAGTCAGCCTGCAACGTGCCGAAGCGCAAATGCGTATTTAACGATGACTTGTACAAATAAATTCCACGCTTTCCGTTCCAGTCGGGACAAGTGTGAGGCCATGTGCACAGTGTACAAAGCAGGCACACGGTGTCCAGTGGGAAAAAGCTCACCAGGACACCGAAAACATGAAAAAGCTGTGCCAGGTGAGAGTAGCACAATGTCGATGACGAGGTCCCACCTCCCACCCCCGTACGGTGTCCTGGTTTTGACAAATGCAAATATGGACACACTAACCTGTATTCCACTGAGTCGTGAAGCATCAGCGCACAAGAGCTGTTATTTTATTTTTTTATTTTTTTTCTCGCTTAGTTTATGCAAATAGCCATGCAGTTTAAAGTTTCATTTTTGTGAGACTTTATGAGAGGTTTATATGTCGTAAAGTTGAATTTATTTATGCAGATAGTAATAATAATGATGATAACTTTAATATAAAAACGTTAATGATTAATCAATAATTGATCGTTAATTCTCTCAACAATCGATTAAGAAAATTTAATCAAATGCCCATCCCTACTCTCCATATTCTGTGGTAGAAAGCCCCTATTATAGCCAAAGTTATCCTGAGGCTGCCAATCTGCGCCACCGGCCCCTTTGTCCATCACCAAAGACATGATGTCTTGCCTAAAAACACAGCAACAGTCCACACTAGATCCACTGCTGCCCCACTGCGACACCTGATATTCCCAGGAGACCTCTAACTCCATGCACATGTGTACAAATACTCATGCTACAGACTTTGAAGGCTCTCACATCGTGCTGTGTTCCTACCTCCTGCTCCTGCTCCAAGTGCAGCTGTAGCTCCTCAAAGCGCTCCCTCTTTTTGGCCTCCTCTGCCAGACGCTGTGACACCTGGCGCCCTGCAGGAGGCAAGAGGGCACAGTGAGATCATACCCCCCACATGGTGAAGAACAGAACTTGTCAGTATCAAATAATAACAGTGCCATCTGCTTATGTTACACAGAGAGAGTAGGGTACAAGATGACAATATAAATCTTCTGTGCTCTCTGCTCAAACACAAATACTTTTACACCCTCTCCTCCCTTTTAGTAGAGCTGTTAGTGACCAAAATAGTTCACTTTTATAGAACAAGCAGGAAACTTTGCAAGATTAGTAACACCCCCAGGACTAATATTTCTGGATATTGAACCAAGTCTAATTCAACACAGGAGCTGAGAACTGCACATGTCACAAAATGGACTATATGAAAAAGAGGCTGGCATAAAAACACTGCTAATCCCTTTCTTATAGTCTAATTTGCTTAGTTCTCCATTTTGTTATGTTTAACAACTATTTTTTCTAAACTCCACACCATTAAGGAGGTCAAGTGACCATTTTCCTTGAGAATGTAAGGGTTGTGTGGGTTCATGGTGGCTGAAATTCAGGTTAATACAATATTTTATCTTTCAAGGCCATATTTATTGGGTTTTTGATAACAAAAACCATTTAACCATGTCTAAAGATCTGCAAGTGCCACATCATATTTCATAATGATAATTAAATGCTGCATGAAAGCGAGGCTTAACCCCAAAACACAGAACAGAGATCTACCTTAAATTGCTAAACTTACTCAAAGTGCCCCTAAGTGCAGCTGCTGCCACATTTGCATGAACCTGTACATACCAAATGTGCCTTTGCACACTTGCATCGCCCAGCAAAGGTGACTCTTCATCCACACTTGATAAGTTCATAGCATGCGTTCTTTGCATGGGGGAGCATGGTCCACAAAGGTAACCAGTGACTGCAATCATGCTTCCATTCCCAGTCTGCAGGGCTGGGGAGATCTGGTGTCTTAAAATACTAAAATACAGTACTTTTAATCTTGCACTGTATGACATTAAACATATCAGTCTTGTGTTTATTCAGTTAAGGATTGAAAATGTGTTTATTGCTCAAATACATAAAATGCATACTCTTCCATGTCACCAGGGAGATGGACAGGGTTAATGTCATACTGTGAAAGCAAAGCAATAACTTCTCCATGGAGACAAGCAGGTATTTTACCTTCTACTGGAAATATTACATTGTGCATCTTTAAAGACGTTAAATTGCATTGTCCTTTTACATAGCCTGTATATCACACATTACACAGCTGTTTAAGGCAATTTTTTTATTAGACTTTAAATTCAACATTTGAAGCTAAAACATGGTAAATTTGTGGTCCTAATAATGGGTTTATATCTTTATTACAATCCATATCTCACTGCAGTACAGGTGTGAACAGAGCCTCCTCTTTAGATTAGATTATAGTCTGAACATCTACATTCCAGACTGAGAGATCGCAAAGAAAATACTACACCATCACAAAACCATTTCGAATCTCGCCTTAATTTGGTTATAATCTCAAATCACCATCTCCACAGTTTCAAAGGTGTTCTCAGTCTGGTGTGGGATTACTGGAATGAGCAGTCCACCTCTGCTGTTGTCATTATTGTTATTATGATACTGTGAAGTGTTTTAGGGGGGTAAATTAATTTGGTGATGGTTGTGATTTGTTCGTGGCACACGCCAGATTTAAATCCGTCGCCATGATCCCTTAAAAGAGAAGGTAAAATAAGATGCTAACATTCTAACACTCATTTATTATGTAAGGATAATAAAATGCAAGGTCATTTACACACTGGCAATTTGAATATTAATACCTATTTTTTAGACATTTAGGGGGAGGAGAGAGAAATTAAAATACATAAAACTATGTTCATGAAGTTTTACATTTGCCTTAAAGTGGGACTTAACACCTAAATTTCGCCCACAAACACATTTCAAAGCTGATAAACTGAGTGGTACCTGGAGGACTAAAGAAGAGAGTGAAAGGAGAGAGGGGCGGGGCTAGGGGACATAAGGAACAGTGTGATTGGTGTAACAGGCATCCACACTACAAACTCCACCCCTATAGCCAGGGATTTGTGAACAGAAAGAAACACCTGGCTGTAATCAGTCCTGCATCCTCATGCAGGACTCACATAGTACTTGATACCACAGAGGCCACTGTCACTTACGAATTTTTAACCAGATTATTTTGCAAATTTGCCTAATTTGCTCTAAAATGACCAAAAAAGCACTAGAAATAGTAAATAATAGTATTAAAGATGCACTGTGCAACTTTTTTGATTCGGGGGTCCATCACCTGCTTGTTTCTATGGGGATGTCCTTGAATATTATACAGTATGAAATTAAACAGCTCTGCTTTACATTTATTATGTGATAATTAGGTCCGAGCGCCAGAGGCTGGTGAAGGGCCCATTAGTATTGCAAAGCAATGCTCCAAGTGGCCCGAAAGTGAAATGGGTGACGTGACTCACCCGTAGTGACCAGGGACCCTCGCCATGACATAGCAATGCGTCACAGGTTTCCGAAAATGTATAGTTTGTCGGCCCAAAAAAAGCAGAACATTGTTGTCGTATCAGAATATTATTAGGCCCGAGCCCCGACAGGGCGTAGGGCCTATTGCTTCCGCTACGTGGAGCAAATGGGGCGACGAGCGCATGGCCGAATTAGAGGACGACATGCAGCTTTGTCCTCTGTCTCCCCCGGCACGAACAGCAGTATCCCAGTAACCCATGCCCAAGACCTGAGCCATATTTATCACTGCTAAAATGAATGAAAGTCAACAGGAGGTTAGGGGGCGACTCCGACGAGATTGTGCAGACGCACCCGTCACTCACCAATGACCCCACGGTGACGTGGAGAAGGTCGAGAGCTTTCAAAAAATGTATAATATGTTGTTCTAATGTTTTCGGATACACTGTTTTTGCTAAAAATATTATTAGGCCCGAGCGCCAGAGGCTGGCGAGGGGCCTATTAGTATCGCAAAGCAATGCTCCAAGTGGCCTGAAAGTGAAATGGCGTGACGTGACTCTCCTGTAGTGACCAGGGACCCTCGCCATCACGTAGCAATGCGCCCGAGGTTTCCGAAAATGTATAGTTTGTCAGCCAAAAAAAAAGCGGAACATTGTTCTTGTATCAGAATATTATTCTTTCTTATTATTTTTCTCCTAACCAACTCACCCATTTTTCACCCACTGAACAATGATGAAAAGTCCTGGAAATTTTGCCATCTGGTAAAACTCGCGCTTCTCTAAGTTTTGGCTATTTCCATTTTCCAAAAATAAATAAAATGGCTCGTCAGCGCCCCCAAATAACTCAAAAATGCATTAGGGAATACAAATGACACAAATAAAAATCTGAACGTACAATCATGAAATTTGACACAGAAGTCGATCATGACAAGACAAGAAAAAAATATTATTACACCAACACCGTGCGCTCCACCAGGGGACAGTAATATTGGATTAAGTTTTGCTTTTACGAACTCCTCCGAGGGCGTTCACCTGAACGAGCTCAAATTTGGTCCACGTTATCTCAAGAGGTGGAACATCAAAAGTTATCCAAATTGTTCACACACGTCTTACGGTCTCTGAGCAGTGAAGCCAATAAAAATGCACACAATTTTGGAGATTTACAAATTGCTCCCAATTGCTCAAACGAACTCCGATTTCAATGAAATTTGAAACAGTTGTTAAACTCTCTGCCCTTAACCTACTCATTTAAGATGTGGTGTTACAATAGCGATTCCATTCCATTCATAGTTATTCCATTGGTGAAATTGACAAATTCTGGCACAAACTTTGGCCGATTTCACTCAAATTTTAATCGTGGGTTCACACCCCGACCCTGAACAGATTGATGTAAAAAAAAAGTGGGTGCAATAGCGCCCCCTAGAAAATTTGTGTGGAAAAATAAGGTTTTATTTGTCATAAATACACAAAATTTGGTATCCACATTTGTGATATGGTCTCGATTAAAAAACTCAATGATGTCCAGACCACATTTACATTGTTTTGCCATGGCAACAAGCTAAAATTCTGTCCTTGCCAATGAGATGTCCTTACACAAACTTTGGCGTAGCCAAACCAAATTTAGTAACCAGATGAATCATGGCAAAAAGAACAAAAACGTATATTGTGACCACACCCCTTTACAAACCGGAAGTCTGCCATCTTGGATTTTTTTTTTCTTTTTCAATAAACACATGCAAATATTTTGAAAAATGTATGGGTTAGGTTAAGAGTTTGGGTTAGGGTTATTAGGGTCAGTGGGAGGTGCAGCGTTTTGCATTGTGTGGCATTTGCGGGACGTGGTGTAGGCACGTGCGAGGGCCGATCATATTTTAACATTATTTTCCAAAAAAGGCAGTTTAAGCAGTAATTTAGCTCCCAGCCTCGTTTCTGTGTCATCCATTTTGTGACATGCGCAGTACTCTGCTCCAGGTTCTGGTTCCATATCCAGAAATGCTGGTCCTAGGGATATTTCCATGCTTGCACTGTAAAAGTGAACAATTGGGCACTTTTCTGGTCCTTAACAGCTCCACTATTTGGACAGCTTTTGTTAGGTTCTGCTTGACTAAAGAAAGAAGTCTCTACTAGGGCCCGACCAATATGGATTTTGTTGTGGCTGATATGAAACCGATAAAATGGGAATTGGAGCTGCCGATAGCCGATATAATCGCCAATATATTTAGTGATGTAAACATTCACTGTAAATCTTGAATTGTTTAAAATACTTAGCTAGTGGATTTTAAATTAGGTTTATTTAGGCAACATTTATTGTTATTCTGCCTCTTTACGTCATATTTACAGACAGTAGATTGGCCTAATGGCATTTTTGCATCACATTCTAGCTACTAGTGATGAGTATTCCAGTTCTTTTTAGAGAACCGGCTCTTTTGGCTCGGCTCACTAAAACGAGCTGGCTCTTTCGGCTCCCAAGCAGCTCTTCAGATTGTTTAGTTGCAAGCAGGACTAAAGCATGTCTAAAGAAGGACTGAACCAGGACTGATCCAGGTCTAAAACAGGACTAA